CTCTGATGAATTCAGTACCGATTGGTCTATCAAACTGTTCCTCGCCAGGTAGATTTCCCCCCTCTGCAACCCTACAAGCCACATATGTTGAATTAACTGGTCCATAGCTATCTAAAACGTGTTTGTTTGTGAGTCAACCGTTTCAGCAGTTCCTTAAATATGAAAAGAACAGGCATGATAATGTGTGGGTTCTACAACAGTAGATTGAAAAGTAAAAGAATGCGGGTTGGTGTAATTTATATGGCTAACCTATCCGAAGACGTAACCCAGTATTGAAAAAATGCAGATAAAAAAAAGTTCAAAAACACGACCATTCAGTGTATTGTAAGCTTTCAAAAGTAATGTTTCCGAGTTTTCAAACGAGGTCAGGACTACGTAAGAGAACTGAACAGGTACCACATGCCAACGACACGGCACTTGTCTGAAGGAACGTGTGGCAAAGTATGAACTGTAGTTCAAAGACCAGAAGTGGAAGACGGTTTGGAAGTCACTACTCAGTTTAGCTTTTCAGAATGTTTGTTGATAAAGCCTTTTACCAAAAATGCGAACTACATTGAGCTGCATATAAATGAGTTCGGGCCGAGAAAAACAAGTAACGCTGGTGAAAACGCTTGAGCGCACCTTACTGAACTACAAGAGTTTGCGCAGTGTGATTTCCTTGCGGATGGATCTCAGTAAATGAAACCGTTCACTGATCTCGTCTTGTCTTAGTGGATGGAGTGATGTTATCACTGGTCCTCATTACAGCAACCTGTGCAAAATAAAAACATTGACAATGTGAGTATCATCTTGCCTCGATTCTTTGACAAGGATCAAATGAAGGATTTGTTTAAAGTATGGACCGTAAACCCACGAAAACATGTGACGGAAGAAAATCCGCACGTGAAATACGTCTAAATGGTCAACCTCGAGGCAGCTCAGTAGTTAAGACGCCAAAAGGTCCGCAATTTGAACCCAACCTTGGCTTTTCGATTGTTTTCGTCTATGCTTGGACAACCTGGCAGTATATCAGCCTTTATGCCTCCTTTAAGCTGCATTGCATCAATGCACCAAAAGGGTGCTACGGATGAAAAACACCAGTGGTCTGTATAGCCGCGCGTAACAGATGTCACTGGGGTGTCACTTAAGGTCACTGTAAAGAACGTTTAAAGATTTATGACCAGCAGTGCTGTACAGCAAGAAGATAAATAGATACCCGTGAATTTGGATTACTTCCCAGTGAACGACATATGCGTTCTACTGAGTCTGTGAATAGCTCATTTTGATACGGGACAGTAAATTGCCGGAAAAGTAAATTGCCAGATTCCTAGTTTGTGCCAAGGCATCAGCAATGATGACAGGCAGTATGTCTGTCGTAGCTTTATGAACACTTTCACCTCACAAAAAATAAATAGTATCCAAAACTAAAAGAGTTATTTTCCGTCTCAGAACTATGGTCCCTCGGAAAGTCGGGTGCAGAAACCATGTCGAAAAATCGAGGGTAAAGCGTAGATTACGTTTCAAATCATTTAGCGGCGAATACCCCTCAGTTGCGGTAGTTAGAGAAAGGGCACCCAAAAACGGTAACAGATTGGGGGAACTAGTCTCAATTCAGTAGCATTCAAGCCCTAAACCTGTTTACAACCATCAGGGTATTAGGATGGAATTAGTATGGAATATTCTCAATGAAAAAAGTGACGCAATGACGTATTTCAGTTAACTTCATGAACAGCAATACGGTCCACATTATAGCTGACGTTCTTAATATCATTCTTAATGCCGAGTGCTGGTGACGAAGAAAGATACTGTTCGAGAGGAGCTTTAATTCTGGTTAATTCAACTCCCAACGACAGCCACAGGTTTGCAACACTAAGATAAATTCTCGTGTAAAACTCTCATCCTTGCATTTTTCCAGCAAGTTGTCAGGATCTTTTGTCGTACATGTTTTCCGTAAAAGTTCACCGCTGACGGCCACTTCGTAATTTCGCTTTATACCTCCGACATTTTTGTCATCCGGTTTTGCTGAGGAGATAACAGATGTCGCTTATGCCTAGAAACTATTTTTGTCTGCTTACCAACCTGTTAATAGCCAACTGAACCTGTTTTCCTAATCCATGAGACAGTGTGTGATGTCTGAAGAGAACAGAACTCCCAGTAGTTTCTATTCCGGAAGACAAATCTGACATGCAGCCAATCAGACATAAGCGACGAACACTGTCGACTCTGTCGTCGAATTTCCGATAGTCCCAGAATGGACGAACAAAAACAAATTGCCTAATACAAAGTTGGCTCCGAATGAGGCACAGATGAAACTATGGCGATTTACACATGTGGCCAAAGTCTTTCATAATAGTAACACCAGAGGAGTTTGCTTTTGCTTCAGGATCAATAAACCGATCTCCAATAGTGTATACCAGCTTCGCCATACCAAGCTTAGAAATCGACATGACGCTTGTCGCTCCTCGTTAGGAAACGATACGCTTCTTGTCAGGTGAAGTATAGCAGGCCCACCAAAGAAATCGTGTGAGCAAATACTTGGGAAAAAGAACCTTGCCTGTTCCGTTTCTCTCAAACTGGTTGAAAACTTCACACTTATTCGTTGTGTCATGTAGAATATCCATTCAGACAAGTCTTTACTTTTTGGATGGTCGTTGGCTTGTTCGCTGAGCTGGACAATTTGATTGCAAACGTTTCATCACCAATCGAGGTGACATCATCAGTGCGTTATTGGGAGTGGTGCGTAGCGGTGGGTTAGAGGTTGTGCTTTTAAATGTGCTGTTATTTAAGGGCTCGTGCACCTATTCTGAACCACCAACGTGGCTGCCTGTTGTGTATTTTGCAATGTCTCTCATAGTTGGTTGCATCTGATTAGAATCTAGTGACGGCCGGAGTGTCATTACACAAGTTTATTGCCATTTTCAGGCTGAGCGAATGCAAAGCCAAACTACTAATCACTGGTCCACCATTAGTTACATGGACCCACGAAACTCTTTACCACTGAGATGAAAGGAATGTATTGTCTGCTCACCCCAGATAGCACTTTGTTTCTTGAGTAATGTTCAGCAACTATATGAGAAGTATCGTCTGTTGTTTTGTGTAATTCCCTGAACTATCCTGTGCCTCACTATTGAGAACTTCCATTTAGCAGTGGAAGACCGTTCCGGGTGATTTACGATTGTGGATCATGAACTGGTTATACTAATGAGTGTTTTAGCGATTTCATTGTCAGTGTGTTCCCAATGCCGCTAAGGTTAGTCAATTTCGGTAGTTTGCGGGGATGCTGAAAAACAAGGGACAATATTCTTCCTAGAGTAGCCACCTCCATAATATTGACACTGTCAGCAGAACTGCAAATTCAGTGACGAACTGCATAGTATGGTGAGGAACCACACAAAATAGCTAGACCGTGTCGCCAGTCCAAATAAGCACTGGTGTGAAATACTCAAAAGTTTAAATACTAAAAGAGTTTAAAGCCACTTAACATGTGATTCTTATGGTGCGGCAGAAGGTTACGACAGTTTAACATGATCTGCCCGTGTCCTCGAAACAGACATTTTCTGATAGTTTTATGAATCAAACCAAGTTTGGATGATCTGCCTGCTGTCCAGAAGTACTTAAGCGGTCGCAAAGTAAATAACGCCTCCTGAAGAGATGCAGGCCAACCCCCCTTAAAGCGAGCTGGATGGTTCCATCGCCTGAGAGCAATATACCAAGACAGAAAAGAAAAACATAACAAATAGAAAAATTCATATACCCAGGCCCAGTCCTTATAAATGCGAGCCTCTATAATCACAACTCGTAATCATCGTGGTATTAATCTCGTAGACATGCATCCTCAAATCTCTTTGATCCATTATCTGTCATGTGCTTAAGATAATTCAGCGATTGAGGTGCGACACAGGCGAGAGGAAAGTCTATGGTTCGAGCCCAACCTTGGCTTGTTGACTTCTCCTGTCTAGGTTTGGACAACTTGTCTACTATACGTGAAACACCGTAAAGCTAACTCATCCATATACCAACATACTTTCGAGCCAGCAGTGTCTTACTCGCAGGGTTCAAACGAAACTATGAAGGGAAACTGACAGTGTTAAACGACGCTTTTCAGTTCCGTATCATTCACACGATGTATTTGGTTTTGGTTGTAAACAAGCCATTTTCTGGCTGCTGGATAACACCGGTATGAGGCGCAGCCCATTACTCGGTGTTTCGGCTGTGTCATTCTCAGTCTAAATGTAACACTGCATGCGTTTATTATGCTCACCTAATTGCCGTGCAAGTTCACCAGAGTAAAGCAAGCACACAAGAAGAGGAAGTGGTACTCCTTCTATGGAGCTTCGCAAGACCATGCCTAGTGCTCGTGTTTGGATCAGCTCCGCTTCACTAACTTCAGTGAGGAGTGATCTGCCTACGAGTAATGAAGGAGATGTTTCTGACTGCGGACTACCCCTTACTCTGGAGACCATTTTGAAGGACCGTACTTTATAGCTCTGGCTCTCTGTTGTCAAGGTCGTTATGTAGCTTGTCAAATACACAAATACCTAGTCTCTGCTGGGAGACCACGTCTAGATAAGGTAGCGGATGATAGGTACGCCCTTCTAAACTACCTAATTGGTGACTCTTAATGTACGACTTTTCGTTGATTCAACCACAGTGGTTAATTTATACAACACGACGAGTACAAAGAGGTAGTCTTTGCCAAAAATCGCGTGTCCGTATTCATTTTAGCCTTGCAGCCAAAAGTTATAATTCTGGTTACGATTCGGTGCATTACCTAAGCGAGCAAGTAAAAACCGCCTATCTTTGGAGGTGGCTAATCTCTCAAAATGACACGCATGTGCGAACCGTGTAGTCTAGTGCTCTCATTTGGAACATACGGTCTGTGATGTCATGCCTCTAAAGACCACCAGGGCAATTGTTCTTTGATAGTCCACAACATCCTTACTTAACAGATTACGTGCTCCGCTTTTCTTCTCGCTAGTTCAGTTCTGCAAATCAACGCATTACCGACCTCCTCTTTGCAGATCCCACTGACCGTCGGAACCACAGCAACACAGAGGAGACAGCCCTTCGTCTTGGGCATAGCAGTCCAGACGAGGATGTTCAAGAGGATGAAGAGGTCAAGAAGGAAATCTTTCTTGAGCCAGATGACGAATTCCTCGGATTCACTACAAACCCGGATCTCGAAGGAGCAGAGTATCTGGAATCAATCGATGATGCTCCGAAACCGGGGATTGTCAAACCCAGTCAACCTATTTCCGATATGATACGAGACCGTATCTATCTGACAGGATTCGAACCAATCAAACACTGGAGTGAACAAATTGCCCAACATATCAACGATGACTTTGGTTCAGGAGAAAAGTTGCAACTGTTTATCTACTTGAATCGTAAAAATGAGTTACGAGTAACTTTCGATGTTCCAATGCATTGGTATTCCGAACTGAACTATTTCATTCACATTCCAGGTGCGGAAGGTAAAACACTCACATCTGACAACTTTGACGTACGTGTGCATTACGGTACTGTTGTTGGTCGAGGGATTGAATCCCTTCTGCGCATCATGTCTACGATATTTGCACCCGCCTTCTTCGCCAACAAAACCTGGCCAGACAGTATTAAGAATGACTTCTCACTACAGTTGCAACGGTTCATGTCTGCATTGACTGACGCTCGATGGAAGTTGGAGAACAAGACCGTCCTGTACATGCCCACTGAAAAGATAGAACGCGACTCAGAAATTGAAGCCAAAAACAAGGATTTGGTTAACCGATTCGAAATGATCGTGATTCACTGGACTAGACAAATAAAAGCTGTTCTAAACTCTCAGAACACCGCAGACGAAGTGGAAGGAACAGGTCCATTGGACGAAATTGAATTTTGGCGTAATCGATGCGAAGACCTGACTGGTATCAGTAAACAACTGGACAAGGCCGAAGTGAAGAACATTACTGACATCCTTACTGCGGCCAAATCTTCCTATGTAGCCGCATTTATCAGGCTAGCTGACGAGATCAAATTCAACACACAACAAGCGCAGAGTAACTTGCAATTCCTCAACACACTGAAAGAAATGTGTCATCAGTTGGCCGAATCGACTCCCAGAGAAATTCCTCCGAAACTTCCCCGAATCATCAGCGTAATACGCATGATATGGGTCAATTCGAAACACTACAATACAAAGGAGATTATCACAGGGATGTTCCGTAAACTATCCAACGAGATCATCAACCGGTGCTGTAGTGTGATCTCATTGGACGATATTTTCGATGGCAAGGTTATCTCTAGTTCGAACAACCTACGACACTGCATCACGTGCTGCGAAGAGTACAAGGCCATTTATGACAAGCTACAGAAAATACACTCACGTCATTCGGCGTTCCCGTGGGACGCACAAAAAGGCAGTATCTTTGCTCAGGTTGATGCGTTTATTCAGCGATGTCGAGACCTCCTAGAAGTGAGTTGGTTCCAGTCATTTGTTACATTGTAAATTGTATATCCAGGTTAAATTTAATGTTAACATACCTAGATGCATGAGTTTCAATTTCACGTAGCTTATTTCCTTGGAGAAAACTTCAGGTGGAATATATCCCCTCACATGCGAATATCTCAGGCTTAGGCATGTTACACCTAAGTTCGTTTTACCACCACCCCCTAATAAAAAATAAAAACTTGCTGTGCGTCGCACCTCCTGGTGATGTTAGGGCTTGATCAAACAGGTGCATAGTCAGTTTGGATATGGAATCCACCCCTTCTTTTTCTAACATGACAACTGAAGCCGACTGTTTGTCCATTTCCCCAATTCCAAGTATGAACAATTCCGGGAGGAGAATAAAGCCAGTCAGGTCCCTATGAATTGATGTGAGAGCGTTGGCTTAAATTGGAATAGCCTATTGTCCGTACCTGATGATCAGTGAAGGGCTGATCTAGAGCGTCAAGAGACTGCGCTAGGCAGTCCCCATGTTGAACTCTCAGCGGTAATCATTCTGTGTAAGAATTCAGCCTAAGACCCACCCAAATTGGTCACTTTTACTGAGTACCATGGATGATTGAAATATGTCCTGAAAAAAAACTCAACTGTACATTGATGATGTCAGCTCGACTGATGACGCAACGTTTGCAAACCAACCACCAAGCTTATTGAACATAGCAATGACCACCTAATCAACCAACAAGTTATGTTTTCATCTTCCTATTCCAGATATGTGAATGCCAAAAGAACTTTGGCCGCTACGAGGAAGGCACAAAGACAACCATGCCAATTTTCCAGGGCGCTCGCGGACCGGAGTTGGAAGTTCTGCTCAACACAATCGAACAAATGTTTGGGAAACTGATGCGCAATTTGTATGACAAGCGAACCTCAATATTGGATGTGAAGGCAACATCATGGCATGACGATTATAATCGATTCAGGGTTGGAATCAAAGATCTTGAAGTGATGATGCAAAATGCGATCAATACGGCGTTCGAGACGGTGACAACCATACAACAAGGTGTTGAAATATTGGACGTGTTTGCTCACCTGCAGAGTAGGGAGGTGAGTTGCAATACGTTCTAGGCCGAATGAGTTAGAATGCTTATTTCATTGGATTTTGCGGATAAGAAGGTGACCTACCGAAAACATTGCAACTCAACTTTTTCGTGACTGAGTTACTTGGATCGATAAAAGTTAACCGCAGGTCTAATTTTCCAACTTTACGAGCTACCTTTTCAATGGCGAATACAGCACTCGCTGTACGTGGAAAGACTACTTGGAAACGACTAAACTAACTTTCAGGTATTGCTTGATCAGCTCAAAATGAAGCTGAAATCTAATAGGGTTAGGAAAACTTTGTTCTGTTCTCCAATTACCATTAAACTGTATGTGGATATTACAAACGGAAGAATCCAGTAGACGGAGTCGTGTCAATTTTCCAGCTAATAAAGTATGCAAAATTGTCTATGCGCTTTCTTTAAGTTGGACAAACTACTACCTCCGTCAGTCTTCGGAAAAGACACTTCCTTACATGCACCACCTGAGTCTTGTCGTGTATCTGGTAATGGCCAGCAACGTGTGTGCATTCTCAATCTATCGATTGCCCCATCCTGCATCGCTAAGCTAAACTAACTTGATCCCTTCGGCAAATGCCTCTGTCGAGAAACCATCAGTGAAAACAGCCTACTGTCATTTCATAGGTTTATTGAAATGTGAGATGCGTCTAACGACAGACTGACAATCTATTTCCATGTCTTCACTTGCTTTTGATAGGTACAGCTAGGTCAACTTCGTTTGACCTAGCAAGCGAAATAAAATCGAAGTCACAGATGGAAGTGTCAATTCCCTATGTGCCGGTTGCTCCCGCTTAAGTGTTACGCTGCAGATATCGGGCCTTTTTCATTCGACTCGTAGAAAGAATAATTCATATCGCAAGAAACAATTGGATCACAAAACAATTCTGCTCAATGTGTTTTTAAAGTGGAGGTTTTTTTACAGAAGGATAATGTCCTCTTGACAGTGCAGAAACGTGAGAGTTCTGAGGGCCTTTCTTCCCTCCAGATGTTACTTAGATGTGGGTTATTCAAACAGACGGAATGCTATATTGAGTAATCTGTCTCAAAGGGCTCGCTGGTGGGAAGAACAGCGTTTGGTCTGCTACGGATGACTCATCCTTGAAGGGAGATGTGTATTAGGTCCTGATGAGGAACTGATGCGGAACGCCATTCTGGACTCTCATGAGAAGTGGCCTTCTTCAAAGGAATCACCCTTAGAGGATATTACTGTGGGCGGTTACTGCAGATAATTGCTCCTGAGAGACACTGTTGAGTCTAGCTAGCTAGTCTTTCAAAATAATTTGTGGTTTGGTTTTCTGATTCATGCGTAGGTGATTACTTGAAACTTCTTTTCTGTTCTCACCTCTATCAGTTTCCTTTGAGGAAACCTTTTTCATCTATAAGTGTGGGTTTTCGGGTGCCTAGTTTTTAGAGGATAGTCTAGACTCATTCATCTGAATTTAACCAATGGGCTCTGTGCTCACCAATTCGAATAAGTCACTTTGAAGCAGGAAAGCACCCATCCAAGATTCAATAGCATCAAACTGAAATGAAGCGCCCTTTTGATGTTGAAAAGTGGTGCAGTTACACAAAGTGCTTTCAGTGTTGATAGTGTAACAGTTTGGTCTTGTCGCTGGGGTTCACCACAGATTATCAATTGTCATTTTTCAGGCTATTCGGCGGACGATCGATAACAAGACCCATGAACTTGTGGCCCGTTTCGGCGAGATCCTGAATCAAGTGAAAAAGGAAATGACTCAAAGGATATACGGTGGTCTCCCAATGCCAACAGAAGCTCATTACGCAGGGCAAGGGCTGTATTGGCGATTCCTTCGACGGAGACTAGAAAAGACCATGCTGGTTCGTGTCTGTAAAATAACCTAGCGCGTCTGCGTCCAAATAAAAAATGAAAAAGATTGTCCTTACGGTTTCATCGATAAACAACCGCACGGGTCGGTATGATGGCATTGTCGTTTTTTCTAATTGCGGGCAATTCACAATGCTAATCATTGGTTTGTGGCCGAAAGGTTAAGTGTCCAAACTACTAGCCAAGAGGTTGTGGGTTTGAGACTCCCTGCTGGAGTTTCGTGAGATGCGCACTGTTCATCATTCTCAAAAAGGAGGAAACAGTTGTACAATGATTCTCGGTTCTTCAGCACATGTTGGCTTCACTTACAGGACGGAACCTCAATTGAAAATCACGAAATCTGTCATAGTACCATCAGTTTGTCATTATCTTTGGTTTTCCTGGACTCATATTAGCGTGTCTAGATATCCAGTTATCCAGAATCAGAGTGATTGTCACATGCTGTTGGCGGACAGACTGTACTTTTTACCTTTCCACTAGTTCAGTTTCCTTTCTGTGGTTGACCAAGTCATGCGGTTGTATTTGAGTTTTTAGTTAGCTCGTTTATTTGTAAGACTGAGTGTTTGTTTGACCACGTGGGACCGAAATCGCTTTGTTCGCTCCAAATGCTGTGTGACATTGTTCACTTCTTCCGTTTTACGGCCATGCCCTTCTGCGCGTCTTTGTTGAGAAGGAAATGGCCACTCTCGTTTGAGAACCCAGTACTAATAATGTTCATTTCGTCAACACAAACTGATCCGCAGAATAAGGAAAACCACGCTACACATTCTCCTTAACAGTTGAATTGCCCAAAGCAACTAAGGAGAGCCTACTGCGTCCAACGTGTGGGACAGATTTTTAATCATTCCAAGTGATCACTCTTTACGTAGCTATAGGATAGCATCCCTCGTGCACGAAAAGCGCACATTTCTACCCAACATCACAGATATGCGTAACGGTAAAACCAACAATTCCGTCAATCTCAAACCCTGCACACAGCCACTTTGTTTCTCCATATTCTAATCTAGCAAATCTTTGGTCACCAATAAAAGCAATAGAAGATTTGCTTCTAGAGAACCGGTCATTTAATGGACAAAGGGAAGTCCGATCTTTAACTACCTCTAGAGGCTCACTTTCGCCTGCTCAAATGTGATCAATCAAGTCCAACCCCGGTGCTCTGATCACATGCTTATCCTGCATGTCACACGACTCGGGTTCCAATCCCGACACGACAACTGATAGGCACGAGCGATGAGCTCTAATAAGAGATTGAATTGCGAATTCAGTGTTTTCCCTCTTACTTTCGGATTCGCCAGAATAATTGTGCCAGAACAAGAAGAGGACTGTTAGGACGAGGATGACTTTTTTATTAGAAGCTTTACAGACCCGGCATCCATCTGCAATCAAAAGCGACAGCATCAGTCCTTTGGCACACAATTTGTTTATGGATATCTTTGCATTGAAAATGTGCACTTTCCGTGCAATAGGGTCATTGGATGCTTTAGCTAATCAGCTGCTTTGATAACGTACTACTGAATCACCTCCAAAACTCTTCGAAGCTGATCAAAGTTTTCGTATTTTTTAGCCAATAAAACCTTGTCAACGGAAAAACAGATGTTTATTCCACATGTCCGGTGTTTTGCACCTATATACTTATGACTTTTGACAGAGTTTGGATCAGGCTTTCTTCCTGTCTCTTGCGGCTGCTGGCATGACTGAACATCGCCAGCAATACTCACAAACACTGGCTGCCCTGGAAGATATGACGAGGAAGACATTTTTGGAGTTCCAAAGCACAATCGATCAGGTAAGGTTAACGTGACTTTTTCATTCGTGTTTCACCATGATTTTTAGCCCTCACTTCGTATTTAGTCTCATCGTCCCGTGGGCCAGGCGACTGTGGCGGGGCATATTAAGGCCGCATTTCTTTTTACGTCTTCACCTGCGTCCGCTACTGTCTATTAGCCTCCGTTCGAGTGGAAATACAGTACGATTAGCAAATCAACCAGATTCAACACCGTCACCCTAACTTTCTTGTATAATGAAGAGAATCGTAAGGCTCTAGTTCCAACTTGGTACTGATATATATGTAGGCGAAGGCATTTTCTATCCAAGTTGCTTATCTCCGCTTAGCAGCAAACATTACTAAAATCTTCCTTCGCTAAATTAGGAATTCTAGCTTGAAAAGAGAGCGGTCACTAGGAAAGTGAGTTGAAAGTTGTTAGAAATGTAAAACAAGTAGTCATCTGAATGTATCGGTGTTGAAATTGGGGGATAATAAAAATATCCTTTCATCTGCGACACCATTTCGTTGCGGTGAAGTCGATCACAGGGTATAGATGGATACTAGGAAGTGAAAATATGTCCACGTTAAGTTATACTCTCCAGGTTATGTGAAGTGGAGCTCATAAATGCTATCTTCGAACCGATAAACCAGCCTGTCTAGAGCTTGAGGAGAAAGTCAAGCTGTAAACCAGTCTTGTTAACCCAGTCCCTTCATGTCGATTAGCTTTTAGTGCCGAAATTTGCCATCGGTACCATGTATTATTGACATCCTTCAAAACACCACCAGCTTTATCAGAGTCTGATGGACGGCAGGACAATTTTCAGTGTGTTGAGATAGCCAAAATTGTTTTAACTACTTGCTAATCGCCAGTAGTCTATTCATTGTCGATATGGGACATCTCTCCGGATTTTTGCGCCAATTGCGCCACCACCCAAAACGGATTCTGCGATCAGCACTTAACGAATGAGACAACTAGGCAGCTGGACGCCAATCGAGACAGCCAGCGATAAGTGCTGTCAAAGGATGACACTAGGTGGGTAGCGGGTGCAAATAGGGGACTAATAAGGTTTATTATGAATAGACACTAAGGCATGTTAGGTTGCAAAGCAGTAAGGAGAAAAGCGTCCGGAACAGCATACTCGGCAAAAAGTGGAGTTCATTGATCCACTGCCTGGAAAAGCTGCTCCCCGGCCGGGAATCGAACCCGGGCCTTCCACGTGACAGGCGGAGATACTGACCACTATACTACCGAGGACGCTGTTAGGGGCGGTTTGATTATTTACAAAAGCAGTTTTATCATTTCATGCAGGGAACGAGTCGATTGACTGACTTCTTTACCCTACAGGATCCATTGAAAGCTCTTGAAACCTCCTTGCTTCTGAGAAGTTCCATGCAGCTCTGCTTAATTGAGCCTAACCTCAACGCGGCTGTGCCGAAGCTCTTCAACGAACTGCACTATTGGATACGTCTTGGTGTTGAAGTGCCACCAAATGCAGCAGAGGCTTTTCGCCGCCGACATGAACTGCGATACCTAGTCGAACTGGTTCTGCTTATCGTCCGAGACTACAACCGCATTATGAACTCGCTGAACTCGGAAGAGAGGGCACTATTTCGTGAACGTATCAAAATTCTTGACAAAAAGCTCGCACCTGGGTTCACCAAGTTGCACTGGACTGTAAAGGGTTTGGTGGAGATGTTTGTCAGTGACGTTCGTGTGCAGGCGTCGAAACTTCAAGGCAAAGTAGATGACTATAAGACAGCCAATGAAGATATAAAGGGTAACTGTGAGCAGATTGCACGAACCTTGCTCATTCGGTTGGAGCCCAACCGCGTCTACGAGAACACGGAATTCGATGACTGTCAGGTCAGTCTGTTGTTGTTTGTCTAGTTTGGCTACTGGTTCCCCGTGATCACTCCAAGGAAGGTAACGGTGGTTTACAAGTATGTATGATCCTCCCGTTGGTTACCACGCATTTTCTCTTAAGATTGGAACTTGAGCATTATCTCTTCAAAACCACCCATGGATTGCGGTAAAGTTCGAGTTCGTTCATTTTAGAATGTACACACCAACGCCTCTCCCCAACCCTTTTCCACCTTGAACAAACTTTGCTGGGTCATTTGGCTGTCAGTTATCTAACCGATGGGCCCTATGCTCCCCGTTGCCTATCAACAATAAACAAAATAAAACCTTTCCAAATCCACGAGATCCTTTCTATATAGGAGCTTTGGCCGCCTGTGCTCTATGTCAAATTGGCAAACAAGCAATGCTCGCAAATACCCGGTTCTTAAAGCTGATGCTAATGCTTACGGTGACCTTGATCTATTATTATGGAAACTCTGCTGAGACGTGAAGTTAGGATATGTCCTAGAAACCCTTCCTGACTGACTATCACTCAAAATGAGAAGCTTCTCAGCTTCACATGTAAGTTTTCAAACAAGCGCCGTATCCAAGAAAGCCAATAAGTGATCACTAGACTAACTAAGTGCCCTTTGAGTGCTACATCGTAGCCTTGATCGTCGTCTTTGTAGGCTCTGCGTCATAGACTATCCTGAAAATTTACAACTTTGCTGCCCTGAGAAAGAATTCGGGAATAAGTTCGTTCGTCAAGTGGAATTCTACTGTTTTTATCAGACTAGCGCTCAGGCTTACATTCGTTGGGGCACAGCGATAGAAACCATAGATACACTACTGGGACGCAAGAGAGAGACTGTGCCTCATAAGCAGCAGTAAATGTTGGATGAATCCTCATCCTGCCTTCCGAACTTATGTCGTCGCTACATAGTAATGTACATAGTTAATCACACCAAACAAAAGAAGCTGCTATCACCAGGCTTTAAAGTGTGCCCAATCACTTAAGCATTAAACCATAGGGGGTGTCGAAAATATGTCTACATACTGTTAGGGCGGGGGCTCGCGACCATTTCTAACGCACCCACGTGAAGTTCGAAATGGTTGCCTACGCTTTCGTCGACTCGGTCATCCTCGGCAGTAATACAACCCTACACGCTGAATGGGTGCATGCATAAATGCAGCCGAAAAGATCGCAGATTACCCATATAGTTAGTGACAAGTTTGATAAAAACCCACTATCGACAGCTGATGGGCCGAAGTAAGGATTAAACATGCCCACTGGTGCGATCGTCCGAGCGATTAGGAACGTAGGGGTTACTAAAGCTGCCAAACCGGGGGAAATAGCTATTTATAGATCACGCCCAAACATGGATGGCAGCATTTGTATGGGGTGTTTTTTTTTCAAAATAGCACTTTGCTTTAGATTAACGGGTTTGAACTGAAGCCATACAGTACTGCTTAACCTCCAATGATACTCTATTCTCTCCCTTCCAAAGTCTGCTCATCGTGCCATCACAAAGATCAAACTGTTCAATCTGCATGAAGGCATCGTGCAGCAAATGCGCCAGGTCAAGGAAACGTTTGTATCCGAGAGTGCTGATATTCAGTTATATTGGGGCAGGTAAGTGTTTGATTACACGCTGTATATAGCAAAATACCACTTGCGTCGCTAACGGGTGCACAGTTAAGTTGTCCATAGGCATTTCTTGCTGTTTTATGCTTCAGAGCCAATCATGAATAACGGGCGATAATGGTATTTTATTGCGTTAAACTCACACTGGTTTATTCGTGCTTGCGCCGTGGGTTATGAATATGCGGGGCAAGGAATTCCTTGGTTTCATCAGGATACTTGACTCCTGAGCATTGATTCCTATCGGGATAATCTAACCAGCCCTGATTACGAGTTACATACCAAAATGTGTTTAACTCTCACAAATAGCGCCACGACCCTGGCTACCCAGTTTCTTAGGTTTGAGGGCTTATCTTCCGGAAATATAATTCACCATCGGAAGTTGGAACTTTTCAATCCAATTGGCACGAAATTCCAGCTTATTTGAATCAGTCCTAGTTCAGTTGTTTGATACTTACTGACTTTTTCTAGATATACAGAACGTATGGACCGCTATTGCGAAGAGGCATTTCGACTTAATGTCAAGCTCTCGCTAAGTGAACTCCAGCGTGCAATCAACGGTGATGGGCGAAATGACCCCAATCCCTTGTTCAAGGTCGCACTCAATTTGGACAACGATGTTCTCGTTTTCCTACCAACCCTGCCGCAGTTAACAAACGTGGTTGCCTCATTGGGCAATAAGTTCACGGAGATCATTTCCGCAGTACCTCGTCTACCTGATTTGCTAACACGTATGAAATCTTCCAAAGTGGTACGTGCCATCCACATCCGTTGACTTTGATTGTTCATTTCCTATGCGTCTAGCCGGAAATGCTTGGACTTGGCAAGATATCTAATAAAACGGGCTCGGATCTATAAAGCGGCTTGTCCCTACACTGTTCACATTCAACCCGGTTGAAGGAACTCTTCCTCAGTTCCCTACCCGTCATTCTGTTTACCTTGTCCACCTTGTTTTCAGTAGTAGAATTCAAGTCGACAGAATCTGACAAACAATTCTTCAGTTTGGAGTGTCTGTTGGCCTTTAAAATTTTGTGACACTTGATAAAGCGCGTTCTTGATTGGGCTAGATTGACCCTAGAGTCTGTATCAATCGGATCGTTTTTGACCTCGTTTGTCCAATACCTCTTCTAACTATCCCCGAGTCACGCGACTTACGTGCAGTGCCGGTAAAAATAGCTGACATATGTGCTCATACTAACAGATTTAACTCGCCCTGGAAGCACACATGCGTTGTTTTCAGGTGTAAAAAATCTGTCCATTATTTTTCAAACTATTCTGGGGCGAAACTTGCTTATGTTAATTTTCATGAAGGAAACTACTCACAAGGTTACTGAAAACTCTTCGACATTCCGGACCGGTTTCGCCCTTCTTGGGGCACATCAGGTAGGCGCAGTCCCCGACTTTCCGTCAACCTTATGTTCTACTTGAAACCGCATTGGACTGCTTTCGAGAAATACACTCATTTGCAAATCAATTTGGTTTTCACGAGAGACCCAGCTGAACCTCTCGTTTATGATATTCTATAAACTGAATGTGCTGCACACAGACCGCCTCATGTTTCAGTTGGCACGATATTCGAGATATCGTAGTATATTTTCATGAAGTTAGGAGAAATGCTCATTCGTGCTCCGTGAAATGGTCTGATCTCAAGCAGATCCCAAAGCAGACGTGAATCCATCAGTGTCAGTATTCTGCGCACTCCATCTAGGCTTTGGTATTCCAATTCTGCTTTGGTACCAGTAGACAGTTGTGCGTCGGCGAGACATTCGGGAGCATCGTTAGTGATTGGTCAATAGGTAAAGAACCATAGGTAGTTTGTCTATACACGTTTTGCACCAACAGTTACGAGTTTGAGACTATATACTTATGGTACTGTTATCGTAGTCGAATCTCAGACTATTCGTGTAGAACTACTATTCACCCATCCCTGTGAAATTGTCTTTCATCGTGGGAGAAAAGTCCAGCAATAGTGATTATGAATGGTAATCTTGTTGGGGATTTTTGTGATCCCTATGTTCCTAATGAAAGGAGGTATTGGGTATTGCCTCACCAGCACCAGTGCTTCGTTGGACTATCGTCATCAAAATTTTAGATACGTATATTAATATTCACTTTTCTGGTTGATAAAAGTTGATTTTCTCCGAGAAAAACAACCCCTTAAATGTGACCAGCTAGGTCGCTCCCCAGGGGAGTTCTTTGCTCGAGAGGACTAGTGTGTTCCCATCGTGTGCGTAGCCTTCATCAGTCACTACAACCTCGTGGTGAAATATTACATACCATTTGATCCATTTTATGGTAGAGTTCATAACTATTGTTATTCGGCTCCACCACCGAAATAGACTACTTTTGAATGTGACCGAGCACACAAGTGCAACAAGGTCACTCACCTGACGCAAGTGCAGCCATCTTTTGAGTCATCTTGATTTCCGGATCACATTCTTTAGCCAGGCCAGCAGTTACCATAAACGATAGGTTCAGTTAGGTTCCAGGTGAGTCCCTCCCATCAAAACTTAACTGAAATGCAAATGAGTGTATCTGTCAAGATCCATCCAAGTTCAAGTAGAACGTAAGATTGAGAGGAACTCGGGAATCGCTCCGACCTGATGAGCCCTGTGAAGGGTGAAACCTGTCGTGTGCTCTCAGGGCGTTTACAGCAACCTTATGAGTGGTGTATTAGTCCCAAGATTCCTCAGACAGTGCATTATTGGGATGCAATCAGCTTTGGCAAAGTTAAAGTAAACTCTCGCTTTTCAGTTTTTATGAATGATCAAGTCTTAGAAACTGGAGGCTCGAAGTGGTCTCTCAACGCAGTCTGTGTACTGCTTACAATGTAGAACACCAGTGTGACACCGATTATACCGAACTCCATCGAGCGATTTCAGCACACATATAAGCTCAGAAATGAAGTTTCGAACAAACCGCCATTCAAGTCAGAGATCTGCTCAATTAGTCCTAAATAGGCTGAAACAGGCAGTGTTATCGGATTCCGAGTAAACCTCCAGTACTATTTATACCAAGTACACGCGAACTCCCCCTACTTCCTTTCGGTTCAGCCAATCTGTGACGCCATCGCGAACGATGAGGAAATCAATAAAATACAGGCTAGTATCAAGCGCGGCATGCAAGAAATCAGCTCAGCTGTGCAAGAACCTTTGAGTTATTGGGATCAATTTAGAGAAATCTGGGAGTTGCCAAAAGATGACTTCATTCAGCGGTACCGACAACTCAACCCCCACGTGTCTTCTATAGATGCCGACATTGCTAGGTAAGTGACATGACCTGTTGCTGATCCACCATATGGGACATAGAAGTGAGTTCCTCATAACAGACGCTGTTAAGCTAATCATTACTTCCATCGATATAAAACAGCAATTTTCAGGAAAGCACAGAGGATAACCAATAGATTTAGCTGCAACCTTTTCTCATGGGGAAAGTTCTTTATCAGTATCAACCGTTTTACAACTCTTAGAAAAAACGCTGTTCTCTTCGACATCCTGTGCTGACTAGGGAGCCACTGGGTATTTATATAAAGTAAGTCTGACCGCTCGAATATCCAACCGAGGTACTTTGATCTAATGACTGAATTGGTGAGCCCAACGTTTGTAAAAAGAATCAATCACAAACATATAAAGATTAACATGTTTTTTTGTCTTGAGGCTCGCGGCGTGTAGTCGGTTAGATAGTGTCAAGTCAGTGGGGTTTTTTTGCCTCTAGCTGAAAAGCGACATATCCTGTAGCTGAGTTTTTTAGTAAAGCGTTGACGATCTGCACGGTCAGCAACCACGTTTCACCGATCAAAAACCTGCCGTGCTGCTTAGGTCTCCATGCCCGAATTCGTGGGAAGGGCGGATTACCTCGCAGTATCTCATTTCTCATACCTCCTATGTGTCACATGACACCAGTAGACTCATTTCGTCTCATTCTGTCAACATAAACGCTAGCAAAGATAAGATCAGATTCAAAGAAGCCCAGCCACACGAGGCTTTTCGTCCCTAGATGGACCAGGCAGGCGGGTTCAGAGGAAATCCGTGACGGGATCTACTGGTTGGTAGTTCTACGTTCACGCTAACCAGACTTAGATGGTTAACTATTGGAAGTTGGAGCTGTGGGGTCAACTACTATTTGGATAATTAAACTGACCGTTCACTAATATTCAGCTCACTCATGTAAAGGTATCTCCAGGAAGAGGTACTTTTGGTGTTAGGTTTATTCAATCTTCAGCTCATCCTACATAGGAGTTTGTGAGGTCGCACAAATCATAGGAAAATGGAGTTGTTTACGAAACAAGTTAGAATCACAGGATCGTACTGGACAGTTGTCTAAGAAGTCAAAGTCATCCATCCCAGCTTATGGCAGAATGGTTCGTTTGATTGATCTGGTCATTACATCCTTCGCAATTCAGGTATACTGAGGTGACAAACAAGGTGCAAGATGCCGAAACAATGGTAACCACTCGCTTCCTTCAACTGGACTTCAGTCTACTGAAAAACGCCATTGCTGCCCATTGTCGCGACTGGCAACAGCGCCTGACCAATCTGCTGTTGGATATGACGACGGATTCACTCAATGGCATTTACACTTATATTGAAACTAGTTCCGAGAGGTGAGTGGCATTTTGGCGGTTAGTGGATAACGGAGTGTTTGTCTACTGTCACCACATAGCCCAGTCTTCTCCGTACTGCATTATATTAGCCGAATTGTCGAGAGTAAAACTTATGTGCTCCAATTTTCAGGATATCGAAACCTCCACAAAATTTGGACGAGTTGAGTGAATCGATTCAGCTGTTGGAACGTATCTTGACTGAGCAACACGACATTCAAGCCAAATTTGGTCCTTTGGAAGAGCAATTTGCTATACTGGATAAATGCGAAGTGACTTACACCGATTCAGTGGCGGCTAGACGTGCTAATCTGGCTAATGACTGGATTCAATTTCAGAACACGCTTCTAGCGGCTGAACAAGTAAGCTGAGGTGTTATATCTTTCTAGTACTTCATTACTGATCAGATGAAGTGAACCGTTCAATTCTCTCCGATGTCCGAGATGATATATTAAACCCAGAGTTTACATTCCATACTAGCCAAGTTTGAGCAATGGAACTAACAGAAGAAAGTCAAGCCCAATACGACCATTGCAACCTGAGAAAAGTGTCCTCGTAGGGGAACGGCAAACTATTGCTTTTACTTCAAGTTGGACAATCAATTCCTATATGGTGAAAGTAATGCAGTGATCATACGTATCATCCTCTTGACACGACGAGACAGTGCTGTGGACACCGTGCTAATTCCTCCGCACGTTTTACGATGAACTAAAAGCAGCCTTCATGGTTTTGCTACAGGATGACTCAAATGTAGCGCATTAATGTGAAATGAAAACGGGGCTGTGGGAGGATATTCACTAATGTATCACAAATCCTTTTACTTGCCGGGTGCGCACAGCTCTTAATTCCTACTCCGACTGGTCACGCACATAAGGTGGAATGTGGCGGGCAAACTTTACATAACAGGAGGTTGGCCAGTCGTCGAATTCATGCTAGCTATATAAGAAACTTGAAGCGGAATACAAAGGGGCCACTTAACGGAGATGTGTCACACAAGTCACACTACCTGTAACTACCCCTTAAAGGTAGCTAGTGAGCTGCTCAGTCAGAGACTCAATGGATGATTCGGACGCATGTTCTTTGCTTTTCACCGGGTATAACTACCAACAGCCTGATGGGAAGCAAATTTTCTTGTTTGGCCACCTTATCTGTGTACCAGTTGGTTCGCTCCTGTGGAGCACGCTACATTGACAGAACTGCAAAGAAGTTGCCTAAGCGAGTCCCAAAACCCATCACATCTTGGATTGCTACAAGACACGCAGACAATTGAGAATTCGGTCCTAGCACTTCTCGTGGACATAGAGCACCGATTGAGTATAGACATCGCACTCATTGTAACGTCAGCCTCAGACTACCGCGTAAAATTGCCGAACGTTTGAGGTAAAAGGACTGGTCGTCCGAATAACGGCAAAAAAAGTTGCACCTCAAACGTCGCACTTTGGTCATCTCTGGAATTTCTGAGCTGTTAGCGCTTTCTGGTCATCCGACCGCACATCGGGTCTCCTCAGGCGTGCACACTTGTGCATGGCGCATGTAAGGGGTGTCAATACTGCTCTCCCCTCCGACACGTGGGCGTGCGACAGACAAGAGCTCAACCTGCCGTCGCTCGGATTCGACGGTGCAACGGTGCAGGCAGACAGTAAATCGGCGAAGCCAAGCTCGCCAGCCGATTGGCTGATGGCTACACACTAAGCCAGGACGGGCGGGCAGACTGTTACTCACCACCGTTCCACTGGAAGGGAGGGGACATTCCTTTCGAGCCGCAACCAGTTCCGGCAGCCTGAGTTGAACAACCCAATCAAGCACAGCTTCGGAGTTGACTGTCAGTTGGGCTGTAGCCCATTTTAGCGATCAACTTTGATGTTTCAGGAAAAATGACAAACGTTGTGTAGAATGAGCCTAACGCAACTGCAGAGGCCGGACCGAACTTTGTATCAAAAGACGACTCGTGTGACTGGCTAGTTTCTCCCATCACTTTGATGTTTCAGGAAAAATGACAAACGTTGTGTAGACTGAGGCTAACGCAACGGCAGAGGCCGGACCGAACTTTGTATCGAAAGACGACTAGTTTCTCCCATTCCATGTTTGTTCTAACCAACCACGAGTTGAACTTTTACAACTGTAATTTATTCTAAGACTGTGTTACATTTTGTCGATTTTTAGTATGTCCAAGATATATATTCGAGTTTGGCGAAGGAATATCGAAGGAATATCGCTCGATCTAAGTTGTCCTAAAAGAATAACACATGAAGTTTCGGTTGACTGGCTGCGGTCATTTTCATCCGATTCAGTGATGAGGATCTACACTTTCAGGGTGTCAACCCTTGTGGTTGTTGCTGTGGCGACTGATCGTGTCAGATGAAAGTTAAGCAGTTGGTCTGAATCGCAAATTGTGAACACAACCTGGGCAGATACATCCGGTGATCGCTGTTTGTGTTTGGCAGTAAAGTTGAATACAACCAAATCCAACTCAGCCTTCCCCAGGCAGATGGAAGGCCAATAGGAAATTCGGATGCAAAGTCATACAAGATACCAAAACGAAATAAGAATAAACTGACTTTCAGCTTTCTCGTTGCAAATTAATGAAAGGTTAAAGAAAACCTAGAAAGAATCACCTCTTATGGGACACAAATGAACCCACGACCCCTAGCGATTACCCTATAATCAGGCACACCAAACACATGGCTCAACAGTGGACACGTTCGCATTGTCAAACATGGAAACTGAGATGCGTCCAACGTGCGCTGGTGGAGTAGAGGTAACACGCTTGCTTCGCATGTGAGATGTGCGGAGTTCGAACCCCGGCACGGCCGTTGGATATGCACTGCTGATTAGCTCTAATAGGAGCGAAATTCGAGTCCAGTGCTTCCCCACTTTGGTGTGGACATAGCGGAATGACTGCTGCAGGAAAGGAAGATTACTGTTCAATTGAGTGATGTGAACATGAAGAATATATCTGGCAGTTAAGTTATGCTGACAACCAATGTAGTGTCACTAACCGCCTTAACAAAATCACCTCCTCAAACTAAGAGGCATCGTCTGTAGATAAACAAGGGAGCACTGTCCTCTTTCTCAACATGAGGGATACGTCTGAGAATTCTTAGCAGAGGTTGGAATCCAACTTTGAGTTAATCCAATGTCAATAGGACTATCAAGAATTTCGTCTCACATCGAGTGCAGTGTTTCCTCCCGCGCCTACAGACGATGATATCTGCTTTATGGGGGTGGTTTCATTTATGAGTCTGGCGTAGAGTGTCACTTACTGGATATGAACGCGTTCTGCACGATCCCGCTTGCATAACCAAAACACCATCTCAGCTTTCGTGATTTGCTCACGGGCGCCGTCAGGTGAACGCGGGTGCTACATGTACTCAATCAGTAGCATAACCAATAGTATACTGGAGTGATCAACAAAGGATCAGTTGCACTCTAAGTGCAAGTTAATTACTCCGCTGATCGGCTGCTCGTGACCAAACGCTCAAGTGTTCAAACTACTAGCCAGGAGGTCGCGGGTTCGAAACTCTCTACACTTCCATCAGATGCACATTGCTGGTGATTCAAGATAAGGATGAAACTGATATGCACTGCTTCCAGGTTTTTCAACATAGATGAGCTTCACTTACAAAACGAATGCTCCGTTGAAAGGCAGGGCCAACCAGCTTGTTTGTCAATTTGTACTCACCTCTAAACCATTCAGACACACGGTGTAGTTTACGGTCCCTACGTGCTGCTGAAATGTTCGGCCCAACCAGTCAGAGATCCATCTGTGTCAACAGTTGGAATGAGATCGGACGCAGAAGATGATATGATGTGGGGAGTAAAGAAACTAACGTCAAGTTTCTCCTCTTTAGAGAGGCCATAAATCTTACTTAGAAAACATGACCGTTGAAATAAACTCCGGTTGATCAAAAAAGATGGCCTCGCTTGCAAGATAGGTTCATCTGACTGAGATCTCTTCAAAGCGAGCCATCTGTCATGAATTTCCGTATTTGAAAATAGTATTATGGGTCGTAGGTCGGTCGCTAAACTGATGAGTAGGTAAATGGCTAAAAGAGACAAGCTGGGATTTTGATACCCAAGGGAAGACAAATATACCCCAAGAAACATCTAAGGCTCGAAGCCAGATGTAGTCATTGAACTATCTGGAGTGTTTAGATATCTCTTCAATATAAAAGATCAAGTTGTACCGTTGCTTGAGTAGTTGATCAGTACGACTTTCCATGTTTTACAACACAGGCCTGCTTCATTACTAAGCGGTCATCACCGGAGAACCCATGTCTAGTAGTCACTACTAAGGTACAGTAGAATCTATGCCGTGAAAATTGCCACGGGTTTCCATCTTGAACGAAAACAGAGTGGATGTTGCTAGACCACATGGATTCAATGAGTGTACTTTTTGGCCGTCTTTCACGCCACATTAGTTTGATGGGGATAGCAGGAATAGGCGTTTTACGGGCACCACACGTGGGTTGCCACACAAATAGCAACCTCAATAGAGATATGCGATAGAGATAGGCTCCCATCTCCACCTTTTCAACACTTATATGCTCAAAAGAACGTTCACTGAATTTATTAGCACTTTTGATTAAATACTCAGAACTCCTGATATATACAACTTCGCCCTGAGCCAATGCGAAACGCCATTAATGCTGACCCAAACGGTAAAAGTCACTACAGCGTGACGGTATGCTATGTCTTTTGTTATCCAACGAATAACTGTAGTATTCTTATGGTCCTCCTATAGAACTGTGTAGACTTTTCACTTCCAAGTTTTCCCACAGACATTATTCCCGTCCGTGATCCATCCGGTACCACGTTGAAATCCCACTTTTTACTCGATTTGCTCCTCACCGAAAGACGGGGATTGGTGACGGCTAGGTGTTTTGGCGCATGGATCAAGCATCGTTTACCCATCTGGTATAACTACGTGATGTTTATCGTATTCTGAAACAGAATATCTACCACTGTGACTCCGGCTACCACAAATTCCATTTTAATTAAGTAGGAATGGTAAGCCGTGTCATCTAGACTATTCGTATCACTGAAATTGCCTTCTTTCCCAGATCAAATCCGATGAATGGACTCTGTGTTGCATGCGTATTCCAGTCACTTACGTGACCTGCTCACGTCACACAGAAACTTCCACTGGGCATGTCTGACATTCAACTTGAGATTTAGAGGCCATTTCTTATTCTTGTTACTCGTTATCTGGGTATATGCGGCCCTCTTCAACTTCCGTTCTGTCAGTGGATTTCGCGGTCTGCTTTTACGACGAAACCCAGGTGACCTGAACAGGGAATTGTTCAACAATTCTGAAAATGACGGAAGTGGGTGAATTTTTGGCGAATAGTGTAACTTGAAACCACACGTCTGCGAAACGGTAGAAAAATGCGTGTAATTCCTGAGCTATGTATTCATTTTTTTCCATTGCAGATGATCAAGAAGTGCAAGGAGAAGTTTAAGACGGGCTTGCTAGGAGATTCGGAAGAATTCAAGCGTGCGGTGGCCAACCTGCTTGCAGAACTGCAGTCAACCGGCCCATATTCTGCGGACCTCGCTCCACAAACAGCACTTGACGCTGTGGCAGGTTTCCGAGAGCGTTTGGATAAGTTGAAAGCACGTGAGCTTGAACTAAGACATGGACTGAATTTATTCAAAATTGAACAGCCACCCTGTAAGGAAATTGCTGTGATTGAAAAGGTGAGTTCGATTCAGATTTGGTGTGTGCTACTTCACAGAGTGTTTGTGCAAGTAGATTAGGTTTCACCTGATTGTTATCTGTATGCAATACAGGATTTGGAATATTTGGACGTGATTTGGACAATGAATTACGAGTGGGAGAAAAACTGGGAAATCTGGAAATATGGGCGATTCTGTGAGCTGCAGACGACGGAAATGGAAAATCTGGCCAACACTGTGTTCCGCAAGTTTGTGAAACTGTCTCGGGACTTGAAGGTAAATCAGTACCATGTATCTTGTCAGCGATTTTTAGTTCCTGGCGTTTCCAAGTATGATCTACTTTCAAAAATCCAACAAACTCTCTTCCGGATGATCATAGCATAGTGAAATTGTTACTTCTGCTCTTCTTAGACATTTTCTCTCTTTGAAACTTCTCTTTTGGAAACCAAAATACTTAGATCTTGTTTAAAGACCGTTTGTCGCATGCTCACAGCAAATATCACCTAGGCGAACGCACTGTGACTTAGCACCTACCAATGTTTGAACCCTTCCCCATAGCATATACTTTAGGGTTCATGATGGCGATAGAGGTGTCAGTGATTTTCATATGCTATTCCAAACTGATTCTTTAGAGCATGGCTGGTAGCTATTATTGTTTGAGTTTTGAAAGTTCAATGCGCAATAAGCATACAAGAACCATGGAACATCAGTAGCGCTGAGATCATTTAGTGCCTTTCGTCTCTGTTCTATTGGCGAAAGTCTGGGCTGATTTCGGTAGCAAAATATCAGTGCTACGGTAAAACCTGATACATTTTACTTCTAAGCACGCGTTTTGTTTCTATTCGATAATCGCCCATTACAGGATAGGAACTGGGAAGTCATCGAGAGTAGCCGCATACGGGTCGATCAATTCCGGCGAACCATGCCTCTAATCATGGATTTACGAAATCCGGCTATGCGATCAAGACACTGGGTACAGTTGAAGCTAGAGATGAACAAGCAGTTTGATGAGAATTCAGCCGACTTCACATTGGAACGCATTGTCCAATTGGGATTCGAACAACATGCCGAAATTATCCATGAAATCTCGGGTGCAGCGTCCAAAGAATTGGCGATCGAACATACACTGGACAATATGGAAAGGTTGTGGCAGAATAACGAATTGGATATGGTTCCGTACAAGGAGAAGAACACATACAAACTGCGATCGACTGAAGAGGTGTTTCAAGCACTGGAGGACAATCAGGTGAGCGCTGGTGTGATATGCTGCGTTTAAACGCAGCTGGCGCACAATGAACATGCAAACTTCAGAGTTTTCCAATATTTGCACTAACTTCAGACTTTTGATGGTGCCCCCAGGTTGAACATGCACTCATTACGTATTATAAACAAGGTCTTACATCTTCCGTTTAGGTTCAACTATCCACAATGAAAGCTTCGCGTTTCGTTCGGCCGTTCGAGGTTTTGGTGGACCGTTGGGAAAGGTTACTGTCACTCATTATGGAAACTCTGGAACAACTCTTGTCCGTTCAACGTCAATACTTGTATTTGGAAACCATTTTCCTCGGTGAGGATATTCGTAAACAGTTGCCTAAAGAATCCAGCGCGTTCGATGCAGTTAATATGGACTGGCAGTCAATCACAGCCTTCCTGTATGAAACAAGAAACACCCGGGCCTGCACAACAAAGCCAGGTAAGTCCAGTACGCGGATTTGTTGTTAATCAGATCACATGGTAACTGGACAACAAGCTTTCAGCTATCTCTTACGGGCACCTGAAGATCGCAGTCTGAATTGGGACTGCAATCAATACACTGTATCCGACCTAATCGAGTAAGGAACCCTAGAGTTGAACTAACTGAAGTGAACTCATCCTCTTCCACCGCAATTCCAGGTCTTCTGGACAATTTGAACAGGCTGGTCAACAGTTTAGAAGAGATTCAACAGTCTTTGGATATGTATCTGGAGACCAAACGCCAAATATTCCCAAGATTCTACTTTCTGGCCAACGAAGATTTACTGGAAATTTTGGGACAGGGTAGAAATCCGGATGCGGTGATGCCACATATGAAAAAATGCTTTGATAATATAAATTCGCTAAAAATTGAAAAGGTGAGTTACTTAGCTTGTTACTTTGAGTAGTATATAGAACACAGTCGATTGTATATATTTTTATAGATTGGAGTGGTCCGTATGGACCAAGGTTGCATTAGGTACGTCCAGCTGATTTCCCTTTAGTGACTGAAAGCATACACCTATCACTGATCCTGATTTTGTTCACCAGAAGATCTGAGATCTGAGTAACATTTGGCGTCCATAGGACAACTGATCACGGCCAAATTGGTCAGTGCATCTTTGGAGTGAAAGTGCTCATGGGCAGGCCAACACTGGCAGGTACATGAAAATAGCTTCCAATGGGAACTTGTACATGTATCTGGTCGGTCAATTTGCTCCACTTCATCGAAAACCCTGTGCTACCTTATCAAGGCGAAAAACCCACGTGTCCTGATATCAGCCGTAGCAAGCCGAAGTTCATTTCTAGTTGAATTTCAATCTAAGACACGTGCCTTTTTAGGCTCGACTGTCTAACTCACCGTAACCTCCTGACGTCTTGAAACAAGTCCCCTGTTCGCTATCGGAATTCTACTAGAGAAGGTTAATTGGTGGAAGTGCGACAACAGCGATACAGAAATTTTCGCAATGAAATGACAGAAAAGGCGACTCAATTCAGGCCCTACACAAAGGTCTTGAGCATACGCGTGCATCCAGCTTTACACCGAACTGTCCACACGTGTTACGGCTCCGTAGTCAGGTTAGCAACGTGCGGTATACCCCTACACATACGATCGGAGTGCCCGTCATCTGATCTACCCGACACAGCCCTAGCGACTGGTGCATGTCTCAAAGCGCCTCAGTGAGACCGGAACGAAGGGCGATATCACAGTACCTTTTTTCAAAGTCTTTCTAGGCCATTCAAGCTCAGAACCAGTGGGCTCAACATAGCAAAAGCATATCCTCCGCACAATGTCTGTATCGCTCATATATCGGCGAACGATGCTAGGGCAGCAATAGATGGCCCATACAGCAGTCGCATGGGCAGCGCAGCCGGCTCACTACATCCTCCCGGTCTGATAAGGCGACTGGGACGAATTGGGCTGCCCATTTTCTCTTATAAGAGCCTAACTTTGGAGGAAAAAGTACACCGACTGTTTCCACCGCGTCAGCTTAACGGGGCTGAGCATAGATCATGAATGCAGCAAAGTATCCGAACATTGAGAACGCATGAAGAATTTGAACGGATGGTGTCCAAATCTCCAAGCATTTGAAGAAGACCCGGGCTCGAACATGGCCACACAAACACAAAATGATTTTTTAGAACGTGGGGAAAACATCATAAGCATAGCGACAGCTGGTGTAATTGTCACTCCACATGTGCTATCAAAACTAAGTTGTGGGCTCTTGGTAGAAAAATTCGCTAGGTACGAAAACATTCGTGACTAGACCATATCCTATACGGAGTGTCTGAATCAGACGAACTTATCACAGTAGGACAGTTATTAACTGTGAAATGTTGTGACTAGTTTCAAAAGCCCGTTGGGTCTGCTCAGCTAAAAAAAACTGCCTTGAACCATTGAAAGCAGACCTCATAAAAGCATAGCAATAAGGCGGAGACGGTACGGTCTATTGTTCCGGTAAAACAAGTCCATTATCAATTGGATAGCTGTTGCTATATTCGATATTCCTTTCTTTCTGTCGTAATTTTCGAGCCAGGCTAAGGCTAATGAACCGATTATCCACAATGACGTTACATTCCTTATTAAACGGCCCGATAATCAGTCGCGGTACAACGTGGTCCGAGAAGCAAAAGCCGTTCCCATTGCTCTTTTCATTGGCATCGATATAGGGGTGTAAAGTTTGCACTTAGTTAAACTGTATGTCAACCAGCCTCCGGTTTACTCAGCAGCTCATTAAGGCAGGCAAGTAAATAGTACGACAGCTAACTGAGGAGGATTCGACCACCATACCAACAGATGCAAATGGACCCAATGATTTCGAGCGGAAAAAATCGACCCCGTGACATCACCCGACAGGACATTTGTGCACCAAAATCGTCGATCCACAGGAAGTAAACGCAGTAACTGTTCAAACGAGATTGATGTGAGCGCGCCTTCTACAAACCCTTTAACCACCAACAACTAATCCAGAAATGTTCAGCATGTTTCAAGCGTCTGTGGCGCTTATCTGACTGGGAAGTCCTGACAGACGGGCCAATCGATCGACACAACCAGGATATGTTACTGGGTCGTCGCTCGAGGCACTGGGTCGACAACTTCACTCAAGCTCGAACAGGTTTGCCTGTTCAGACGTGTCCAACGTGCGCTGGTGGAATAGTGGTAACATGCGGAGTTCAAACGTCAGTATAGCGAAGGCTATGTACTGCTTGGTGGGCACTAATAAGGGCGAAACTTGGGTTCGGTGCTTCCTCCCTCCTTTGGTATGGACATACCAGAATGATTACGCCAGGACAGGAGGACGACTGCTCAAGAGAGTGATGTGAGCATGCATTCTACACCCACACCTAACTCTTGTAAAGCTAATTTTTGTGCTTTATTCCGAGGCATCGCTAGCATTATACTGCGACACAGTACGCAAAGTACCATCGATGAGCAATTTGAATGCGTCCAGCGGAGTGCGTACGTTTGTTCAACCTTGAGTGACTGAGAAAATATCAACCCAGGAAAACCGGTCGATCGTTGTGCTTGGATTTCCTTCATTTTAAACACACCCAGCCACTGTTTAGGTTACCCAGAAATTCATCACGTATTTCCGAATTTCCCCCACCCTGTTAACGAAATCTCAGTACCTGCATCCATGCCCTTGAACCAGAGATGGGTCGGCTTGTTCAGTGGCTAGACATATCACAGCCAAATGTGTGTGCACGTGTAAAAGATTTCGAGTAGAGCGCAATCGTTGCACCTGATCCTACCAGCCCATTCTCGATGACCCGCTACAGTAGACCACGAGGTCAGGTAAGCGAACCGTCCTATTGGACGTCCGATACACCCACCTCTGAAAAAACGTACGACGAAGCCGTTCGCACGACAGCGTGACCGTTGTTTGCCATCACCCTTATGCTGGTTTGGTGGCTTTTCTCACCTGTCCCCCACAAGCCCAGGTAGAAACTGCATGGTGTGACGATGGAAATGCTTCACACAACGCACATGCCGTCCAACCGATTGAAATGAAATGTAGCGTGAATATTTAATTCTAGATTTTTGTACCAAGTCATTGTAGTATCCGGAACAGTGTGACGAATTCCACAGAGCCGATTTTCATTTCTGTTCGACTTCAGGCAGACCCAAAGCTAGGAGATTGGCATGGACATCCGTATTCGGAACATTGGGCAGCAGATGAATTGACAGAAAGGACTGTGGCAAACAGCACGCGGGATAATGGGAACTACAGGTCTGGTAGCGATTTAGAGGCTGTAGACGATAATCATAACGGTCACTGTCATCTGGCAACTGAGGTCGTCGATCAGTACACGAAAGGAGCCTATGGAACAAACAAAAAGTAGCACAGAGGGAACAGATGACGGAAAAGGCTCGGCGTAGCTCGGGTTACAGAGATGATAGTCAGTAGGCAGGTTGATCAGCAGGGGCGTACTTCACAACTCTAGATGTGCGCCATATCGCGCACCGTTTTTACGCATAGTATGCGCGAACCACACTAGGGTCAGATGCATAGACACGGGCCAATAAAGAATCAGATACCAGCAACAACGGTAACGGAGCAATCACTTAACTGCCAGTTCTATAAATCACCAGTAACAGGATCAGCAGTACAAAGAGAAGTATGGGGAGTTCAGACTGCTTAGTGGTAGTCTGCGATAACGTAAAGCTTGAACATTTTGGTTCCTGTAAGGAATCAACGACCATGAAAGTAGTTTCGGAAAACAGTTGCAAACGCGAGGCCGTTGTACATTCGCACTCACTTGCTGCAATAAATCTGTTGTGTTCCTTGTCGGTGAGACTTTTTTTCTGGAACTAAAGCACTAGATTGGGGACAGCAGGTAGATACAGAGGTTCTCTAATACGTGTTGGCCGGGAAGACACTGCTGTGTTCCTTGTCGGCGAGACTTTTTTTCTGGAACTAAGGCACTGGATTGGGGACAGCAGGTAGATACAGAGGCTCTCTAATACGTGTTGGCGGGGAAGACATTCAGTGGTGTTGAATTGCACTCATGTACCGTTGAAGCATGGAACGTGCATCATGTGAGACAAAGCCCTTGTCCACTGAAGCAGCCACCAACATGGAAACGGAAAGACAGGGTTTTGTCACACAATATGATATAGAGGAACACTTTTTTTCTGGAACTAAAGCACTAGATTGGGGACAGCAGGTAGATACAGAGGTTCTCTAATACGTGTTGGCCGGGAAGACACTCAGTGGTGTTGAATTGCACTCATGTACCGTTGAAGCATGGAACGTGCATCATGTGAGACAAAGCCCTTGTCCACTGAAGCAGCCACCAACATGGAAACGGAAAGACAGGGTTTTGTCACACAATATGATATAGAGGAACCTATGGATGAAGAAGGTGCAATAGAAGTGGAGGACGATTCAATGATGAAGAGATAATCCTCCGGTATTCTAACGATGATGTTGCTGACCCAGTCGTTTCCACTTGAAGCTATTCTGAGTGATGAATATTGGGGAAATTGTCGCCTGTTAGTCAGGAGGGCCGGAAACCTGGTCGGTACACGTTTTCACAAGGCAAGGATGGAACCCGGAAAGTGAAAGGTTTCCTTTATGGAGTATCAGTGCATTGTACGTCAACCTACAGAGGTGGAAATCTATGGCCAAAAACAGTCAGTAAAACTAAGTTCGACGGTGAGCAGCAAATTTACGATCGAAGAAGATAGTATAAAAGTCACCCATATTGATATGAATTCTTACAACGCCCTGCATTTGTTAAGTTCAGTTACCCAACTACTTTAAACATGAGGCTGAAACGAAAGAAATCGATAAACGCTGATCGCATAAGGTCAGTTCTGTTGGAAAAATTACGTGCGTTCCATCATTCGCCACAAAGACTCATTAGAGGGCACCATCCCATAATAAGGATAGGGTCCTTGTTGGAAGATTTTCGTTCACTGAACGGCTGTTTTCAATAATTTCGTTGAAACGTGGAGTCCAGCTAAAATGTACCTTGTAATGCTATCAGTTTCCATGTTTTCGATCACTTAATGCAGAGGTCGTGGTCCTGATTGTTGGTATCCGTCAACGGAGGAAACGACAGAGCTCATGTTGTATTCGATTCTAAGGTCAGGACGACGCAAGACGGACATGTCATAAAGAGCACTTTGACACAATTATTTAATTAGTTTGCCATTTCATTAAGACTTCAGAGAGAAATTCAAGCTTCGAGAGGATGAAATTTTAACCCCTTCGATACGATCACGCAGGTCGATTAACTTGGTACGATAAACGTATTTAAATGGTGACAATCGAAACCAACATACACATGTGAACGGCTCATGGTTGGAGAACCGAAAAACACAATTGGTGGGCATCCCAGTGGAGTTCCTGTTGCATTTCCCATATTCGCGTCACAACTTTCCTTCAGTCTGATCACCAATTCAGTCTGATCAGCTATACTCATGGCCGCAACAGGCACGTGGTCTATTCGTTGTCAAATCGCAACTTCCCGCAGCAAACTGAGTTCGTTCTCCGGTCTTGTTCTGCACTGACCTTGGAAACAAGCCCAAACCTAAGGGCTTGCCCCAAAACGGCATAGCTCAAATAGGCCCCTTGAATTGCGCTTTTGGGCTTCTGCTGTCTTCACTCTCGCCAGGACGAGACTCTGGAGGGTGGAACTCCGTGCGGCTGTGACTCGAATGTGCTGGGGTAGGGATTGGGGGTGGTGATGCTTTATCGCGTAGCTCGGCCCACCTGAGATCGAGACTACCGCTCCGTCAGCTGATTCACTCTACCATGGCGAGGTCAAATGGGATAGTGGTGTAGATGCCGTGACGGCGGGGATTGTTACCGCTTAGCTGACCGTAGTTCGTTATGCGATGGCTATTATCGTGGCCTAACGGCAGGCCACATCTCGTTGGAGGTGTGTATTTTCAAAAGCGAAAAAGTGCTGATTTTGGGGCGTGTTTTGTGTTATGTTTGTGTGACATTCTTCCATACGTCGAAGTAGACATGGACTGGCGTGAAGGTAATTTACCCGTCGTTTATGGAAAACAAAACTGACTATTGCCATCGTGAAGGAGAAGTAACAGAAAAGTATCTAGCCTTGAAAGATTTACCTTGGAACAAGTGTATTTAACACTCTTAAAACATTCAAGACCAAAAAATTAAAAATAGGTCTTTGGGTGTACGCTTCCCCTAGGCTCTTTGTGATTTATATGACAGGTGTCTCTTCCATAATTGAGGGATGGTTGATTCTTTTGATTCGTTGATTCTTTTTCAAATGGTTCAGCCCTTGGGCATACTGGCCACTCAGAAAACACTCCGCTGCACTGAAGCTTACTTCAAATCCGTTATCTCCAGAACAACACAAAAGTTTAACATCGATTGTGCGCCTTAACCGTCAAAGGAAGCCATATTTTTTAAAGCAATATCGAGTGGCAATGAGTGGGACCATTTTTAAGGCTTTTTGCTATCCATAAGATACGCTCGATACGGTGAAGTATAGGTATGCGACCATTAACCATGCTGTTTTGGTAAAAAAATATTCCCCATCACAGATTGGTGGATTTTTGTGCACGTACGAACGTCCTAAAACGTCGGTTCCACGGACTGGATGCTTCCTGCCAATAGCTACGACGTAAAAGTCAACGCTAAAACGGACCCTTACATCAATGGCATCATTGGGTTCCGAAGCGAATGCTTACCAGTTAATGTTACTTTACTTGATCCAGCAGTACTGTGAACATGGGGTGGCATACGTACAAAGATACATTTAAACTTGGGTGACCAAACTGTTATGTTCTCGAAATCATTCATCTTTAGAGACAGTGCGGCGGATACGATTTTCCTTGAGATCGCTTAATGAAAGAGAGGCACCAGAAGCATTCATTAATAAACGTAGATTTACCCAACCTCTGGAGTTCAACTTGGCCTGTTTCGGTGAAAACGCTTACCGTAAGGTTAAAAAGTAGCGGACCTGACTGAATCATGTGTAACTTAGAGCTACCAGGATTTGAGAGATATGGAGTAATTACACAGATGACTTATCTATTTCTGGGGCTCGCGGGACAGGTATAGTCCCCGGGTTCTGTGATAATCAGTCCCCAATCTGAACAACACTTAGCTCACAAGCAGATTATTAGTGCACAGTTGATGATAGTCATAATATAATTCAAAAGGTATATGCACTAATAACAGTTGGTCGTTGGGTTGTTCGCTGAGCTGGGCCAATTTAGTTGCAAACGTTTCATCACCAATCGAGGTCAAATCATCCGTGCGTAGTTGTGCGTAGCGGTGGGTTAGTGGTTGTGGCAATAACCCACCGCTACGCGCAACTACGCACTGATGATGTCACCTCGATTGGTGATGAAACGTTTGCAACCAAATTGCCCAGCCCAGCGAACAAGCCAACGACCATCTACGCTACCTGAGCTACCGACATTCTCCTCTATAGAAAACTAATAGCAGTTTTTACTACGGTTGACAGTAGTTTACAGTGGCGAGTTGCATCATGTGTAAAATAAATGCAATGCGAGAGGTGGAGTGAGTCAAAAGGGGAGATTAGCGTTTGTGAGAGTTCCTGTGTGAAAGCTCGGACGGCAGGAACGTGTTTTCTCCGCAGTATAGATGCCACACGTGTTCCGCAACTGTCCATGGACTTGTGGAGATTGGTTGGCTTCCTGCTCTCCTGTGCGCACGTGTATGCGTGTGGTGACTGTGTTGTCTTCCTATATGTAGGAAAGTTTGATGTCTGTATAATACATAGAATCGTTCCGACGCGTACAAGACGGGAACTTGTCGGTCTTGCTTCCTGCTCTCCTGTGCGCACGTGTATGCGTGTGGTGACTGTGTTGTCTTCCTATATGTAGGAAAGTTTGATGTCTGTATAATACATAGAATCGTTCCGACGCGTACAAGACGGGAACTGACTTGTCGGTCTTGGTTGCAAGTAGGACAGGGGTTTGTCACGTGATTTGTGCGTTTGCGGATCAAACGGGTCGCGTGATCTAGCGAGCACGGATGGACTAGACAAATTAGGCGAAGTTGACTGAAGCAACAAGGAAGTGACCGTTACACGTATTGCTGGAGGTTTGGTGTCGTCCCTCTTATTCGGTACCATATTGTTATTTTTTAGCCTAATATTCAGCATATGGGTTGCTTCCAGACTACAGCGTGAAAACATTCGATGAATTCTGCCTCATTTCCGCATTTCAGTAGTACGGAAAAACTGTACGAAATCCGTAGACAACTCACTACCGTTCGCTACATTACTGGCATCAGAAACCCAGAATATCACTTTGTCTATTTTCTCCGGAAGCGCGCAGTCTTGGAGTTGCATCTCACACTACATGTTGCACTAAACATGGCCGAACATGTATGTGTAGATTGGCCGCTTGACCATAACCATACACCCATCAATCAGACTTGAGACGCAGTAATGATGCGTTAGCTATGCACTGTTGATTGTCCTCGCTAAGGGCATGGCGACTATGTATTGTTTCCACTCGAAAACGTGGAGCATCACACCGCGATTTCACATATCGACGCCATAATTCACCACTGACTGGGACTAGTAAGTCTGTCATAAGATTGTTCGTCATTGCTCGGTACACCTCCTGTAACCGCATGATACACTGTTTCTGGGTCTGTTCAGTGTCACACGCCAAATCCAGCTGTTTAGTCTTCTCACTACTCTTAAACGGTATTCCAAAATATCTAGGCAACCGACCTGTCCACGAAGGAAAGCCAGTCTCCGTAGAATGAGGACATCCAATACTCCCTACACTGATTCTAGTGAATCCCCACGTAACGCTGAAATACGGCAGTCTGACACAGCCGTATAACTCCATGTTTATGGTCAAAAACGTACCTCTTGGCGTAGTCTCTTGCTTGGCTTTCGTGTCTGATCATTCCCTTTCAAAGATACTTGATTTTTGACTTGTCAAGGTACACTCTCGTCTTGATCGTTATGGCGGCATTGCAAAACTGCCAGCTCCTAGACGAATGATGCTTGAACCTCACACATCAGACAAAGGGGACAAAACTCAAGCAGTTGCAGATTCTGTTACATCCAAACGTTCTGGGATATTAGCACAACAGACCACCGCAGTGCAAGCGTCCCCTGAAGCGCTGCCGGCGCAAATATCAAACATGAACGTTGCAGACGGTGAGCTACAGAACCTCGCAGATGCAAGTAGTATCCAAGGTGTTGAAGACTTACAATCAGACGTTGGCAGGCATATCTTCGAAATTTCGGCCCCAGAAGGTCCGGCCGCAGACGAACAAACAGCAGTAACCGAGGATAAGGTTGATGACATCATGGAGCCAGGAGGTGAAAGGATGGACATTATTGATGTATTTACAAACACCAAACAAGATCAAAGTGGTCAAGAATCACCAAGCCTCGAGCCACAGGCGGATACAGAGGGTTCATTGTCTATCTTGACTGATAAACCCAAAACAGCACAGGCTTCTGACACTTCAATATCAGCTGGTACTGCACCCGGTGGGGTAATACAGTCACCAGCATCTTCACATCCCGGAATTGTTCCTACTGCGGGAAAAGCGAAACATCACGCGGTAATCGCCTGTTCCTCACTCCTGAACAAGCTTACGTTCCCTATCTTTAGTTTTCCGTTTGTTGCTTTTTCAATACATTATGTTTCATTTTTCGCGTTGGTTTGGTTCCGAAACCTCGAAATTCATAACTCGTGAACCTTCTTTTCAACCACCAGTACACCGCAACCATCCATGAGGCGTTGTCTATGTATTCGATGGATGGGGAAGAGGTTCCCTTCAAGACCAAAGTCCGTTTGGAGGGTCCAGTGGAATCGTGGCTTTGTGACGTGGAGGAGCAAATGTATAAAACCTTGCGAGATATGCTCCGAGAGTGTCGCTTTGCGTTGAAAAAAGCTGCAACAAAACGTGAGAAGTTTGTAAAGGACTGGCCTGGACAAATGTGTATCACATCGAGTCAGATTCAGTGGACTGCAGACGTGACCAGAGCTTTGCAGCTGGTAAGTTTCCCATTCGCCTGGTTGTCCTCGGCTCTTAGTAGGCTGACTGTATCAACGCCCAGATTGTCTGGTGTCGGACGAGGCCGTGTCTATGACCCAGGCACGGCTTGATTAATCTTTTTGATAAGATGGTCATTTTAAGATGGGTCGTGTCTCTTCCGGAGAAGCTGTTCTGAAGGCAACTTGTACACGGATGGCTTGCTGAATAGCTTGCTAGGTTTGAAATCTCCAAGCCCACCTCTCCTAACTGATGCAATTTAACTACTACCTTTTTACTACTGTGTACCTCAAAAAGACCATCTGACAAACAGAGCTGATATTGATTTTTAGAAGTGTTTCATATTCGATGGAACTAGGGGACATTTCCCCACAAAGATTATCATTCAGGTTTCGACAAAATACTAAAAGTACAGAGGTAAATTTATGGATGTAACGAAAAGAACATAAAATATTTAGTCATTGAGTATGAACTATTCTCTTGAAATTTGACAGTTTACTGATAGCTTTATACTGTATGTTATACTGTTGACCTTTTCAAGATATCTAAAATTAAACCTTCCAGTGTTCAGGCAAGCAGTTCGAAACATTCGATAATCATGAAGGGATGTCCTAATAGGTGTGAAAAGCTCCAGGTTTCACACCACATTTCGAATACCTCTTGGGACATCCTGAATTCACACTGAGTCATTGTTATATCGTGCGGTGGTGGCCGAGCGATTGGGTTACGCATGCACTGAGCCTGCCAGACTACGCGATAGGGAGAAGACAGAGAACCGGGGACACGGCTGTATTGCCAGGACGAAACATGCAGAGCGTCTGCGTAAATATATAGGATGACAAATTGGCCAAATATGGTCGTTTACTTGTTCGCTTCGTACAGCCAATGGTGGTGTTCCGGTCGTCAACATTCTCAGGCCCACTACGCTGGTCGTGTGTTGCTAGGCCGTTTGGTGAGAGCCGCCAACTCATCTACTTTCCGGATTTGTCGTACCGATGGTGACCTTGGGGATGCGTCACTCTCTGCACATGTGCTTTTTCTTCTGTCTGGGCGCGCCCTGACAGTCATATTTATTTTACTATGCGGATAAGCGTTGCAAGAATTCGATTGAGTAATTTGTTTTTGTTATAGCTGAACTACCGAAAAACGTAGTCGCCATTAGTTGAGTCTGGTATGTTTGCTATCACAGTGTCAGGTATCGGATATATAGGCTTCATCGGCCTCTCACCGGTCGGGAAACTCCGGCAACAGTTGCATAGTCTAACGCCACCAGAATAAATTCGAATTAATTTGGGATAACTCAGTTCAATTTATTGGATCAGAGCTCATACAAATTCTATACATTCTATCCATGTCTGACTGAATTGCAGTCAATTCGAAAACTGTTAAATGGAAAATGCCCTATAAAAGGAAACTGGATGTAGTCAAGTGAAAAACACCGACTGTTCTTTATTTTCTCCGTTGTTTTTTTGAAAATAAGCAGACGAGGGTTTTTACAAATGACTCCAGATTTACATCGAAAACTTATTTTCTAACGGTGGTTAGATGGGTCGATCCCAGTAACCGTCAGTCTCAAAATTGAGACATGATCTGTATCACTTGTCAGAATAATGACGATCGCTTTCCGCCCCTTCTCTTAAGTTACATTTTGGTCCAGAAAATATTTAACTTGCGTTAAAAGACTATTTGATGCGATTAGGGTGGTAAATTTCTCGAAAGTTCCATAATAAAACGTGTACTATCGGTGTTATCAGCCTGTCGAAGTAACGGTATTATGGAGTTGTTACAACCAGTCGTTCATTTGCCTTTCCTGCAGGTTGGACAGCGTCAAGACAAAAAACCGCTGAAGTCACTGCGTCACAAACAACGAAATATGCTGGAGAAATTTTCCGAAATGATACGCTCAAATCTCACCAAAATCCAGCGTCTAAAAATCAATGGTCTGGTCGTGATTGAAGTGCATCAGAGAGATATCATTGAGAAGCTGTACAAATCCGGTTGCAATGATATCAACGCATTCGATTGGTTGAGTCAGCTGAGATTCTACTGGGATAAAGTATGTGCGAGCTTCGGCCTCCTCACACTCGTTCACGTTAACCTAATAGTTCAGGTTTCTGGAGTATCTTTCAACATAGAATGTTCTGATTGAGCTGTTGCATGTATAGGAGATGAGGTCGATTGGCATAAGCAAACTATGGTCTTTTTTCTAATTTCCTCAAGGAAGAAAACCTTAGTCAACTAGAGTAACTTGTTCAGCCATTTGAGTTTTTGTTCCTTTTGCTTGATAGTCCTCATAGGAAGCCTTGGCAATAAATCCAGTTTTTGTTCCGTTCTGGGCATATTTTTTATCCTCACTTCATCAGGGAAGTTCATTGCATCTGTTTTCGATAAAACAGACACAGGATGCTTCTGAAATTCATGGTCATCCGGTGGAACTTGGGCTAGAAGTCGAGAGGCCCCTACAGCTCTCTTATCCTGGCTGGGTTCCGTCAGAGGCAGTTATCTGACATGACAAAGTGAAATGAAGAATTCCTGCAGTGCTGCGACGGCTACGTCATTTCTTTCAGCAACAGTATCGATAATGTATCCGCCAGGCATTAAAATAAAACGACATCGAGATTCTGGAATAAACCTTATGCCCTAGGTCGTCCCATACTTAGCCTAATACACCTGTTACACAGTGGCCTTGGCGTCTAATACGCATATGTGACATTGAGCGAACGTGCCTTGACCTACAACCAAGAAGCGTATTGTTGGATCAAGTTGTAATTACTAGGTCAGTGAGCAGGCAGAATTTGACCCCGAACCATGGTAAAAGTGGCATCGTTGCCTCATGGGACCTTTGGAAACATGACTCAGCATGATAAGCAGTGGGCTGAACAACTTGATCCCCGTGTAGCCCATGGACTTCGTCAGTGGTACTAGATCTGCTCAGATTCGTCCACTGAACGTCACTCTTGAGCAGTGTAAGAATGGGGCCATTCCGGAGTTGACTCATCTGGTCCCACCAGAGTTGATTTAACGCGACTTCAGACAAGTAATCTATCAAGGGATTAACAGACACATTTAAGAACTGGCAAAGAACCAAGCACCGTCACCAGTGGCTGCATGGAGTCGTTAGGTTTGTAAGTATTGTGGACGTACGCCCAGTGTATGGAAGGGCCCTCAAATCACAAAACAAGCGTCTGTAGTCTGCCAATCAGAGGTTGGTGGTTGCAAGGAGTCAGAAAATAGTGTTCTGTTTCTGTGTTTTCGAAGGGTCACTGAAAGTCATGCTAAAATCACTTACTTTAATTCTGATACTGTTTGAGTGAGGGCAACTTAAAGTAGTTCTCTTCATGAATCAAAAGAAGTCCCCACCGTGCAGTCATTTAATGGTCTGTTCCGTTGCACTAAACTTTTCGGCTATAAATTATACCAACGATTAGTAGGCCGGGTGACAAAATGGCCCAGGACAATCAGACGAGTATTCGACGATAAATAAGTCCATTACCATCTACCTCTGTTGCATTCAACCTTATAGACAGCTATTCATCTATGACAGTTTCCGTGACTTTATAGCCTGAGGCCGCCAAGGAGACATTCGGCAGCTTTGAAGCTTGCGAGCGGACCACTGCTTGGTCAGGCTGAGGGTTTTTCTAGCTTTTGGTCTGTTCTGTTGGGCGATCAGATATCCAGCATGAAACCTAAAATGTAGTGGAAACTTCTGAAAACTAGATGGATGAGGCTGATCACAGTTAATCATCCTCTTTGTGGAGAATCCCCTGGTGGACGATATTAGTACACGAGAGCTAGACAACTGCTTGTAGCCAACCGACATAATTGTGACTGATTTGGGTTCATGTTCGTTTGAAAGAGAATAAAATCATGAGGATTGCGCCTGTAGGAAAGAGATACTCCTTCCGATACTATACTCAAGGTTTCTGTAGTGTTTGTATTCAGGAAGATATAGGAAACTCCCAGTCCTTCGCAAGATGCGATTTGTTGAAGTAAGTTAACAGATTTAATAGGTTCGCCCACTGATTAGGTAAAAACTAATGCCGGTGAAGCGATTATGGTTCTCAAAGATTCGCCTGTTTACCCCATCGATTTCATTCTAGGAACCAGACGACTGTTTCGTTCGGCAAACCAACACCTCCTTCCAGTACGGTTACGAGTATTTGGGTAACTCCGGTCGCCTCGTGATAACACCGCTAACCGACCGATGTTACATCACCTTGACCACCGCTTTACACCTGCACAGAGGGGGCTCACCCAAAGGTCCAGCCGGTACAGGTAAAACGGAAACAGTGAAAGATTTGGGCAAAGCACTTGGTGACTATGTGATAGTGGTCAATTGCTCTGAAGGGTTAGACTACAAATCAATGGGACGCATGTTTGCGGGCCTAGCTCAGACGGGCGCCTGGGGATGCTTTGACGAATTTAACCGGTGAGTATTTATCCCTCCGATTTCTTTTCTTTTTGAACTAGCTATCAGCTACTTACGAAGCTTTTTTTCAAACTGGGGTTGTTATAGAGGGCAGATAAACGTGGCATTCCGATAACATTACAACATACCATTATAGATCAAAACAAATTTCTTTTAAGAAATACACTCATTTGCAAATCAATTTGGTTTTCACGAGAAACTCAACTGAATCTCTCGTTTATGATATTTTACAACTGAATGTGCTGCACGCAGGCCGCCTCATGATTCAGTTGGCACGATATTCGAGATATCGCAGTATATTTTCACAAAGGAAACTACTCACAAGGTTGCTGAAAACTCTTCGACAGCCCACGAGCGGTTTCGCCCTTCTTGGGGCTCATCAGGTAGGCGCAGTCCCCGAGTTTCCGTCAACCTCATGTTCTACTTGAATTCTAATTGCCCGAAATTAGCGAACTGTACTCATTTGCGTAACAATTTAGTTTTGACGGCAGACTCAGCCTGGAACCCTGGCAGACTTCCGTTTTGTTTGAAGTAAGTGCTACAGATATTTCGTATTTGCAATGTTTTGGAATTTAGGTAGCTCGGGTGCGCTGCTTGGTTGTTGTCGCCGATTGGCGAGGAAACGTTTGCAACCCAACTGCCAAGCTCGGCGAAAAGACCAACAACTAAGCAGATATTCCGTATTCTTGCACATTCTCGATCCACCCAAGCAGCATGGTGAAACCGAGCCCTGTCACCTAGGAATGAGAGTCAGTAAACACGACAACTTACCCCGGAAGCCCAAACTCGACTACTATTGAGGCGAATGTTGATTTGTTGTGGGTTAGGCAAGCTGGTTGAAAACGCTTTACCACCAGTCCAGTGGACTTCATTGTGTCCCTAGGGGTGGAACGTCGGTGGTTGTGCGCTGGCGATGTGCGTGCGGTAATACACGTGCTGCTAGTCGATACTGATCTCCAATTAGAGTGGGCTGTTTGGTCGGGCGGTGAGTGGGGGAGACCGAGCTCAAAGGTCATGTTGGCGTCGACCAATCCGAATACTAGCCAACCAATCAACCAATAGATAAGGCTAATCAAACAACCAAACCTATTTCCGAGGTCATTGTCGGTCAGCAGATGTACATTGTCACACGCACCACGGCTCAGCGCACAACCTCTAACGCATCGCTGTGCCGATGTCTCAACTGATCATGAAACTGTGACCAACTTAGCATGCTTCGTGAACGAGCCAACAGCCATTTGCCCTTAATCAACAAAAACACAATGGTGTTGACCAAGAACTCGAGAATCATTGAGCTGTCATGCGTTGCTTTATTCTATTCTTTAGGTGTATCAACTATGACTAACACTTCAAACGTGGAGCGTATCCGCAAGTGATGCTGTGCGTACCTTTATACCAAATTGACTCGTCAATTATATTCAGCTAGTGTGGTGAGGAAGGGGTAGAAATTAGTGCATCAGTTGTGCTGTTCGAACTGCTATTCGACTTAAGCTAACAGTAAGGAGCACTTTAAGTGTGGTCTCTTCTTTCAGAGACTAAACAAGCCATTTTGGGAACCCGGATATATCTCCTCTTCGGCTTCGAGGAGTTTGTCTTCTCGAGGGGGAATGCAGGTGGGAGAAAGTTTGTATTACCTCGATGAGACTTTTCCTTTTGGGGTTGTGTCCTTCGGCGAGAGCACCGAGTTATAAAAAGTATATCCCGCCTCTCTTTCAACTGGTATCGTGGGTTCGACCCCAGCCTACCGACAGTCCACCGTACCAACCAGGGCTCGTCAAGTGGGTGCGCCCCTCGCTGGAGCACGAGTTGATTAATAAGCTGATTCATCAGCATTTTGAATCCATGTGACCTTGAGGCCAAATAGGACTTCTTGTGAGACATTCCCCGTTTCAACGTACTTCAGCTGACTGTGCAATTCAAAAGGTGTCTCACGATTCAGCCGAGCTCACTGTGGTCTGTTTCCGAAATAAACTTACAAATTAACAAGATGAGGGGAGCAGCGCGTTTTTGGAAGTATGCAAGTGCTCGGATTTGTAGTCTATTTTTTTTTTACATCCTTCGGACTACTCGGATGGTCTGCAGCCGAATATTTTGCCATCGTTCCCGTCATTTCAACTGTCCTCCATGGAATAGAGTTTTACTGACTTCAGCTGCAGTAATGCGCATAACACCTTCCAGGTTCTCCTATACTACCCACGCATCCGCCATATACTGATGGTAAAATCGCTATGACAGTGGAAATTTGAACTACAGTGGCCTGCTTTCCGTAGTGTATCCACTGCCGACGGATATAAATCTGAGTAAGTTGCTTTCTACACGGTGTTATTCCAGATGTGGCGGTATAAGACCCATGGAAAACTCACTCTTAATCTGCTGTGGAGCATAACAGGCGATTTTTTATGTTGATGAAGTTGAGCGCAGACATTAGAATCAAATGATGCTTTGTTTGGATAATGCCTACGGTTTTTGATGATGTCAGTTGCGAATTTCCCAAACAGTTGTTGCGAATTCATTCCTTTTGGCACAGGATAAACATTGAAGTATTGTCGGTGGTCGCACAACAAATCCTTTCCATATTATCCGCACTGGCCCTGGCCGCTCAATCTTCCAGTCCTATGGAAAAGACTCGATTCATGTTTGACGGGCGAATGTTACAGCTGGTCTGGTCTTGTGGGATATTTATCACAATGAATCCGGGCTACGCAGGCCGTACCGAGTTGCCAGACAACCTGAAGTCCATGTTTCGTCCTATTGCCATGGTGGTGCCGGATTCGTCCATGATTGCCGAAATCACTTTGTTTGCAGAAGGGTTCGGGTCGACCAAGGTTGGTTCACTGCGTTGTATTGCTATCGGTCGCAGTCAGACTTCCGTGAGCGGTGACATAATATCACATAAGTGTGCCCTGTAAGAAGATGCCTCGGCTGAAACAGTGTTAGCAATGCCCACCCGGAGCATGATGGTTTTGTGAAAAGCGGCACATAACACTCTTATTCGGATTTCAAAACAGTCTTCTAAATGAAAAATAATATCCGTTCAGCTGTAGTGCCTTTTCATTAAATAGCTATCATGCCACCCGAACAAAGCACGAGGGCTGAGATCCTGCCAAACTGCCCAAGCTCAAACAGGACCAGTCGGGATGCAGAGGTAGGGTTAAACCTTCCGGGCAGTGAGTTTGCGCCCTAACCACTGAGCCATGTCAACCTCAAACTGTCCTATTATTCATCGTTGTTTGCAAGAGAGCAAAACTGAAGCTCATCTGACTTGCATTCTTAAGTAGCTTTAACCGCACACATGCAACTTAAAACAATACAATCTGGCTTTGGCTGTGTATATCTGTGCATTTTTCACTGCACTGTTTTTCGTGTTTTCTACTTTTTGGCGCCATTTTTAATGGGTAATTACACGTAAAGGCACGCCAATTTCATTGCTTTGGTGTTCTTAAAGGGAACAGGTTTTGTTGAGGATGTCGACTGCCTAGAAAACATTGTTTCTAAAAGCCTGGTCAAAAGTTCAACCGGCTAATATATTGTGATCAAAGTAACTCGTCAGCCTACTTCCTGATATGATCGTTTAATTGATCAAGAGGCATTCCCAATATAGCCGGAAGATGAGCTAAGCTAAGTCTTTCTTCAAATGAAAGAATTAACCGGTAGTCTGGTAGCATTCGACTAAATTAAGTTGAACCGTGAAATCTCAGCTTTGGATCGTTATCAAATGTATCGCTCACTGTTCCGTCAGACAACCGGATAGATGAACACTTCTCATTGATAATGAGACTGGGAAAATGCCAAATCTAAGTGTCCAACTAAGCTCGCGGAAGTCTGACTGTACTTATTGTTCTGATAAGCAACTGGTATTATAAGATTAACCTGGCCGAATGCCAGCCAAAAACTGGCATCACTACGTGGTTGTTTCTTCTTCGCGCATACAAGCTGCATAATTCTTATTTATCTCCTTCAGCTGTTGGCGAAAAAAGTTTTCACTCTGTACAGTTTAACAATCCAACAATTGAGCAAACAGGATCACTACGATTTCGGCTTGCGTGCGTTGGTATCCGTGCTGCGTTATGCTGGTCGGAAGAAGCGCTCCAATCCCACAATGCCTGACGAGGAAGTCCTGTTACTTTCACTGAACGATATGAACTTGGCGAAGCTCACGTCGGTGGACCTGCCGCTTTTTAAGGGCATTATGACTGACTTGTTCCCTGGTGTCGAGGCACCGAATATTGACTACACAAAAGTGAGTGCATTTGAGGATGTGCTTTTTATTCTGAAAGTGTTTAAACAAGCTAGACGCAACTACATGTTGACATGGATGGTCAACCGGCCATAAATCCCAGTTAATGAAGAAGCAACTAACGGTTGTGATAGCTGTTGGAGCACCCTGTTGCCAGTATTAATCGTTATCCCTATGTAAGGCGCGTATAACAGGGTGCGTCACATCCAATTTCTCCCCTCAGTGTTGCTAGTCTGCTCATATTTATCCTCTTGACAGATCAAGAATGCTGTAGAATCCACTTGCAAGTCAATGAATCTCCGCATGATTCCTTTCACCTTAAACAAAGCCATCCAGTTGTACGAGACCAAGAGTTCGAGGCACTCTGTGATGATTGTGGGAAAAACGTTGTCTGGAAAATCTACCACCTGGCGAATTCTTCAGAATGTTCACAACAACCTAGCCAAAGCTGGCGAGCCTGGTTTCGAACGGGTCCAAGAATATCCGCTGAACCCGAAGGCTGTATCCTTGGGAGAACTGTATGGAGAGTTCAATCTGGCCACTAATGAATGGACTGATGGGGTTCTTTCATCTGTGATGCGACAGACCTGTGCTGGTAGGTTTGAGTGCTTCGCGGTTTTCGTTTTTTTCTTAATACAGGAAATTTTTTATACTGCTTTTGCATAAAAGACTCTGTTGCTGCAGTGTATGGTATCCAATGACCACCTTTGTTGTTACAGATGATACACCGACGCTGAAATGGATCATATTCGACGGGCCGGTTGATACTCTGTGGATTGAAAGTATGAACAGCGTGATGGATGATAACAAGATCCTCACACTTATCAACGGTGAACGCATATCAATGTCGGAACAGGTAGGTCGAATCAGAAGTGCACATCGCTCATGGACGCGAAAACCTGATGAGTATTTTAGGTCAAGAAGTCCGGGACTGTAGCTATCAGTATTTGTTATAGCTGTTCAGTACTTTGGCGCTGAGTTAGTAAAACATCTCCATGTATCCGAAAGAATGTACTTTACCCTGAACTGAGTGAACAGCCAGTCGACAAGACTAAGGCAGGCGAACTTTTGTTGTCTCCAACGCTTTGTGGCCAAAATGAGCAAAGAAGCGTCGTTTCTTTGTTGTTGGAATCCTATCTCGAAGCAAATGGAACTGAGGGTTAAATACTGCTACAGCTGACTTGTACGACAGGATGAATTGATCCCATAAATCTCCCGAATCGTAGCTATCAAAACTTGACGATCTAACGTGAGCTCCGCATATATTGCGAAGCTGCCTTGCTTTCAGTGACGGACACCCCGGTAGGCAGGAGACTACGAGTTTCGACATCTGATTTGACCGTATTGGATTACTTCAAAACAATGGGGTGGTGATATCGCAACCTCAGATACTCTTTGTGTAAATCTCGGGTAACGATATATCCCTTCCACCTACTGTCACACCCAACAGGTCTCCCTCTTGTTCGAAGTCGAGGATTTGGCCGTTGCTTCCCCCGCAACTGTATCCCGCTGTGGAATGGTGTATAATGACGCACATGACCTTGGTTGGTGGCCCTACGTCAATTCCTGGTTGGCAGCAAAACAGGATAAGACACTGGTGGATGAAACGAGACGTCTGTTCGAGAAGTACATTGAAAATTTACATCAATACATCAAACAAAATTGTAATACCTTGGTGCCAATGAGTGAAACGAATACAGTAATATCACTCTGCAGATTGTTCGATGGATTGGCTACGCCAGAAGCGTGGGTGAGTCGAATGTCCCTGCCTCGAACTAGAAATCCTCTGAAGACGTGGCGTTCTCGTTGTGACGACGCACCACGTGGTAAAAGCTTTATGACTCGTTGTCCGTATGAAACGATTAGGTAACTAGATGCTCTGAACTCAGTGCTTGCCTGGACTGTAGAAACATTCAACTTAATGGTTTCGACAAGCGCATCTCTGAATGTTATCAAAGAGGCTCATAGAATGCGATAGTTCTAACAAACGGGAACATTTTCGGGATGGTTAGTACATCTTATGTGTAGTTGATCCGCGTTATTACGTTGCCAATAGTGTCTCTAAAACAACTTTAGCCATTAACTCTAAGAGAGGGTTTTACAAGTTTCTCAGGTCTCGTTCCACCGAGGGTGCACGCAAAGCGTAGTTGGCGCATAATATCGTGGTTCATTTGGAACGACTGAGCCCCAAAAATTCGGTTATGCCATCCTACGCGTGTCAATTAGAGGTACATACCTTCAGTGTCCTAGCTTTTCATTTGTGAAACTCAATCACCAAAGTGGTTTGTGCTCACATTTGGATGATGTGCGAACATGACGACTCAGTATTAAAACGCAAACTGTCCGGTGCATCTCATCATCAGCCAACAGCTGATTTGTCATCATCTCTCTCGGATCCTGGTTATCGAAAGGAAGATTGGTATCGACTTATTGCTAGCACTGACCGATGTGTTACCCACTTCAGACTTTGATGTGCGACACCATTGAGACCAATCACAGAGACTGCATGATAGCCTAGCATGTATGGCACTCGTATTGAATGTAGTTTATGGGTAACCACTTACTTTAGGGGATTTCGCGGACGAGAAGTTGATAACTTTAACGGAACATAAACCGAAGGTTAAAGAAGATACAGTTTGGCGATCATCTCATCTTGAAAATGAATTCAATTTATACCTGAAAGCCAAGAAGCATTGTGCAACTCTTTGATCAGAAAGGAAAACGTCTCACAAGTTCCATGAGCCTTCCACTTGAGAAGGGGAACCATGTATCATATGAGCAAGGGAAGTGGATTCCGTGACTGAGGGATAGGGGGTGCTATGCCCAGTTTAAGTGCGAGTCGATCACACTGATGATCAGCCGCTCGTGGCCAAACAGCTTGGTCTTCAACTACTAACCTAAAGTTTGAGTCTCTCTAGAGAGTCATGAGATGTGCACTCCTGATCGTTCTCAACCGGAATGAAATGGCTGTGCAATATTTTTCGTTTTTCTCAGCAGAATGAAATCTTCATCAGAATTACCTCATGGTTTGTCTGCGGGAAATACTGAACACGGTTGGAAAGTGGGACTGAAATTTCAGAATGTTTTATATCTGTGTATTGCCTGCCATGACGTCTTTCTGTAGCGATGCTTGAGAGAAGTTGGTTAACAGTTTTTTCTTCCATGTTACAGGTTGATCCAGCAGACACAGACTACTACACTCGACTTGTGGAAATGACATTCCAATTTTGTATGATTTGGTCTGTCTGTTGCATGGTCGATGAGGATGGTCGGAAAAAGATCGATTCCTATATTCGCGAGATTGAAGGCAGTTTTCCAAACAAGGACTCTATCTACGAGTACTGTGTGGATCCGAAAGGTCACACTTGGATACACTGGGAAGAGAAACTGCGAGGAGGTTGGAAATATCAACCAAAGTGAGGTTTTTACAAGACAGATTTGTGGCATCCCATGTGTGCTTCTGACTCAAAACAGAAGCTAACTCTAGCAATACGGAGGTGGAGGCGAGAGTATATATCATTCGGGGCCTTGTAGCTTGGAGATGGAGAGTTTGGGAAGAGAGCTCAAACGTTGACCACGTTGGTTATCCGCTGCTTGTATGTTGAGGGTACAACCGCACCCCTCATTTATACTCAGAATAAGCTGCTGAATTAATTTTAAGTCTTAGAAGAGATGGCATTGAGGATTTTGTCGGGTATTAGATCACAGAAACTGTGGTGCCTTTGTTGAGGACGTTTAACACTACGCAGTTCACAAGCTCTGCATTGATTTTCAAGTCATAAAAATTCATGTAAGTTTGACAGCTCAACGTGAACTAGGGCTTGTTGGTTGCTTATGATCTACACCTAGTACATCGCCTTTGTTTGTTTACAAAAGATTGCGCTGGCTGGACCAACAAATACAGGCTTATAACAAGTGACCCACACATCCGCCACTTACCCGTATACTTTTCTATATTAGAATCGACTTCAGTCTTTAAGAATTAACTCCTTCTCTGAATCGAATAGAGTGAAACCAGGTCTGATAGCTTAGTTTATTGATAAAGCGCTAGATTCAGTTAGTGTCATCTGTGTTGGAGTGTTTCCAGAACTTGATTATGTTTATAATCTGTTTGCATTCTGATTGGATTCTAGCGAACCGTTTTACAAAATCTTGGTACCCACTGTGGACACGGTACGCTACCAATTTCTGGCCAGCCAGCTTGTTGGTAATCACAATCCCATCCTACTGATTGGGCCTGTTGGTACGGGAAAGACCTCTTTGGCAGTCAATATTCTGAACAGTTTAGACCCGAATATATGGACTAACCTGACGATAAATATGTCCGCCCAAGTAAGTCAACCTCATTGCATGACGCTTTACATTTCTCTTCTGCCGTGGGTAGCCACAACCTCCAGTTTGCGAGCATGCGCCGAGTTAAGTGAGGTTGAACGCAGGGACTATTGGTTTTGCAGCGTTCTTGTGTTAACACTGTCCATTCTCTGACTATACACTGCGCAAGTGGTTTCGAATAAACCACAATTGGTACATTAGTTTCCTTAACAGGGAATACCTTTCGGAACCGCAGTTTCATAACTTGTTTCTTGAGGCTTCAAGAAACCCTATTCGGAGTTCACCTTGGGGGCTGCTTATGGTCGGTCGAAAATGACTGCAATCTGCCGAATCATGTGTTAAAAGCGCATAGTACTCACCCGCTTCACCCTCACCCTCCACGAAAGTGTGCTCTGCAGGTAGCAGAGTTATGAGGTCCCATTGAACTCACATGTGTATCTGACCTACGACTTAGTCCTCCACCTCTGGGCGAATGAAGCACCGGAGTAGTTGCGTTTGTTTTTCCAGCCAAGCCGTTTTCTGACAGCGGGGCGTTTCCCAGACTCTACAAAGGCCGGGAGACAAGGGTACGCGCCAGCCCGATAAGTGGAAGAGTATCGTCACACCGTCCACCCTTCAGTTAGATGCCATACTGATACTGGATTTTTTATGATTAAGCCGGTCTTTGTGGCCAGTATGCAGCTGATATGGCAAGGGTTTATTGAGCTTTTCAGTCAGACCCTTTCTAGGCCCACCGCACCAGTAACACTTCATCTTTGTTCCACTGGTTTCCTACACTTTTAGTTGGATAGTCAAGGGTAAAGCGGGGGCACCTGCAACACAGTTGCAGCCACAATCTACCACTATACACCATGACAGTAAGAAATTTCATGTTGGATGGACAGGGAGGCTAATACTTATTTGTAGACATCGCTTGGTACGTCCTGGGGCGGTACCCTTTCAATTAACTTCCTTCACCTATGGCTGAAATGTTCCTGTTTGCTAGAGGTTAGTGAATGTTGGAAAAGTACATCTTAAAGGAAATCCTGTGGTGATATCAATCAGCACTCTCGAAGGTGATACCAGTCTTTGCAGATCACGACTTTTGTTCTCATCATGTTTCGTCTTAGTTCCTCAGTTCTTTTTACAAATATGCTGGGTAATCTAGTTGCACTGGTATTATCAAGGATATTTACCCACGAGTGGCACCAAATGCGATCCCGAACCACATCGTTGTTTTCGTCCGCCTTTGTGGTAAAAAATGACATCGATTCAGCACTACATAGCTCCAATTCAAACGCATTGATCCATGGTCATGGTAGCTGATCAATGATTATAATACAACCCTGACAATGACCGCAATAGCATGATGAGAAGCACATTGAACGTATGGATTTGCTTGTTCGGTTCAGTGCATAAAAAGACTAGGGATTAGGTGTCTGAACCAAGAGTGTCTTCAAAAAGGCTATAAGGCGAACGCAGCGGGCTAAAATACCATTCAACCATGGAAACATGCCTCATTTAGGATTTTTCATGAATCGCGGTATGGTGCAATTTTGGTAACGATCCATGGGTGCCCCAAAATGCTCGGACACACGCATTCTGTTGCATTTCTGTGAGATAGAAGACTTTGTGATGAGCTATTGTTGTCGTTGAAAGCACATTGTCGACTGATAATGGCCTAACTAAATCAGGTCGTTTTAGAATTAAGTCTCTAATAAAACCAAGAATTCATATAATACGTTTCGTGGACAAGGCTTTGCAGGGTTACGAGACTTCTGAGACTTGTTCATACGTCCACATACACCGTGGGCATACACTACGAGTTCACACATGGTAACATTTGAACGACAGCCATTATATTGGGCAGACAAATTCGTTGCCATTAGATGAAGTGATAAAGAAACATCCGTTTGTTTTTCCATATTTCCCCTAAAATAAATTCTCTTTCCGTCGTTTTTCACGATTCTGAATGGACAGTGTTTGATTCGCAGTGTTTGCCGCATCGTTCGTGTTTCACAAGTTTGTTCCCAGTTAATATTGGGATAACTAAACTTGGGAGGAGACTGATCTTGATGCTCCTCGACTGCTCACCACCTTCATAGGGTTCATCATGTGGGGCCTGTCACCAAGTTTGAACCCAAGCTGGATGCGATTCGCGAACAACGCTCATTTGGGTTTCAAATTTTGTTTGCAAATTTTGGTAAACTTTCCGGTTAGTCACAAGTAACCATCAATCAATCGCCATCAAAGTGATTTGAAAGCTATGATGGGAGTAGTTGTTTGTTGGATGGGGCGAGTTACTTTCCGGAAAACATTCCATGAAAAAATTTTCTAGGTTGGAGAATAATATTTTCTAGTCAGCCGTGTAACGCATCGTATGGTTGCTCAAAGCCGTTTTTTATAACACGTGTGCAAGAGCTCCCACATGAATACGCTGCAAATGCCACTACTGATACGACAACTCCCATACTGTTCTTATCAGACATCCTCTAGCAATGTGCAAGACATCATCGAAGGTCGCGTAGAGAAACGAACGAAAGACACTTTTGTCCCAATAGGTGGAACGAATATGCTCACATTTATGGACGATTTCAACATGCCTGCCAAAGATGCGTTTGGTTCCCAACCTCCGTTGGAACTGGTTCGCCAGTGGTTAGACTACGGGTTCTGGTATGATCGCGTAAAACAGACTATCCGAAAGGTGACAAACATGTACTTGTTGGCTTCGATGGGACCTCCCGGTGGCGGACGCATGGTCATCTCCAGACGACTACAGGCGCGGTTCAATCAGATTGTTATCACATTCCCAACGGTACGATAGTCACTTAGTTGTATGTTTGATGACTTTTCGCAACTGAAAATGAGTCTTTGGTGACATTTTTGAGTACATACAGTCGAAATTGGAACGAAAGAAAGCAAATGAGATGGTTTTCTAACTTGCTGAGTTAGCCCCATATTTACGAGTTTGTTCTCACCAGGTTATAATTTACATTTTTATCGGCAAGCTGCATCCACACAGCATGAGATTTTACTACTATGACTATTTGCAGTTAACTGTTTGAGCACTACCCATAACACAGTACTGGGACGGCCCATTAAGACTGGCGCAGTCAAACTGAACTGGAGATCTAATCAGGAGTTCTTTATAGCCATATACCAGAAAATGTGTGAAATTGCTCGTGTTTTTCGCCCCAAATCACGTTTGTCACAGTGAATAAGAAATTATGCAGCTAGTAATGGAGCCGAAAGGTACCAGGGGCTGCCCAAAAACAGTTCAGGTATTCCTAAATCCACTTGCTTTTCACACGCTTTCATACACACTTTTACTGATCGTGTATAAAGAGCGGGTGTACTAACAGGTGGTTATGGTAATGGTAAAAGGCACTGAACATGTTTGACTTAAAGGAAAACTGGAAACATCAAAGCATTTTGGATACAGGCCTAGCTTAAGGAGACAGTTTACTAACACTATTCAGGCTTGTTTGCATCCTACTTCATTCCAGAATGACTGCTGCAACAACATTTATGTTTTTGGGTACACGGTTTCATCATCATCATCACCATCGGAAGTTCCTTTCTGAACATGGTATTTCCTACAACCTTTACACAACACACCAAGATATTTATAGTAGTATATATCCAACAGACCAGAATTTTGCAAAATAAGCTAGACTTGTACTTCTTCAGCTGATCTGCAAAGCACGCTTATTTGGTGTACATAAAAAGAGAAGAAGATTAATCCGTTTTGCCTTGGAGCTTATGGATGAGGTCTGTGCATCGTGAACGAAAGCGGACAACCTACTTGGTCTATTTTCACTAGGAGACAGATATTCGGTTCTTTCTCAGTTCCCTGAGAGCTGACATCGCGCAAGTTCATAGGAACGCGTAACACGGGAAATAAACGTGATTACACCGTACTGTGCCGATAAGCAGTTTCGGGATAGAGCGGCAGACCTACGACCCACCTGAGCATACGAATCAGGATATCCTAGCCAAACAAAGAAATTGACAGCGTTCTGTCACGACCAAGTGGTTCACTCGGCAGTCTTATGAGCTTTCTGGCAACTGTGTGGGAACGCAACGATGTGGCGGGACAACCGAAATCTAGCTAGTACTGCCGTGACAAATACTTGTCATCGGGGCTTATGAAGACTGAAGTATGGCCTACAACAGCATTGGCACCATCAGTTTTATTCCCAAAGGCACGGTGTCAGAAGTTTCCTCTTTAAATACAGTCGATGGTTTTGGAGGCACTTAAGCGTAATAATCAATTTTATCCATAAGCTATGACGTGGCTGTTCTGGTGTTAAGCCCCCGCAGGTGATGAGTTGACCGGTATAGCACCAGAACGTTTTGGTTGCATTTCAGAGTCCTTGTAGTAATCAATCTTCATCGCGTTTTGTCCACTCATTGAAATATGTTTTGTATTTTCAGGAATCCAGTTTGAAACGTATTTACGGAAGTATGCTGACACAAAAGCTGCTGGAGTTCGAAGATGACGTCAAGTCCATGTCTGAGAGTTTACTTCAGGCTTCCATCGATTTGTACAATATGGTCATCAATAAATTTCTGCCCACGCCAACAAAGATGCACTACCTGTTCAACCTGAGAGATATATCTAAGGTGGGTCAATTATCAATGTATATTTTTTGTCGAAAGTATTTGTGCCAACTGTCAATTCATGTGCTCAGATTAGTGTTCCACCTCACTTTCGTCTGGTGCACGAGCTGAATTGTGGACCTTTTTGGAACTAAGTTAAACGAACCTATGTTCAAACTGAGGGTAAAATTGCAGCTTACGAAAGTGCTTCATTTCATAGGGAAAACGGGTTCTGCTAGAAACGTGGGTGTAGACAGAAAGGTTTATTGTTTTGTAAAGTTAAGAGAAGCTGCTCGAGAGTAGCCGTAAACGAGTTTAGACCATAAAGTCGGATTCTCTCAGTGGATCGCGAAATCTTAAGATCTCAGTGTGATTCCCTAAAGATTCGTCCCATTCACTTTGATAAGTGAACAAACTGTGTGAAAAAAACAATCTAAATAATGACGATAGGTTGAATGAAAGTCCAATATTGGAGGCAGATCATGTCTCTGATGAACGAAAGTATCGGACTTGGGTGTATATAAGCCTCACAAGGGCCTATCACAGGAGCGAAGCTGTTTCATAGTGAGCTAATTTTCTATCGCCTGAAATGCTACAGATACCTCTAGGAGTGACTGGGCCTTTCGGAGCAAATGTTTTGGCAGCGAGACCTACTGTCGGTTCTTAACGAATAGTGTGCTGAGCTCGTGAACACTATTGTGTGATTTCAACATACATTTGGCTTTTAAAGGAATGTTGGTGACAGGAAAGCATGAACAGGCGGTATATTGCAGGCGAACGATTTGTCAGTCTTCCGCACACTGGTGGATGAGGGGTATCTGGCACAAGGACAGATTTTACTGATTTACTCTGTCAGTTGACCAGGAAAGAATGAGAGGTCAAACATGACATATCGTTAGATGATAGCTCACTGACACGTATGAACCCTTCCGACGTGGTGACCGAATTCATCATGTTCGGTCACCAAAACGCAGTGGACAACCAATTAGGATTTGCTGCTTATTGGTCGTGATGTCGCCAACTGAATGGTCTATCAGATGGACTGAGATAAATGAATATTTCTCTGATTGTTAAGACATAAAAGACGGGTGTTCAAACCATCTATGAGGGTGTGAACGAACAGACGCCAGCACAGTTCGCACTGTCATGAAACAGTATCCTGTTTTTCCATTCTTTCGGGTTCGCAGTTGAGTAGACTGTCTGCGGACTAAACCATGGATGGGGAAATCGTATTCATCATTCGAAAATTTGTTTTATCGCATGTGGAACGCTTGTGTGAACCCGAAAACCTAGGATTTACACTTACGAGAGAGAATTAATTGTTCAGTCTAAGCTGCATATCCGAACCGTATGATTCACAAATGATTCCCTGAACAGTTGTAAGAACCAAGATGCCGTGAAACCAGTTATCATCCACGTTGATAACCCCATCGTTTAGCTGATCTCCAAGACAGAATATTTCTAAAATGGGTCATTCTCAAAGACAGGCGGTACCTCTCCTTCTCCTTGACCCTTCGTCGCTAAGGCTTACCCAAACTGTGTTGCGTCTTTCGCATAGGGCGGTCTGTGACAAACTGCAGAGCGCAGTAATGAAAATATGAAAGATCACTTCCCGATTTTCTAGACTAGAAGATTAGTATTAAAAATAAAGGTATGTATTCTCTAAAGGTATAGAACAAGAAGGATAGTTCTTCACAAAATGAAAATACTAAGCCTTACATCAGTGTGACTCTGCTTACAGTAGTCACGCAAGAATTCATATCAACCTTCTTTTTAGAACGAAGTGACCAAACCTTTCAGTCGAGGAGGGTTTTTATTCAATCTGCGCCCTTCAAGAAATAGGCCTCACTGTACCTGTTCTGGGCTTTAACTTTTTCCGGCCCATGCTTTGAGTTTTTCGGTTGACCAAACATATCCTCGTCATTTTAGTTCTGGGTAGAACCATTATTCACTTGGTTCCTCTTATTTGGGTTTGGAGATAGTTACGCAAATCGCTTATCTATCCACATTACCAGATCTTTCAAGGTCTTTTACGCGCCAGTAAATCACAAATCGAGACCAGAACGTCAATGCTGCGTCTTTGGATTCATGAAGGCCTCCGAGTGTTTGCAGATCGACTTATCAATGACAAAGATCGCACAGCTTACGTTGATCTGGTTGGCGACGCTTTGGCGACCCATTTCGATCAGACCTATCACTCCTTGTGTCCAGCCCGACAATCGCCTATTTTCGCCGATTTTCTGAACGCAGAAGGAGAGTATGAAGATATCACAGATTTGGACCGACTGCGAAGATTTTTGGCCGATACACTAAGGGAGTACAATGAGACACCGGGAACAGTACCCATGGACTTGGTTCTGTTCCGTGACGCGATTGAGCACAGTAAGTAGACAGTCAACCTTGCTTGTTTGTATTCTGTCCGAAATGCCCGACTTTTGCTGAGATAGTGATTACGGTACACTTCATCTATTCAAATTACTTTGACCAAACCAAGCAATGCCACAGTTCGTTATGAAAGGGTGTCAAACTTAGGCCTATCCACGATGGAAGGTTTGTGGTTCTTCCTTTTACAAAGGAGTATAAAACTATCTTTGTTCTCATCCACAGCTTGTAAGTTAACTCGTGTCCTCAAGCAACCACGTGGCAACATGTTGCTAGTCGGTATTGGCGGCAGCGGACGACAAAGTCTCAGTCGTTTGGCGGCTTACATTTGTGAATTCAAAATCTTCCAGATCGAAGTAACCAAGGTCTACCGGAAACAAGAATTTCGAGAAGGTTAGTGAATTAGCTACGTTTTCCGATTGGATAGATTGTGTAACCAAGTTGATCAATCATCTGCAACATTAGCGTGTAATCGATAGAAAAAATCCACAGAAATTATAAGGATTGAAGACTCGAGAAGATAGGAAATCTACTCTTGGCTAGGAAATTTTAAGAAGTAAGAGGCGGGTTTATGGTAACACTGTGTGAAAAATGAATCCAGAACTGCTATCATCAGACGCTCAGTTACCGCGGTTGGTCATTCTTCCGTTCGATACTGTCTATCACAAGAAGGTGATCCAGCAGTCGAACAAGTGAAGCCTGTCGAGTGTATCCAGCATAAGTGAATGCCTGGTCTCATGTCACTTCTGGTGCCGGGGCGGCTTTGTAATCATCATCATCGACAGCATGACACCCGTGTTCAACACCGATGCTTCGCTCCGGAATGACTTTCCTTTTTGGGTCTACCGCATGACATCAGTGTTCAACACCGATGCTATGTTGCTGGAACGGCTTTCTTTTCTGGGTCTACCGACTGACAGTTTTGTCTATTATGTCCGTTGTTGGGCTTACTCATTTAAACCAGCACGTTTGTCCGGGCTCACATTCGTTGGAAGAAGACTAAAATCTTTGTATCATTGAGTGTGCACTTTCGTGTAATATATTGGATCTGAAATCCTGGACTTGGTATACCATTCGCTTGTGGTGTAAATTGGGACCTGCCCTGGAGTTTGTTCCGACCAAAAAATGTATCCAGTTTGGCTCCTCCTGGTGAGAAAGACAGTGTAAAAAAGTTTTTGGATGGATATTCCGTCTTGTAAATGGAACCGATCTATACCGAAAAACCGAGGAGAAGTGTACAGCCGCTTCATTCCTATTAGGAATGAACAACCAACCTTCTGGCCACGAGCGGTTGATCAATGGTGTGATTGACTCCCACTTAGACAGAACATAGCACCACCCATCCTTCGACTACGGAAACTACTCTCTGAGTTTTGTGAGGTGCGCCCTATTGAGGATACCCAGCAAGGGTGAAACAGCTGTGCAGTGCTCCTCAGCTTTTCGATATACATTCATTTATAGGACAAAATCTCAATTGAAAATTCCCAAATCTCAAACTACCGACCATCTGAAAGTAGTCCAGAAGGAGAACAAGTTCACACGATGGGTGAAACTCTCATCTGAGAGGCTGGCACTCCGTCTTACTATGTAGGTGACCCGTGGTGTAGAACGTACTTGGCCAGGAACAGTCATTCACACATGTGATGGAAGTGCACTGTTCATCAAGTTTAGGGACTCTGTGTAGAACATGAATAGGAAGAGTGACAAAAGAGCTCCTTGAGTTACATCACCTGTTCGCAAGAACATTCCCACTTATCTGAACGTACTGCCTTCGAGTAGGTAATTCTGAGCTCTGGACGTTCCACAGTTACAGTTTCAGGATAAATTAACGTACAAGGTCATCAGTATATCATGACAATTTCAAGAGGAGAGTTGATGTTAGTCAGATGAATGGAGTAAGTCGGCCAAAGAAACTGAGATGTGAGTGGTCACAGCTTTGTGGCTCCTAATGGACATCTACACGTGGACTCAGCTGAATTTTTTGGTGAGCCACGTTTTGAGCCGAAGCAGTAGGTGCGCGGTGCGACAGCTATACATTTAGCTACTTATTTAAAAGACATTTAATCCCTGATTACGGGAATATTACTTACTTTCTGTTCGGTTTCATCACTGCGTACACCTCTGTGTACAGTAGAATAATCCTACCATGGGAGAATCCTTTGAATAGATATCACTCTTTTCTTCGTTAGCCGTGATTTATTTCGTGATTCCTAATGATGAACCTCTTAGGGTAGGTAAGTATTCCTCTTCTCCATGGTGAACCCTCTTTGGGTGAGATACATCATCTAAGTTCCAGCTTCTCTAAGGCTCCCGAGCAAGACATATTTCGGGTACCGTTTCTAGTATTCTGACAGTGTTCCCCTTTTTTGAAAGAAGCACTGTGGAGGAGCACTTATATTGTTGCTTAGTTCCAGGTTTCGTCCACCAAGCGGTCAGGGCCAAAGTGAAGCCAGACTAAAACAAAATCTCGGAAATATCACTTATTACTCAGCAGGCAATCACCCGCTAACCAATAATAGATAGTTTCACTGCCAACTCTCCGCGAAGAATATTGTCCTTCACGTCGGACAAATCACTTACTAATTGTTTATGTTTGTGTTTGTGTTTTTAGATCATAATCACCTTTCATTTTTCTCCGCATCTTTCTCGCTTTGAATTAAGAGGCATAACTAAAAGTGACTTGCACCATGGGTATACAAAATCTTCCAATCGCACTTTTGTACTTTGCCGAGACACGTAGAATTTATCTTTCTGTAAGTAGACATACAGTGCGGCGGATTAATTGGCGGTGAAATCATCCTAATTTCAGAATACAGACCTAATAAACTATGTGAGCAACATTCTGTCATCATCATCGTCACTGTCATCGTCACTGTGTACTTGTCGTACAGTGGTTGTAGCTGCCGCAGTTTCTTTCACCGATGATTTGGGTAGGTGGGGTAGGTAGCTGCGCATTGGAGGCGGGAGCTGATAAATTGGTGCGTAACTACAGCACTGTCAGTGGATTTATAAGTGAAGGAATTCGGAAGGGAGCTATGCATTGAAGCCAACAGCTTGGATGCACTAGCCTCATTGAGGGCGCGACTGGGCCATGTCTGACAATGTCTCTAGCCATTGATGTGGCCCGTCTCGGGGTCCCCATCCAGGAAGACGGCAATGACCAGCGCAGCTGAGACTGTTGGTAATGGTTTTTATACTTCGCAGCCAAGTCATTATTTGACCGCACTCCACGTGGTTGTGCGAAAAGAGTCCTTCGAGGAAGTTGGTCGACTGGCATATGCAACACGTGGCCAAGCCAGCGCAACCTATGCAGTGTGATCACTTCATCCGCCAAGGGTGAGTTATTTCTTCCAAATACCATTCGATACTTCAGAATTTCTGATCCGGTGTTCCCACTAGACTCGGGCAATGCTCCGAAGGCATCGATGGACAAACGCTGAAAGTCTCGGCGTGCAGCGGCCAGGTTTCTGATCCATATAGTTACATGGAGCGCACAGACAATTGTTTGATGAGCTTTCGCTTGTTCTGGGTGAGTAGGACTCAACACGTTTCGCTTTATTCAGAGAAAACAATAAGGACAATGTTGCAAATGAAAATTTCAGTCAATCGTAAATTTTTTGTTTTGTCTCATGGAGTCAAGGTTCTCTCAGCTCGAAAACTAGGTGGCTTTGTCGGCGAACGGAGTTTACATTACGAAGAAAATGAATAAAAGACCTAATGCCTTTGCGAGTTTTTCTTGTAAATAGGTAGTTCTACGCCAAACGTTTACTACCGTAGCAACCGACTGCCTCCTCTTAGGATGAGCGTTTCCAAGTAATTTTGCCGAACTATCAAGGGGGACCCAGTAAGAATAAGATCCATTATCTAAAAATCTGTTAAACTGGAGAGAGACTGGGAGATAGTACATGCATGAAAGAGGTCACTGAACCGCAGTACAGCACGAGTCGGTCACTGTTTCAAACCACGCATCATCTAACAGGCAATTTTGACCGGATTCCTTGTTCCACATGACAAGATAGCGAATTTTTCGAACACTTTATCTCTTTCCAGATGTAAAGCGCATGTATTTCCAGGCCGGTGTGGAAAATCAGCCTACATTGTTCATATTTACCGATACACAAGTAGTGGAAGAATCATTTCTTGAAGATATCAACAACTTGCTCAGTTCTGGAGAAGTCCCCACTCTTTACAAACCGGATGAATTTGAAGAGGTGCGCCAGGCACTACTAGACACAGCCAAACAGGAGGGAGTCAGTGAATCAACCCAAGTGAGAAACCTCGCCATATGTTGTGCGACTATCCTTATACTATTATTCCATATTCCATTATCTAATCTACATTTAATACTACTGTATCCTCAAACACAAAAAAATCCACACACAGATGCCTTGAACGCTTCTAAGCACACGGTGGCTGTAGTTTGAGTTATGCTTCGCGGTAAAGTCTACGATCCAGGCGGGCAAGACAAGTTTTCTCTGCTCTGGATGTTGCTAACTTATCCTATCTGATGAATCTAACTGATCATACTGCATGACCAAGCGTGACGTAGTACATCGTTTTAAGGCACAAGCACCTGAATGAGTGGATGCGGACTATCCATGAGATAAGTAATGCAATTCCCTGAGCTAATCAAACAACTCAAAATTTTGAATGCTGATATGTTGGCCACAAAAGGCCAGTTAGGCGTACGAGGTACATAACGGTGCGATTCACTTCTACAGTGAAGGGTTTCAGGCGGCTAGTACTAAGGTGATCTGGAATGGGGCGGATGGAAACCGCCTGCTCAATTAACAGATTCAAATGAGACCGACAACTATATACATATTATCTAAGGGCATATCTGTTTCCAGACAATAAGCAATGAGTTCATCATAAACTGTAAGTAACAGGCAGATTGACCGTTTCCGGATTATTCAGAAAACGTGATGGGATATTGCCGCTACTAGGAAACTTTTGGCTAGTCCACGTGGGACCTAGAAAGCTTCCTTGATAAGATGTGTTAGAAGTTGGGTTATTCCCTGCCTGACACAGCTAGCTTGAACTACTATGATCGAAATTCTTAAGGCATTTGGAAGATTTAGAACCAAAGGCCTTAACAAGAGTCAGAAATATTCCGATCTCAGAAGATGGTACCATTCTGACCGACCACCAGCTAATGTTCACGGTGTTCAGTTTTATCTTGGCGTTTTGTAACCAAGTCTAAATCTAAGTTCGAAATCACGTCCTGCCTACTACACCTTGACATCTGTGACACGTAGGAAAAGGGGAAAAGTAAAACGATTGCTAACCAGAAGGTAGCACACCGTCGGCTTTTTTCAGTTACCTATTGGTCATGCCACAATGTCTGCTAATATGGACCCACCGTTACTTAGCCCAGTAGAAGCCTCTTTCGCCAAAGATATCGAGAAAAAAAAAGTTTTAACGGAGATTCAAAGAGGATTTCAGGACGTGAATATACGATAGGCCCAGTTAACATTCAGGTGAAATAGAGGAATGCTTCAAGTTTCGTAAATACTGCATTCAGAGGGCTGTCATTCCATACAAAGCGAGGACTTGGGAAGTTATCCAGTGGTCGCACCGTACGGCCTTAGTGAAACTGAAGAATGTCCTCCCCCAGGACGTATGCTTGTGAACTGTCTAAGATCCAATGCACAACGACTATTCGAGTAATTTATACCAGAATGGGACTAAACGTTCCAAATTAGGACGCCAAAAGCTAACCGAACGCACCATCAGTTAGTGTAGATGATCATCGGGTGCTAGTGCAATCACGGAACGCGGTGTGATATTTGAAAAAATGGAGGTCTTAGGGTGGGTATCTTATGCACACTATGATGACTGACTACTGAGGCTAGGATGTGATCAAAAGCAGAGATGTGGCAAGGTGGGGCTAGGGACAACAGAATAAACTGAGTTGACACGAAACGGTGAGTTTGGAACTTTGGACACCTTTCAATAAAATGACTGACTACTTAGTTACTAGAACTTCCTGCGTGCGAAGAGGACCGGCGTTGCATGTGACATGTAATATATGCAGACGGAACACACTATTCATAAAGTTGCTTAAAACTTTTCATTTAGTGCGCTCTGTCCGGACAGTGTACTGCAATATGTCGAATATAGTACCGACTGAAACATGAGTTGGCCTTTGTACAGTACATTCATTTGAGCAGTATCGTAAAAGAGGAATTCAGTTGGGTCTACCGTTACTACCAGGTTAGTTTGCATGGGAGTTTATTTTGCGAATGTGTACTCTATTCGGAAGTCTTGTGATGCGAGTAGCTTGGTCAGACATCTCAGTCGAGTTTAATTGACCCTGATGTTCCATTTGAGCCAAATATGTGCTTTTTATTCCTTTTCTTCACAGTCAATCTTTCAATTTTTCATTGAGCGTGTGCGGTCTAACCTACACATTGTGTTGTGTATGAGTCCGATCGGTGAGCCCTTCCGCAATCGGATGCGTATGTTCCCAGCCTTTGTCAACTGCACAACTATCGATTGGTTTAGTGAATGGCCACTGGAAGCACTGCTGGAGGTCGCGGAGAAGTACTTGAACGATGTGTCTCTTATCGTCAGTGAACCCGACGTAAGTGTGAACAGTATACCATTTCGGAACAGGACCAGTTCCCAGATAAAGTTCAGCTCCGTGCAGTTGAGGAGCTTTATTTCTCGTTTCCAAAGCAATCGCTAGAAGTGACTGGGTCATAAGTGACCGCTTTTGCTTGGCCGCACGTTCTGACAACATCTTGATAGTTTATCAGCAAAGCTGATAGATGGTCCCATCATATGAAGTAGAGTGTTGTGTTATTGTCCTACTTTACTGTTGGACCGTGAGGAGTAATGATAGCCGCATATCGGTTCTAGATTTCAGATTTTATATTTGTTTTCGGTTGGAAAATTCCGGGATTTTCTTTTTGGATTTGTAAGCAATTCAAATATTTTTCAGATGTTCATTGACCATCGTTCCTGTGTTAGACCTCTGGAGGTGCAAGAGAACATCATTCGATGGGGTATCCACATCAATATACAGTGGACAGTTGTTGAATTCGGTTATTCAAAACCAGCAATTCCGCTGGTCTATCGCGTGTTGAGTACTTCTATGGGAGAACACTCCAGCTGGTCTGATGCTCTGATACAAAGGTTGATACGTACCCAGAGATATGTCCTGCCACAGTCAGACTCCTTACACTTTTTCCCGTCCGTGGCTGTAGTACACAATTCCAACCTCTTATCTGCGTTATCATCTCGAGGACTATTGAACCAATTCGGTCAAACTTAGAATCTACAATGATGACAGGGCTTGTTGATTAGGTACACAAAGCAAGCTTATTTGAGTTTAATATGTCAGCAGTGACTTTCCTGTGCTGGTATTTCCGGGAGCATGATGACCAGACCAGGCCGACACTTTGGAAGGTATTCATGAAGGTAATGACAACCATATAGAGCAAGTTTGTTGGGATGTTCCTATCAACTCCGATATGACGTCCTGATATTTGCCAACTGGAACAACTACATCATCCCTGGCTGCTCTTTCTTTTTCCCATTACTTCAGCCTCAGATTCTGGTTAAGAGGGAGGTGAGTTTTTTGTTTGAAAGGATTCATCAGCAAGTCATCTTTTGTTTAGTTAAAGTTGGATGTTTTGTGTGATGTACACATGTAGCAGAAAACCAACCCATACCTTCTTTACTAATGACGCGGGTACCGTTGATTCGACCGGTTGGGAACGGCCATCCTATAGGAATGAACGTTTTAGGTTGTAAACCGGACCTTCTTCACAAAACGAAATCTATCCATTGATTCACTACTTTTATAGGAGAAATTGTAACTGTTGACGTTGGAACAAACTTTACCACGCTGTTGAGGCCAGAAAGGTAGAAAGTATGTAAAGATTTTGCAAGAGTTTCGTGCAGGTGGTCTAAAGTGGTCACTTGTGGGGGTGATTTTCATAGCGCAGGCACATTTGGTAGAGTTTTACTGTGTTTGGACATACGTTCCAGTCATCATTAAGTCGATGCAAAGCACACCCTACTACACGTACCGAGTCGTTTTCGGCGTAATCTTCAACTCAACATGGCGCCGCTTGCCACCAAGAGTCTCGCGAGTAATCCCTCTGTGCTTGCCCGCTACAACATAAGGATGAAATACCTCGTTTAGCTGGACTGTTCAGCGGAAGACCATTTTTTCAGGCGCATTTCAAATGCCTTTGAAATCCGCCTCAAAGAGTGTAAGACAATGGAAATGACCGTTTGTTGGTAGTTAAGCTACCCAACGTAGTTGCTAGCACAAGGTAAGTCTTGATGACAATTACGTTGTTGCTGCTAAGCTGCCTGATCACACGAGTGTAATTTCACCCGAACCTGGGTGTACTGGAAGTGGATGAGACTTCATGTTTGTTCGCGAGTACACAATGTTGGCATCTACCACAGACAAGAAACTTAGACTGATCTCCTATGCAGCTGGATTGATATAGTCGACAGAGTCAGTGGTATGCCTTGGGGTGGTAACCACACTAGAGTTTCAACGTCCCGCAAAGTAGATTTTTACATACCTCTTCCAGACAAATCGCTTTGAAGTTAACAAGCTTCCTTGTTCTTTCTCGTATTCTTCCAGAACAGACTACGTGCCAGCATCGTAAAGATATTTGCCAACATGCATCGTTCGGTGGCTGACATGGCATTATTGATGTTGGCTGAGTTGCGACGTCATGTCTATGTAACACCGACGAATTACCTGGAACTCGTAGCCGGATACAAAGTGTGAGTTACGTTTAATAAGCAGCCATATAGTTTGTCGCAACATACTCACTGGTTTTGCAACATCAATTAAACCCGTTAGATCTTATTTTCCAGCTACCCTAGTTTTACCAGGACTGCACACAATGTTACGCCTGAACAAGATAGGCACTTGTATGACCTGATTAGATCAGTTTATTCTGAAGTAGGAGGATCCCATTAAGGGGATCGATCATATCCCCAGTTTGTATGTAACAATTGAATGGCCCTTGTGTCAACTAGCTGGCCCAAGAAGATGGCTTTGTGAGAAATCCATTGCCTGTTTGTATGTTAAGTCATCCTTTTTTGTCTGAGTTCGTTCAAAAACAAGAGTCTCATACTAGAAAGTAAATACATGGCCGAGGCGTCTGTTATTTCGCCAGCGCTCAATAATTTGAGCAGACATTAAGGGTGTTATATGTCTTCTTGGGACCAATTTGCTGTCTGTTGGCGATTCATTGACTGTCTGGCGGATTTCTCGACTGATCAGTTGAACAGTCAAATGCCACTCACCAGATAAAAAACCACTTTACGTATGCTGTTTATTCGTTCGTATGTTCTCCGTAAATAGAAAGATGTCTCAGTGGTTAGGGCGAGATGGCTCCGTGGTCAGAGCGCAAATTTACTGACCGGAAGCTCCGTGCTTCGAACCTGACATCTGCATCTCGACTTCCTCTATCCAGGCTTGGGCAATCTGACAGTATCCCAGCCCTCGTGATCCCTTCGGGTGGCATGGCAGGGGTGCTACAGCTGAACGATATTATATATATGTATATATATATATATATCCGTTAATGTAGCTCAGGATAATGAAGTGATTTTGATGAAACACTAACCGTTTTTAGGCCGAGAATATGGACTTTTGAGACAACATGATGATGAGTAATACACCGACGGAGATTCCTAGCTAGAAGAAGCACATTTCTGAGCAATAGAAACGAAGAGCTCTGCGATTCTCTTATGCAGTCTCTTCGCCTCCCAGTATTTTGGTTTTAAACTTAAGTCAGACTGTTGCTGTCACCTACCACTCCAGAGGTTCAGAAAATCCTTTGTGCTGTCTAAAAGCGGTGCAGCTTCCACTAGTTAACAGGATCATTCGAAGTCGTGGAATACGCGTTTTCGGGAGCCCTGGCACTACCAGTTTGCTAGGATCATAGCAAAAGTGAGAAGACATCGATGAGCATGGATTTTTTTGATGTGTCCGATAACCACTCGAAATTTTGGAAAGTCTGCGCCTTTTGCTGTACAAATGTGACTAGTATCACTTGACTGAAATCAAAGTTATCAGCGATCGTTTTCTGGTTCCAGATGAGACATCGAAAACCTGACAGCCTCACATTACTTATGTGACGTTCTAGGCAAGAGCAGTCGTGCACTGAACAAGCGCGTGAATGTGGGTATCAGGAATCGAAACAACCTAACCCACAGGTTTGTATGCGACGACAGCCAACGTTCAGCATTCCCTCTTACCAGTGGTTAATACGACAGCAATCCTGTAGAAGAGAAGTTTCATATGGGTAGAGAAAATGTAACCAAGTTAGGAAGTTCGTCAACTGGAACGGGCTAGATTTACCTGAGACCATTTACGATGTAAACTTATGATTGAGTGGCCAGTACAAGCAGCAGTTTTCGATGTAACAGAGTTTGACCGTCTCCTACTAATGTAGAAAGAAATGATAGCATGAGCTAAGCGCGGCTTCATTGAAAAGCGACAACACTGCATACATATTGGTAGGTCTAAGCCTCATGCTATAAAAAGTAACACCATGATATTTAACGTCCTGTCACGTCACTCTTGAGACTCAATATTGTCTTCAACCGATGAAGATTGCTGGCAACAACATACCACGCGCGGTTATTCACAGACAGCCGAGGTCCATCAAGATGTTCAGGTTGAGGATGCTGGAAAACCAAAAGATCGGAGTAGATGCCAGTTTCTGTTGTCAGTATTTTTCAGAGAGCAGACAAAACCCATTAAAGATTTATTGCGTGGTAGCTTAATACCTAAGGAGAAGTTGAGGAATACTCTGTTAACCGAGATATGCATATAGGCCATCAACCACTGATATGCATGTGGAGATGGACTAGTCGTCCATACGCGGAGCAACTATCTACTGTACGCTTTGCCTACCACTACAATGTCGGGCCAGTGTGCAGTGTGCAAACTACGCTTCTTGGTTTTTGTTGAGGTAGTTCCGACATATGCTTCTATCAGTTGCATCGAAATCCAGGCTACTGTATACTGTCTAGTCGTGCCACCTAAAGGAAAACAACAAACCGACAAGACGTAAGAGGTAATGTCGACAATAGCATTATCGAGCTTGGTAATCCCATTACGAGCAACGGCGCAGTCTGAGTTCCACCTTCGAACGGAGTCGACAGTTCTTGATGCTCTAATGATGTGGTCTGTCATCTCGGTTGTTGCTTTTTCTAACATTCAGCCCCAAGTCGCCTTTTGGAATTACTCCTTGGTTTAAAACCAACTGTCCCGATGTTTTCAGCTGTGAGGAAATCTGGTTTGTTGAGTTCTCTGGTTCCTTCATACTGATGGTTTGTCAAGCTAATTTCATACCACGTCATTTGTTACAATGACCTAACCAATAGTCCGGTGGACCAAGTATTTGAAAGGCGTGTACGCGTAGCTGGCGGCATAGCGCAGGAGAGGAGGATGACTCGAGGCTCAAAGGCTCGGCTCAGGAGCGGGGCTAGTCAGGTTTTTTGTATAGCTAAACTCGTTCCGCATCGTTTCACATAGGCTTGTTAAGAAGGACAGTCACGCTTGATAATACTGGCGGGGTTTCGGTCTTGCATTGTGAATATGCTAGATGGAAAACCACAACTGGATGGCACGATAAGAAAGTGCACGGTGAACTTCGGTTGAATGATCAGCCGAATCATGTGTGAGTACACACGAAGGCTCATAGCCCCAAAGTATACATTGCCTGGTGTGGCCAGATAGCAACAGGCCTTAAGAGACTTGGCCGCATGAACTAAGCAGGTAAAAATGCCTTTAATCGTCATACCAGCGGCTAACCCTTTGCACCTCATCTCGCTGATTGCCAGTCCATTCCTATTTCTTTGTGAATAATGTAGATTGCAGTGGATCTGAACGTCGTGCTGAAGGACAGGCTTTATTTCCTTGCACAGTAAACAAAAATAATCGTTCTGATGGAAAGCATGGCCGTTTGGAAGAAGGAACTGTATTTTATGTTGAAAACCTGTGTACCTGGTTCACTGTTTCATTCATGTCAATGACAAAATATTGCATGACGCTTCCTTTCAGACTGCTGTATCAGAAACGCCAAGAACTGAGTGACAAAGCGAACAAGTTAGCAAACGGGTTAGGAAAGATTGATGAAACACGAGAGAAAGTCGAAGGTTAGTTGTCACCAAAGATGCTTGAATTCAGTGCTGTGGATGGCCTCGATAGAAAGCACTTACCGAACATCCAAATGATAGTACCATTTTCTTTATCCGGGATTCCCCTGTGGATTTTCTCTTAACTTTCCATGATTTTCAGCCGACTCAACTAGATGCTAGTATTTGAAATTTTGCAGCACGTAATATCTTGAAGCATCGGTCGACTCTTTGGACATTATTGACAGGTCATTCGAAAGATTCCGAAAACCTAACATTTCCTCTCGTTTTAAAAGCCTCAGGGACTAGAAGATGAAACTGAGTTTTTGTTAAACTCTTAAAAGACCCCTCATAAGGATGAATAGAGCTAGGCTTTACTGTGTGTAGCTGAATTAATGAAGTTTGTTAAGGCAGTGGAGATTAATCTGACAGTAGTTTTGTAATCTGCTAATGAATACGTCCATGAGAATCACTCATTAGGCGCGCAGTAGTGAATTTGGATTTATGAAGGAAACTTCACTGTGATGGCGCATGGTACTTTTTCAAATGTTGTGAACTGATTGGAGGCATGAGATCAACTAAATTCAGTTGGGCATGGATTACTGAACCAATGGTAACATAGATTGCCGCTGTCACAAAGTCCCTTGTGACTTCGTCACTTCACTTAGTGCTGCGTACGTAGGGTGACCGGATGAAGCTTTTGACTTCAAGAGGATGTGTGATAGCGAAATAGACAAGATACTTCGGTTCCTCATCACTATGGTATCACCCAACGCTTTCCGAAAGTGAAGGTAAACGTGCGTGATGCTAGAACACGGTCTAGCTTGAGACACAGCACCAGACTAAACCTGTGAACCAATTTGAGGTAACCACAATGACAAACAAGAATTCATTCACATCAACCCACGAGAAGCATTTTCATTTCATGAACTATGAAATTTTGCAGTGTTCCATCAGGAGTGCTTGCATTTGCTTAGTTTGTGAAGTAGTGTGAACTCGGCGGTGAAGCATCGGTGTTGAACACTGATGTCATGCTGTCGATGATGATGATGATGAGTGTGAACTCTTCCCAGTGGGCTTGTGGCTGGGTCGATGTTGTTCTGTGTTGTATCCACACCATTTTTTTCGCCTGGCTTGCACTTGAATAATACTCCACTATTTCCTTCACCTCAAAGTTGTTTTTGTAATACAGTAATTTGGCCGCACATGATGCGTACAGTTGTAGTATCACCCGTGCCCCAATTCGCTTAGCCTTTCGAGTGATCCTAGATAGGGAGTAGTGTAATGTGGCCCAACATGTCCATTAGTGAATTCCTGTTTTGCTGACAAGGTTTTTGGCATAAAGTTCAAGGTTTGTAAGTCTGCCAGGTATACCCAGTTTGTGCTCGCATGGCCACACTCCACAAGCTGTGACTTTGGTTGCCTGAATGCTATGCAGTTCTTCTCTCTGATAAAAAGCACTCACTAATCATCAAAAGGTTTCCAGCTCGTTTATATAACCTCCAGGGAGTCATATAGTACCATACATATACATATGTATACATAATCCAGGAATGAATACAAATCAGTCAGTAAGAGAGACATACTTAGGCCCACTTCATAATGTTTCAATGCCTCGGTACTTAGGATGGGTCATAATTGTGTCGCTTTCAGCAGCTGCTTCCCAGGCCACGGAAAGTCGACACATTCATTCGAGAATATAGTCTTTATGAAGCAGAAAACAGTTTCGGACGGCGTTCTTTTTGTTACAGTTTTTAACGGAATAATCAGTCATAAAGTAGCTGAATAAACAGTGTCTTTATTCCAATGTGACTGCCTGAATAACACGTGGGTCAAGTAGTTGCAATCTATTACTATAGCTGGTTTTTGGAAACAACCATTTTCTAAATTACAGAGCAAAGCAGAATGAGGACCGCAATTATCCACCAACACAAAGGCTTGATGGATTAATTTGCGGGCCAAATGTTTTATTTTCTTTTAACTTTTTAAGTATAGATGTGTTTTTCACCCGAGAATTTTGGCTCGCTTCACAGGCGATGGTCTAAAATGTATTGTTCTTGAAACAGCACGGATCTTCACACAGCTTCAAGATCAGGGGCATGAACCCTGAGATACAACTGAAAAACATGTGTAAAAGCTCGTGGGTGATGGATGGTGAAGGTAATGCTATCATGATGATGTATTCTACTTGTTCAATAAAATCTTGACTCATGGTTCTCCGACTTTTCCAGTCATGTCAGTCGAGCTGGAGGATGCCCGCAAAAAGGTGGCGGCCTTCCAAAAGGAATGCGATGATTACCTGGTCATTATTGTGCAACAGAAGAGGGAAGCGGATGAACAGGCTAAGGTTGGTGCATGTGGGTGATGTGGAATCAGTGGCTCTATAAATCTAGAAGAGTTCCGATAGAAAACAAAATTAGAGAGTTCATGTTCAGTTAGGTTCCGTTTATTTACGCAACGGCTAAACTCCTGCAAAACACACTCGGGACCTTCGGGCTGGTTGGTTGCACTTCGAAGAGGTTGCCCTGTGCCTTTATTTCCCATCAGAACTATACAGTCATTTGGAAGTTAACAAGAGAGGATCAGAGAAAGTCAGTTCATGGTCATATCGGGCCTTATATCTTGAAAGAAGCTCTGGATACCGGATTCCATTCAGGTTAATAGTTAATCTCTAGAGAGGATTACAAATGATGCGGCCAGGCAGCACCTCTGAACGGAAGCGCTTTTGTTGATGAGCCTTTCAGGATCTGAGCACACCTTAACCGCATCTGACTCAATGCCATTGCACTTTTCATCCACATTTTACTCGACCATACAGAGGTGTCGTATGCATTTACACAGATCTACATCGAAATACATGGGACGCAATTAACGTGCGGGAAAGACAATAGGACTGACAAACCATTTCCATGTTTTTGATAGGGATTTAGTCGAAATTCTACACAGGTAGTGGCATTTCTACAGGAGCGGCCTTCAAATTTGCTAACAGACCATTACACAAAATTACTTCATAAGCAACTGCTTCAAGAATAAATAAACCCGTAGCGTATGCTTGCATCACTATTATCATTGGAACTCCTCTCCTGACAAAGTCTATCCTCATTACATCTTTACAACACATTTTTAGGCATTCATTACAGCCGAAAAGCAGTGTTTTACCCCATAAAAGTGAGATTCAGCGGCCTATTTACAAACCTTGTGCCACAGTTGTGCTGTTATGAAAAAACACCAATAGTCCGTGGAAGGTAGGCAACATATGCTTGTCGTGGTCCAATACAAACCGATATTGCGCAGTTTCGAAGCACCAGAAGACGGGAACTAGGTACACTAAAACAGTATGCTATCAAAAAGCGGTATCAGAGGGTGCGACGAAACCCTGAAACCATGTGGATCTGCGTCCCGATTGGTCATCCAAATCAGTATAGCTCATCCAGATAATAAAATAGAGAGTCTTACCACTGATGGTCATTTGATTCGGGAGTCCAATGAGCCTTTGCATACAAGTGCGTCGCAACGCAAGGATGTGAAGGATATGGCGAACAAAGTAGAATCGTGACCTAAGAACAGTCCTGGTATCACCTCTAGCCTACCGATGTATGGTGATCAAGGAAGTTCTTCGTGCTAAGGTAAGAATCTTAGTCTGCCGATAAATAGTGCAGTTTATCTGACTGCACCTAATCGTAGTTGGGTGTCTTTCGCAAACCCACACCATTGTTGAACAGTGCGTGCATTCAAAGTTCCGTTAAAAATGGAGTTATGAGAATTATTGTGGAAGTGTGCAATGGTTTTAGAGGCTTTTCTGTTTACAAATTGATTTTGGCCAAAATGACGACATCGTTGTTTCATTGTGACTGAAATGAATATCTCGCTTATGATATTCGAATGGTTGTTGCCAAATTCACAAGCAGCATCTTACAGGGGAAAAGCACACAGAAGGTTTCATCTTCACTTCTATAAACTCAGAGTAGCCAATGCGAGAGAGCTTTTCACTTCAATCTGGCTTACACATTTCGACCTCCATGTTTTCTTCAGGCTGTGATACAAACTCAGGAAAAGATTAAAGTGGACGAGGTCAAGTGTATGCACATGGCCGAGTTGGCGATGGCAGACTTGGCCCAAGCAATGCCCGCACTGGAAGCAGCCATGCAGGCTCTGGAAGCACTCAATAAGAAGGATATCACAGAAATAAAGTCCTACGGAAAGCCTCCATTCTTAGTGCAGAAAGTGAGTTCTGATTTTAACCTTGCGATCCAGTCGAGATCACCCATGCCTACGTACTCTGGACAATTTGAAAGGATCTTTCCTTCGACCCTAAAGCGGCGAATGTATCCCACAGGTATCTCACTTGAACATTGCTTGCAAGTAACGCTGGGCTATATTGAGTTCCTTCGGTAGCTTCTTCGTAACCAGCTGCAGTATACCACCTACAGCAGGGACCGTGAATACTTTTAGCACTCGAGCCATGCCTGTGACAGTTTCTACCGGGTACAACCCATGCCCTATTTAGACTACTAGAGCTATTGTCAAAAGCTCCCCCCATGGGGGGTTCGGTCCCGAGTTAGTGTAGTACTTGATAGCATCATGGAACAAAGTTGGGAATGATGACACCAGTCCTGAAATCTGTTAAAGAATAATACAGCAATATTCAGAATACTATAGACGGACCGTGTCCTATGGATTTCTAAGCCATGTCTACTTCCCACATCAACTCTGGATAAGAATACACCCAGTATTCCTCCTCAGTTCACTGCACAACAAAATTCAGTCGATGCAGTAAGCTGACAAAGACCAGATAAACTATGATTGATTGTCGAACTGTAATTGATTCTAATAAACCCAGGAGGTGAGAATTTATCTCGTCTTAATACTATGGATCCACACGTAGATATTTGGACACCTAAATAATTCAGAGCAGCGAAGCGGGCTAGAGTTGAAACCTCAACGAAATCACATGAGACCTCTTGATCAGCAGACCAAAGCTCTCGTGCTTTTTATGGTATAACTTGAACTGCAAATAAATCACAGTTGACTCGGTCTACTTTTAGACAGAATGTCAGATGTCTTATAGAAACCTTCAACTACTTGCGCAGAAAAATTTCTGTCTAAGCGCTAAGGATTATGTTCACTCAAAGTTTGATGGGTTTTGTGAATCTGTTCCTTCTGTTATTACAAGGGATGAGTTTGTTTATCGCGCGATTTTCTTTATATTTTCAAGGTCATGGAAGCAGTCATGATTCTTCGTGGTGCCGAGCCGACTTGGGCCGAGTCACGGCGACAGTTGGGAGAACAAGATTTTATTAAACAGCTCGTCAACTTCGACAAGGACAACATCAATGATCGAACTTTGAAGAAAATTGGACTCTACTGTGCTCAAGATGATTTTCACCCGGATGTCGTTGGGAAGGTAAGCTAAATGTTCATAATATCTTCGAATGACAGGCTCTTCTCGGTCAAAGTGACGCTCGAATTGAGTGGGAATATAATTAACAATATGGTAGACTGATATATACATGGAAAATAAAAAGTTACCAACATGACCGTTTATAATCACCGGGTTGGCATGGCCACTGACTTCAAAACCGAATCGTTTACTAGTACATGATGCAGGGCACTGTGTTATACCATCCGAACTACAAACAGATATCCATAACAGATTGTCTCCAAATAAGTCCTGGACAAATGAACAAATGTTTATTCGAATCCTCGCTCTTCGACTGGTTTAATTTCTCTTCTTTTTCAATCACCATCTTATTTTAGGTCTCAACTGCTGCGAAGTCTCTCTGCATGTGGGTCCGCGCAATCGAGGTCTACGGGCGTGTATACCGGGTGGTTGAACCCAAACGACAACGGTTGCAACAGGCTGAAGCAGTACTGCGTGAGAAACAGGAAATGCTTGCTGCAGCACAAGCAAAATTAGACGAAGTGAACGCTCAAATGAGACGTTTGCAACAGGAGTACAACGAGAAGGTGAGTAAGCATCAGGCAACAGTTTGTGGTCATAATCCTGTGTCAGCCTATATACACGACCAGTTGAGAAGTGAACAGGGTAGATTTATCGCCGTTTGAGTCAACAATGGCTATTAAGGGCGCACTATAATACTATGTTACCAGATCCTCACAAGACGAGTTAATCAAACAAGCAACTAAGCATTGAGACTAAATATCAGGATTTGTTAGGATCACTCTCCCGTACAGAAAGTTCTTTTTTTCACATAGATTTGTTGAATGTGCTTTACAACTTTGATAGCGGATGAGACTTGGACCATCTCCAACCTCAACATTAAGATGACATAGTTCATCAGTATACTTTCTTGGGTAAGTCGACTCTATGCTTTGAATAACGATGATGGAAATCCCTTCTAGTTGGAAGTGCTCATGTTCAGCTTCTACGTGTCCTCAAGGAGGTAGGTAAGAGCGGACTTGTGTGGCCTCAACGTCGACAAAATAACTCAACATGGTATTCAGTAACGAAGTTGAAGTCCGAGCGGCACGTGTTTCGGGAAGAACTATTGCAGTCCGATTGTGAGTTGAGTTCGCTATGAGTCACTTCAAGCAGTCCCTCAGACATGCAATCTACTGTCATGAGTCCCTAACCATTATCCCATGGTCGGCAAATTCAGATTGGAACACTGAATATTTCGGTGACACTTACTACCCCACTTCCTCGAAATTCTGACCTGATAGCTGTCAAGTGAATATCCTAACCACTCGAAATATGGTGTCAGGAGTGCTCTTCATGATCATCTTCGCATAGGTCAGTGTACACAAGCTACTGTTAAACGTAGTATGTTCGTTGGATGTGACCTGAGTCCGGCTCATGAGTGATTCGGGAGCATCTATAACTGAGTTTAACTCTAATAGCGTCTTCATCTGAACCCGAAAATGACCCTTGCCTCAATATACTATTAGAAGTAAATGCTTTCGTACAGACGAGACTAAATATTGGAAAATTCTAGTTAACTCTAAAATCTTTTTCCGATATGAGACTCACGGATAGTGCGACTGCAAGTTTCTCCCTCGTGTACGCTGTAGAATCCAGGCCCATACTGGGCTGAGCTACATACGCTAAGGGTCTGCCCTGCAGCCTGTTTAATCGAGCTTATACACGAGTTTCATTTAAAAAAGAATTGCCAGCGTCTAGTTTTGAGGAGACGTGTTTGTCCGCACTTCGCATCTTACAGGGAACGAGAATAAGCCGTGGCAGTCAGCAAGCTCGCCGTTGTCCAACCTATTTCCAGCAAGCCCAAACGGATTCCTCCTCATTTTTTTCTAGATGGAACAGAAAGAAGAACTTCGATAGCGTCTAGTTTTGAGGAGATGTGTTTGTCCGCACTTTGCATGTTACAGGGAACGAGAATAAGCCGTAGCAATCAGCAAGCTCGCCTTTGTTCAACCTATTTCCGGCAAGCCCAAACGAATTCCTTCTCATTTTGTTCTAGATGGAACAGAAAGAAGAACTTCGACTAAAAGCAGAACATACCGAGAAAATGTTGGATCGAGCCAGCAAATTGGTCAGTGGACTGGCTGGTGAAAAACTTAGATGGGAAAGCACCGTGGCTGATCTATCGGCTCGCATTGAACTACTACCCGGAGATTGCCTTCTGGCTGCTGGGTTCCTGTCCTATATGGGACCATTTTTGAGTGAGTATCGTGAGAAGCTGGTACGAAATTGGCTGACTTTAGTTCGCGCGGAAGCTGCTCCTGCTTCGGACCCATTTGTATTCACTGAATTCTTAGCGGATCCAACACAGGTCAGTATGTTTTCTAACATTTTGAGGATAGAAAGTAATCATGTTTGTCCTGAGAAATACTTTGCATCTGAAATTTTCTGATGAGACTTTGAACGTGTTGGGTTAGAGAAAAGGAGGCTTAGCATTGTGGAAAGGTGTCTGGAAAGTATGGTATAAAAGCTTTCATGCCATGCTCTGTAGCTGAAATTTCATTCACGCAAATGATACAACATGATTTTGGTCGAAAATTATCTGAAAGAAAGGGGATCAACCATAAGTACAGTGTTTCAAAGAACTGCTACGAGTGGTATTTGTTCACCAGTCGGATCGAACAGTCTCAGAGACAGTTGAGGTCAGATTCACTAGCGATCTCCTCTGCTTGTCATTCGGAGCACAACACTGGTACCATGGATAGCAGAACTCACGCTGAATGAATTGTCACAGTAGCGCTTGGAACAAGAGCAGCAGTTAACAGTGCCGCCAGTCAAGCTTTTGGGGAGAGGGCGGAACGGTATGTTTTAGAATATCTTCGAAAGATAACGAAAATCTTGGACATAAAAACGATACAGGAACCTACCGAGGGTAAAACTGAGGTCGTCAGACATCGAAACCAGATTTGAGTATTGCAGGGAACAGCTCACAATGGTAGCATAATTCAATACGTCAACTACAGTTCATGACGATAATCGATGGACAAGGTGAACATGGCCTAGTTTCGACACCCACTTTAGTTCGTTTTACAACGAGCAAACTAATGGCTACCTAGTGTAACATCTGTGCGGCAGAGTTATACAGAAAGGTCAGGGGAAGGATAACCATTTCACCTATCCAATTGAACAGACGTGGTGTGTTTCCTGTGGACAGAAAATTTTCGTACGATGTTCCCAACTCATTCATATTTACTTTGACCAGGTGAGGGAATGGAATCTCCAGGGCTTACCAAGAGATGGCTTTTCGGTTGAAAACGGTGTCATCGTCACACGAGGCTCTCGTTGGCCTCTCATGGTTGATCCCCAGTGTCAGGCTCAGAAGTGGATCAAATCAATGGAAGGAAAGGCGCTAAGAGTGATCGATTTGCAGATGCCAGATTACATTCGTGTTCTGGAAACCGCAGTTCAGTTTGGCCAACCAGTTCTGATGCAGAACATTCACGAGCATCTGGATCAAGCCTTAGATCCAGTGTTGAAGAAATCGCTTGCGAAAATTGGTGGAGTGCTGATCATGCGTTTGGGCGATAAGGAAATTGAATATAACGAAAACTTCAGGTTGGTAGCCACAGAGATGCGATCATTCATGGGTTGTCTGTTTCTCATTTACTTTACATCAGCCATCATCAGCGACTGATGTAAAAATAACCGTATGAAATGTTATCTCTACGTTGATCATGCAGTGTGAAATCAGAGGTCACTAGCTTAGTGGTTCGGTGCTGATCAGTGTTTGTGAACAGAGTTGGACATCTAACCACATCATCACAGGTAACCACTTATGTAGCGTACTCCCCGAAGAGTTAAGAATATTGAGGGTATTCGGCTGAATACTATTGGTGATCACATGGTACCGAGGTCAACAGCAACGGTCGTTCACTGCTGTGTCAAGCGGTCGTTAACCTAGTCTCTCTGCTCACCAATCCACGCTCCAGACAAAACCGCCCTTGTGCTGTCTCTTTCACTAACCATCCACCTCCTACTCACATTTATGTCTTACGTTGCAACACTACATTCGTTCACAGAAGCTACAGAATAGATTATTCTTCTAGGGTGCATTCAAGGCATCAAGAGCCGTTGTCTACAGCCTTCCTCTACTTCACGCCACGAGAAATATCACTCGAAATGGCCCTGGCTTTGAAGGTTCACAACAACCACTTCCATGTACCTAAAGTGTTGGCTATGCGACTACATGGCGCTGACTGCAAATAAAGCGATACCCGGGTCAACTAGCTAAACTTACCTGTATAGACAGTTTAGATTGTTAACGTTTACGCTTAAGCGGAACGCCGAGCAGGAAGATGCCGACTTGAGTGTTTTGGTTCCTTTTACAGCCAAGAGCACCATACGAAGTAAAATTCCCAAAAAAACTTATGTTAAGCATATGGTTCCAGTTCACAGTAACTTGTCAAGTTGAGAACACTGAACTTTCACCTGGTTCACAGGTTCTACCTGACGACCAAACTACCCAACCCTCATTATGCACCCGAGGTGTGTGCCAAAACGACTGTTGTGAACTTCGCCGTAAAACAACAAGGTCTTGAGGCTCAACTTCTCGGAATTGTTGTGAGAAAGGAACGACCAGAATTGGAAGAACAAAAAGACAATCTGGTCATCGGTATCGCAGCCGGAAAACGGAAATTAACCGAACTGGAAGATGAAATTCTTCGACTGCTGAATGAAGCACAAGGATCTCTGCTGGATGATGAACAGTTGGTGAATACACTACAGACTTCTAAAATCACATCAACAGTGAGTGCTCTCTTACCCTCGCCTCTTTGAAGACTAATTAAATGGCCAATAGATATTTATACAAGATACTTTTCTGATTGACAGTTCGAGTATCATGTGAGGTTACTTGATTTGGATTTCACTTACACGACAAATCTCTCAAGCTCTGTTGAGTGTTATCTGGTCCATATAACTCATCGTTAGCCTATGAAAGCCTCACTAAGCCAATCCGTTTCTGAAAGTTCATGTCACAGGTAACGCTACTTACGATTTCAAGACCTAGAACAGAGCTTATGAAAGAGAACATCATCAAAGGTCACGAGTTCGTTGTTACCTGAAATAGCCAAACTTAAGTCACAATGGAACAAATTTTACAGCCCATCCAGCTTCCAGGTTGTAACTAGCAGTTCAGTAATTACTAAAACTCGACAAGCTAGAACGACATCTTATGCTCATGCCATACGTAATCGGTAATTAAAAAACATTATCAGCCTCTTGTAATGGCTGTGGTCCATAGAGGACAAGTATGGGTAGTGGGCAAACATTTTCAAACAATGTCTACTAAAAGAAATGGAAACTTCTTTCCAAAGTGCGTTTATTGTACATGGGATGAACTGAATTGCTGTGTAGGTTATCTTGTGTGCTGGTTGTGTAAAACCGGTCGCTACGACCTTTCGGTTGGCGATCTCGTGATTCATTTACAAAACTTAGATATTCATCTAGGTGACTTTGTTTTTTTTTGTTGTAGGAAGTGACGGAGCAGTTGCAAGTTGCTGAAAAAACCGAAGTTCAGATTGATACAGCTCGGGAAGGTTACCGGCCATGTGCAGAAAGAGCTTCCATTTTGTTTTTCATCCTAAACGACCTTGGGCGGATCGATCCCATGTACCAGTTTGCCTTGGATGGATACATTGATTTGTTTCACCTTAGTATCGACAAAAGCCCTCGTTCGGGTAAACTAGAAGATCGCATCGTCCATTTGAACGACTACCACACATACGCTGTATATCGTTACACGTGTCGCGGTCTGTTTGAACGCCATAAACTGCTATTTTCATTCCAAATATGTGTCAAAATTTTAGAAGCTGCGGGAAAGCTCAATCAAGACGAGTATAACTTCTTCTTGCGGGGCGGTATTGTACTGGACCGCGATAACCAGCTTGATAATCCATGTAACTCCTGGCTTTCTGAACAGTGTTGGGATAATATTACAGAATTGGACAAACTGCCAAACTATCATGGTCTGGTTACATCTTTCGAACAGTATCCACGTGACTGGCACATGTGGTTTACTGCAGCAGAGCCGGAGACCAGTCCACTTCCAGGCGAATGGGACAACACAACGAACGAGTTCCAGCGTATGCTGATTGTGCGTTCCTTGCGACCGGATCGTGTTGCATTTTGTGCCACATCATTCATAACAAGCAACCTGGGCAGTCGATTCGTTGAACCACCAGTACTAGATATGAAGCAGGTCGTTGAGGATAGCAACACACGAACCCCACTGATTTTTGTACTATCCACGGGTGTCGATCCAACCAGTGGTTTGCTCCAGTTGGCTGAAAACTGTGGAATGGGAAAGAAGTTTAATGCTTTATCTCTGGGACAAGGTCAATCTCCGATCGCCACACGTCTCGTGCAAGAGGGTGTTCACGACGGGAACTGGGTGTTCCTAGCAAACTGCCATCTATCACTTTCATGGATGCCACAATTGGACAAGATTGTTGAACGACTGGGTTCGGAAGAGACCCATCCGGAATTTCGACTATGGCTATCGTCCAGCCCGGATCCACAGTTTCCAATATCCATCCTCCAGGCAGGAATTAAAATGACTACTGAGCCACCGAAAGGACTGCGCTCCAATATGAAACGGCTGTACCATTTGATAAAGGCAAGTTACAATGCGGGTTTCCGATGTTTCATAGTTTAGTAGAACCTGAGTGGTTATCACTACCTGGCAAGCGACTCGGAGACATATGTTTCTGAAATTTCGAAGTTGTTCGGTAAGAGTAATAACAGAGTAATAGGTCGTTGAGAATCTGAGTGATGTACTATACATTTACGATGAATGCTCCATCGGGCGACACAGTTGATAAATCTTCCTTGTCACAGGAAAGGCAGCCAGCGCAAACTTATGAAACGAAGAAAAAATACTGGTTAGAACCACCACCCTCTGAAATTTGTTCGGTGGGTGTGGATGAGACGCCAGTCGACGAAAACAGGGATGCGCTCAGGGGTATGGACCGGTTTACCGAACATGACAACTATTGTCGTAGTAACATCAGTATTAAACGATCAATCCTTGGCACCGGAGACAATGATGAGGAAATCCGTAGATGAATTTGCACAAACTGTCCTTAATAAAATAAGTTCTGGTGCTCTCGGATGTGAATAGAAGTTGATCCGGTTCGGGTGAATAACGAAAACTAGTTACCTGAAAAAACGACTTCTTGTCAAGTATAAATTCGAAGTAAGTCCTGGATCGGTTACCGCCAGCGAACACAGCGTGCTGGTATCACGATGGGAGGCAGCCGCTAATTTACGGAACCTTCTTCGAAATACAGTTCAGTCATAAGTGGTTGGAAATTTAAGCAGTTCATCTTCTGAGTTATGCAGTCTTTCATTTCCAGTAAGCTGGAACAAGAAAGAACACTCACTAACTCACGCGCCCCTATGTCTATGCGTCTTGCTGAGCACGCGTTTCAGACCGGTGCAGGGTCAAAAGTAAGCCTCAACTATCATCATGAAGACCAAACCAAATTATGGAACATGTACTGGAGGCGGCAGTTCACAAGCGCTCTGAGTCAGAAGTTCAACTACTGTGGGTTCTGTCGAATTCACCTGTTTCCTTTTGTCTTCACCTAAACTTGATGACCATAGACCATCTGTTACGTATGCTTTCTTGAGGATTGTCCTTCACTATGCCTCTGTAGTCATATTTCACCGGTTTAATACCAAACTATAGGTCGTTCAGGAGGGTTTGTAAGTGGTTCCTTCTCAAGCTTCTGAAATATTACGTAAGTCTTCCAGCTGAGATCCACTTGACCTTCAATGTGCTTGGCTGCGGATGTAAAGTGAATAAGTAAGAGCTACTCACACTGCTGTTCAGCCTCCCGTAGCTGAACGTTTAAATGTCGAACCAGTAGCCGCAATGTCGTGAATGTGAAACTCTCTGAGTTTTGTGAGATGATGGTGATGATTCCCAGTAAGGGTGAGAAACTTGTACAGGGCGTCTCGGTAAAGATTGATTTCATCTACATGATTAAATTTTAGTTGTGAACTGAATATTTTGGTAGACCTGGATCAATGGATGTGAGGTAACCCGAATTTGTGGGTTGTATATGGTTTGCCAACATTTTTCGTCTTCTGTGAAAACCAAACATGCGTTACGAGTGCGGGATGGAGGCTACTGGCGTAGAGTATACCAAACTGTCCACTGATATTGCTGAAGCTGATTCACCTAACTGTCAGCTAATAGGCGACATTTAGTTCAAAGTTGCGCAAAGCCTGAAGACGCTGTCAGAGTCGTTAGCCAACCGAAGTAAAGTGGCCAAAGTAAAATAAGGAAATGAACGATTGCTCAACAATCATTTGATAGCATTTTCAAACATCAGCAGCTCGCATATTCATTGACTGGAAGGCTTCCAAGCATTGAAGATCCAATGTAATGACTGAACGTCCAGTCTTGGTAACCCAACCGTTGTTATCCGTGAAGCCTACCAAAGTTCATCATACAATGCTCTGCGAAAGGCGTTGATCGTAACTGGGACGAGATCACTACAGCTGTGGACAACCTTGGAAACTCTGCTTGTGTTTTCGAGCGCGTACACAGAAATCGTCGGAACATTAACCGTTAACTTCTGACGCAATACTCTGTATCCGCCTGGGCTCAGAAAATAATTCGGTTAAACGGTCTGTAAGATATCGTCCTAAACGAGGCTTACGTATGAACGGACAAGAATGGCGGAACCAGAATGTTAAACAATAAGGGATACTGGTGTAGTCTGGAAGAAAGAGATCGTTTCAGCTAATCCGCAAAACCAGATTCAAGAGAACATCCATTGAAAAACTAATATATAACAAAAGTCGGTGTTGAAATCGCTGGGCGAAATGGTTTCAACAACAGTTTAGCTGACCCCTTTTCTCTAAGCCCCGCCTCATTCACCAAACCTGTTCAAATTACCTTACGATCTGTAAGTTTAGATAACTCTCATTTTATGAAGCCCAGACATTCTTTCCTGAGCCGCCACCGGCCTGTTGCACCATACGAGATTCCACCAGAGTTATTAAAAAAAGATTATGGGTCTGTATCCTGATACAAATAAATTGTCTGTGCCCATTCGATTACGAAAGCAAGCTCCAGAGAATTGGGAGCAGTCGGTCCCAGCCCCTTTGACAAAAAGTTTCCAGAAGCAAGTGCGACAGTCATAGAGGTGTAAAACTTACTCCTGTTATAACATGACTACCAGTCCAACTAGGGAACGTGAGAGGCAAAGTAGGATTTCGGCTATTCAAGGGGCACATTGATCACATTATTACACTTCGTGGAATATTCAAGAACCGCCACGCACGCCGCCGCCGACCAACAATCGTTGCATTACTTTAGTTCAGGGGAGTCTCTGACTCTGGATAGAACGACTAACTGTTCTACATATATCTAGCGAAGCCAAATTCCGACAAAGTTTGTGCGTACACTTCGTACTCAATGTTGCAACGATTCTGGTTGTGTAAGAGACTACAATGAACTGCTCAAAGGTTTCCTAACAAGCAGAATCCATCGTGGTCGCTTTGTGCTCTACTTTGTTCAATTCAGTCACTGTTATGATCAGGGAAGGCACACACCAAGGACCCATCAGTCTAGCGGTCGAAATGGCATCCGGACTTGCATTACGCGGACGCTATCATTTTTAGTCGATGACCATCGGTCGGCACACTCTTTTCAGAACAGAATATTTTACACATTCAAAGTGCACAGTCCTCACCCCTTAAACCCTTCTGGTAGTGTCTGAGTTTTCTCCGAGGTTTACATATCCCGCCGGTTGCGACGATTTTACTCTGACAGGAAAAGTAAATGCATGCAGCATCGAAGCGTCAACAAGGATTGCTAAATTGCTTCATTTACGGCCTCAGAAGCCAAATTCACTGAAGCTAAAAGGATATATATAAAAGGTAACTTAATGAACAGTCATGGTTTATGATTCCGAAACTTGACCACCCGATCTAAAGACCTCAGGCGTCTTCCAACATTTGATCGTCCGTAGCACAGCAAATATTGGTTGACTATAGTATGTCTGCAACAAAATGCTGCGTAGGTGAACACATGATGAATAAAAATTGCTAGGGCAGTAAATAAACCCTATGATGTTCAGGTCGTCGGGACTACCCATGCACAATCAGTAGCTACCGGCAAAGAGTTGTCTTACATCCAAACCTTCGCTGGAAAAAATTCTACGAACAGGCCATGACATGACAACGCGAAATGAAAGCATACTGAAAGCATTCCCGCACCTATCCGACTGAGATCCCGGTGATTTCCCTGGAGTTTAGTTAGAAACCCTATGGGACACGGCACGTACTGCTGTCAATTCTTACTGACGGCCTAGCTCAGATCCGCCTGTTGCACTCTGGGTTTGTGTTGGGTGGAGTTCACAAAGTATGTTGGGTCATTCATTAACGACGTCGTACACAGTGCTCAGATGCGTCCATTTAATCATCGTTCAGAGGTGTGGACACCTTTCACTTGAACGCTCTGCAAGTAGTGTTTTTTTTAGCTTAAATCCACGTTCTTTCACTTTCTCTTTAGCTTGCATGATAGTTGAGCGCTGATGCATTCCTGTTGATGGTGATTAGTTATGATAGAGTAGAATGAGGTTTGTTTCCTGACGGATGAGCTTGCTGAAAACTCACTGGAAAATACACTGTGATATTTCGAATATCGTACCAACTGAAACGGGAAACGGCCTTCTTGGAGAATATTCAGTTGAATAGTTGCATAATGGGGAAACTCTGTTAAGTTTTCTGTCAACACCACGTTATTTTGCCAAGGACTTTATTTAGCCAGAATGAAGTATTGTTCCACTTCTTTGATAACAGCTTCCGTCAATCGAATCGTAACCAAAAACAGCGAATTGGCCAAATCCCTAGACAGTCAGTTTGACACCATACTTCTTTATATCTCTTCCAGGAGGATCAGTTCACAACCTGCCACAAGCCGGAAAAGTACAAAAAGCTTCTGTTCTCTCTCTGCTTTTTCCATTCCATACTGCTGGAGAGACGTAAATTCCTGATGTTGGGCTGGAATATTCCGTACGAATTCAACGACTCCGATTTTGAAGTGTCAGAACATTTGCTTACAAACTATCTCGATCAGTATGAGGAGACGGCTTGGGATGCTCTCAGATATTTGATTGCTGATATCAACTATGGTGGCCACGTGACAGATGACTGGGATCGACGCTTGTTGACTACCTACATCACGGACTTCTTCAAGGAGGATGTACTCAAAGAGACATTTTACAAGCTGACCCCCTTGCCATACTATTACATCCCACGAGATGGTACTCTGAATGCCTATCGGGAGTTTGTTTCGATGCTTCCACAAATGGATCATCCAGAGGCTTTCGGTCAGCACCCGAACGCAGATATCACGTCGCAAATTCAAGAGACACGGATGCTATTGGACACCCTACTTTCACTTCAGCCACAGGTAAGCCATTATACCGGCTGTCTGTTGTACTGCTAGTTTTACCCGGAAAAAAACCGTGGTTTCTAACCAAAATGAAGTGCAGCGATAGAATCGGTCGACGTTGTCTTTTTTATTCTAAAATGATTAATTTTGTTTGCCACTGGACTTTTCCTTGCCCGATATTTCTTGCACATGTATTCAACTCTGAAAATAACCAACAAAGTGAGTAGTTGTAAAGCAATATCATTCGTTTCAGTTGAATTTCAGCAGGCTAGAATTGACCCATCTGTAGTTGAACAGTTGTTGCCCAAAACCGCTATCGAGTGTACTCGAAAATCGTTCCAGGTCTGAAGAGTTGTCAGGACCAAACCCTTACTGTTAACGTATGCATATGTAACCGGTGGGGTACACCACTACTCTCGTTTGCAATTTCTGCTGATCGTATTCTATTTCCTGCAGGTCTCCACGAGCGCCGGAGTGTCCAGAGAAGAATTGGTACTGGAACTGATTGAAAATCTCCAAAAACAAATCCCTGAGAACATTGACTATGAGGGCACGGTCAAAATCTTCGCCAACGACCACAGTCCACTGGTTGTGGTTCTGTTGCAAGAGATTCAACGATACAACGCCTTATTACATAAGATGCGCCGGGATTTGACTGATCTGAGCAAGGGTATACAAGGTTTGGTTGTGATGTCTTCTGAACTTGAAGACATTTTCCTATCAATCTTCGACGGTCGCGTGCCGGAATACTGGAGCAAAGTAAGGTTTCGGCTTACCTATTTACGGATCAGCTCTGACCATATGAATTTTCTTCACTTTGGTACAGCCATATGGTTTGTGAGAGTACAGTGTCTTGAATGACGCTGGTTTGCGGGTCTGCAAAGAAGTAACTTCAGGCTCTTGGAAATAATGCGTGGCGTTCATTCACGCTGCCCTCCTAATCTCCCCAATGAAAAGCTCATTGACCGTTCGTATTTATACACCATTTTATCAGCTCCCGTCTCCAATGCGCAGCTATCTACCTCACGTCCCCAAATCATCGGCGGACGAAACTATGGCAACTAGAACCACTGTACGGCAAGCATGCTGTTTTTACAGCTGGTGATTATGATGATGTCTCCGGTGCACAGTTATCCCCTCCCGATTTCCCATCAGTAGTCAACTGCCGGTAACCATTGTGCGGCTAACACCCGAAGCACACATCAACTATACCATTCTTCACTGGCCAGGTTATGGTTGTCGAATATCGAGGCAGCGAGTGTGGTACCGCGCACTGTTTGAGAAAGACTGATGGTAGTCAATGACATGATTATGAGCTGTGTAAGCTTCACTGCCTAGCAAAATTAGCTAACAACGCCTCCCAGTTTGAGGGGTGACAGCCCTCATCGGTGTTTGATAGTACCTTTTGAAATGACAACGTGTTGCAGTAAATGCCGAGACTAAATCAACCAACCGGTTGACCTACCCTGTTTTTTCAAATCATTTAATTCCATTCGGTTGTCTCCACATTTCGATTTTTCGACACTTTCTTTTCGTCCACAGCCATCCAACTTACTTGCAGCACAAGCAAAGTGTTCACAGACCCGACTTAGCACTGGAAATGAGCTCTCATCTTTACTGCGTCGCTATCCACTCATTCTCTAAGTCATCCATGAATGAAAGTGTCACTGTTGCAAAAAACACACGATCTTCATCCGGTTTAAAGCTGGTGACGTAGATATTACCTAAGCTGTGTTAAGTAAGTATTAATTTAAGTATCCTGGAAACAATAAGTTATTCCATATTTGAACATCCTGAAAGGGTGAGCTAGCACATCTGAGTCGTACCGTTCCTTTGCCAACTGAACACCAAACTTCCACTCATGACTTCACGCACCAGTGTGCATTTGATCGCGGCCACGTAACCAAATACATCTGTTTAGTGGGCGCACTAAATCAGATGAGGGTGTCTGAGAGCCGTAAAGATTTGCTAAAAATCAACATGTGTGAAAAAAAGTTACGGTGGTTTGGGAGGCTACATGGCCAATCCAAAGGTTTTACTCAGCGGATCAATGGTACCATTTTCCCAGCTCACAATGATACATGGGCTGCAGCTGTTCTCCAGAACAGAAACCGATGACACCGGATAAATCACTTGTGCTACAAAACAAAAAAACCTTCACAAATCCTCTGCATGCATCTGCATGGGATCCATGAACAAGAACCGTTTGCAAACATCAAGCACGGTTACTTTGTTCGGCAATTTATTTATCCGACACTTCTAGGAAAAACCAAATGAACGGATGAATACTGTCGCTTGAGATATTCACCAACCCAATGCTCTACACGATGACCACCCTCATGGATCGCTCGGGCTGATATCCGCGATAACGAATTACCCTTCCTTTCATGGAGATGGAGATCCCTCACCTTCTTTGCAGGTTTCCAGGTATCCCTGATCCTTGAATCCCCATCAAACTTGCTTCATATTACAACACGATGGAATATATGTGGAGTTAAACATCCACCTAAAGACTGAGGCAAGTAAACGTGATCCGAAAATGAATATCTAATCTGTGGCGGTTGAGCATCACGTGACTGCAATGAGTTTGCAAACGAACGTTTCACTCATTGTGTCTAACGAAACTGAAGGAGATTCGGGAATCACACCTATGTGATGTACCCAAAACAAGGTGAAAACTAGCAGGTTGTCGACAGGCTTGTAAGTGGTATCACATCACGGAAGAACTAATATTAGTTACATGGTACAACTCAGGGAAGAATTATACCAGTTAATCCCCCAACAAAATGCTCTAACCACTGTTCTGGTGATAGCCAAGTCATTCAAGCAGTCAGCATCATCCACGTCTTTCTAATTTCTCTATTCAGACATACTGTTCACTCAAACCACTTGGTTCCTGGGCGAGGGATATGGCGGCGCGCGTGGAAATGTTTTCAAAGTGGGCACGGACGGCCCATCCTCCGAAAGCATTCTGGATTGGTGCCTTCACTTTCCCCACAGGATTTCTTACTGCAGTCCTCCAAACCGCAGCCCGTCAGAACAATGTCTCAGTAGACAGCCTTAGCTGGGAATTCACAGCGCACACAACAATGGATGTGAACACACTTCCAACACCCAAAGACGGTGTATTCGTCTGCAACTTATACTTGCAGGGTGCCGGTTGGGACAGAAAGACAGGCTGTTTGGTAGAAGCTACTCCGATGCAGTTGGTTTGTGCCATCCCGCCCATTCACTTTAAACCTGTGGAAAATAAGAAGAAATCCTTAAAAAGTAAGAAAACGGGGGATGTTATTGTTTGTTCTGTCAATTTAGTGAAGCAGCTACCCAGCGAACAGTGATCAGGTTCGTTGGAACATTCGGGGTTTGCTAGCTACGTGCAGACGTTCGAACAGAATCATTCAAGTTTCTTTTTCGAGAAAGTGAGGCTCCCTATCGGATACATCTAATCTTTTCTAAGAGGAACTCACTCTTGAAAGGGAACAACCTAATAGGGTGACAACATTAGTGATCAACAAGAGCCGGCAGTGTATGGGATCCGTGGCCAGTGGAATAACCGTGAGTGACCACGTGATTCGGGTCGCCCGCGGGCTTTAGCCAGATGATGCGAACAACATTCAGATCTCTACATTATTCGTCACGAGCGTTGAAGCCAGTGTCAGCACCTAGCAGTAGAACAGTGTCGAAAACTCGTCGCCATTGTAAACTGTATGAAGTGAACTCATTGGTCAGACAGCTTGCCTCGAATTTCCTCGTACTAGTTTGGTTTGAAAGAGTAATTAGTATTCGCTGCTGACTTCCCTACTCTACTGAACACATCATTCATACTTTCGGGATTTTTGGCAGTATAAATTTCATCATGTATTCACTTACCCCTGAAGACACCACCATTGCCTCTGTTTGATTCGTGAAACAATTAAATAAAAGGTGCGATTACGGTACCACGTGTTTCATTTTTTCCTCCTCAGATATTTACGTTGCACCTTGTTACTATTATCCCAACCGCGCCGGAACCTCAGACAGAGTGTCAGCACCTAGCAGTAGAACAGTGTCGAAAACTCGTCGCCATTGTAAACTGTATGAAGTGAACTCATTGGTCAGACAGCTTGCCTCGAATTTCCTCGTACTAGTTTGGTTTGAAAGAGTAATTAGTATTCGCTGCTGACTTCCCTACTCTACTGAACACATCATTCATACTTTCGGGATTTTTGGCAGTATAAATTTCATCATGTATTCACTTACCCCTGAAGACACCACCATTGCCTCTGTTTGATTCCGTGAAACAATAAATAAAAGGTGCGATTACGGTACCACGTGTTTCATTTTTTCCTCCTCAGATATTTACGTTGCACCTTGTTACTATTATCCCAACCGCGCCGGAACCTCAGACAGACCTTCCTTCATGATCGGAGTGGAGTTGAAGACCGGAGAGAAGCCGCCAGAACACTGGACCAAACGAAGCACAGCATTGCTTATGAGCCTCGATACATAACCAACCACGACATTCATTTTATCCGGATTTCACTTTCTCAAGTGCCTTGATCTCGGCCACAGTCAGCTGAACACAATGAACTGTTTGACGAACGATTTTCTCATTTTTTTGTTGCTCAATGTTGACCTAGGGTTCAAATGTATAGTGTCATACGGTATTGTATCAGTAAAAAAAGTAAAATCACCCTTGTATGTTTGCTTATGCAGAGTATTAGGAGTAGAGCCACTCAGCTATCTAACTGTCATGCTATCCGAAGGAAGCACGAGGACTTGGATACTACGGGGTTGCCTAAGCCTGGACAGGGCAAATCGAGAGGCAGAGGTTGGGTTCGAACCACGGGCCTTCTGGTTGGTAAATTCGCGCTCTAACCACCGAGTACGACTAGTAATTTGCACTCGCTGGCTAGGAACCGGTCGGGGTTGCATTTGACCAAAATGGGCATTGTAGTTTGTCTGCGAAAACAGTTGGGGGACGCTTGTTCGGCTGAAGGACCAAACACAAAAAAGGGGGGGCGTATCTGATCCGTAGAAATATGACTGCGTAAATGAAGGGGGTAACAGCATTGCATTTATTACACCAGTTACTTGGTGGTGTTTTGACATTCAGGATGACATTCTGAGGGCTGTGTGAAGCCTTCGCTAGTGGAAGTGCGAGGTCTTTCCACTCATCCTGACATCAAGCACATTCCTAACCCACTTCAACAGACGAAACACGAATGGGCTCCACCGACAAAATTGCTGTGCTAATCGCTTTGAAGCACCGGGAGTAACCTTGCGCTTCAAGCATACTCAGTACGGTTAAAATGCACACACGTTGTCCCAGCACAGAAGTGCAATCTCAATAATATTTATCGTTTCGTATCTGTACGGCCAATTCAGGCGGCAATCATACTGACTATGTAATGAGGTGATTGTCTTCCAGGCAGTCGTGTTTTCACTGCACTCCCATAAACCAGTCTATCTGGTCAATTGCTGTCTGAGTTCAATTCAAGTGGAGCCAACTGAGCTCCTAATTTTCATGTATCGTCACGGTCGAAATGTTGACCGATATCCCGCGTTTAGCATGCCTGCCAAACAGTCACGTGGACGTCGTCACAGTTGGCTATAAGACACGTGCAGGTTGTACCTTAGCTGTAGTTACCATAGATTCGTTACCTCAAGTGCGAACTCAAAGTTTGACAGTTTTGTGGAGATCGAGTAGGTTTATCCCAGAATCAGATAATTGAGTTCACTTCGACCAACTGAGAATTCTACGCGAATTAAATACGGGTTCGAGAAATACAGTGTTGCAACAGAACACAGCGAATTCTCCAGGAAATTCTTGGTCTCTTCGAAACGGTCACAGGCATATACGCTATTCTAGGGTCAAGATAAGGATTCGAATACAAGAAAGTCAAGAGAAAGGCGACTGGACTACTTTCACTGGCTCCAACAGTTAATGCGTCTCGTCCAAGCGACCATATAAGTCTCAAGAAAGCATTGTGCCACCCGCCATCGATTCCCTGGTATGTACTTGAAAAGAACGAAGTACTTGGGTTTTCTTCAGATGGTTTTTGTTGCCCACTTCTGTCAACTGTCAGAGGTGGGGGTTAGCTAGTTCTGCTTAAATTGGGAATTTGTCCTGACCTTTGCTGTATTTTCTGTTATCACACGTCTATAACCTCAGACTTCGCCGAGCAATTGAATCTATTTTTTTAGAGCATCAGAAGACCAGCGATGACACCTGTTTCGAATACACGAACTCGGTGTCACAGTATTCAGATACAGTGTGGCCCTTGTACACGGAATTCAGACATTTGGAATGCAAACTAAAGCCACAATCGAAATCTAGGTGAACTCCTGTTACTGGTCGGTGCATTCAACAATCAGTCCAGTTTGCTTACACTCCTTTCGTTTACAACTCACTTGGACTTGCAGTTCAGTTGCAGTGAGCAACTGTGATCTGTGAACCAGGATAGAGTATCTTTCGTTGTCGTGGATGGAGCTAGCCTTGTATTGAGGTCAGTGGTTTAATGTAGACATCAAATGGTTTGAGAAATTCCAACTCAATAGTACATGAGCTAAGGCTTGGATACATCAAACCCTCTGCCCAAGAGAGGGTAATGTGTAAAGATGAGAGTGCTCCGTCCCTCTTGAAAGGAATCACACAATGGAAGGAAGACGACTAGTGTGGATTCCAATAGGGAACTGATTCTCTTTAGAAAGATCGCCTGAAGATTAGAATCACGCCTCTGAGTCTCCCATAAATAAGCAAAGATAAGCAGCCAAACCAACGGTGGCCGATCCTATTCTGGTGAACTAGTTTCACATTTGAGGTGATATGTTTACACAAAAACGGGTGACTGACCGGCTTTCTCCCGGAGTTTCGGCTGATTTCTACGCAGTCATGTTGAATGCAGCCAACCTGAGGCTCGGCCTTTTACATACGGAGTGAGCAAAACCCAAAGTGGCTTAATTGTTAGGTTTTGGGAAAATTCCCGTTGGTTTCACTGCATGAAATTTTTTAAAGTTCACCTAAAGCGTATCTTCTGAGGTTCACTTGTCGAAAAGAGTGAGGCCACGAAAGACTACAACGTGATACTAGCAAAACATTCTCCCATGGAAAAATTCAGTGGCTAGAGCCGGTGAATTTCAACTGCCATGGATCCACAAAGAAGAAAAACGGGACTCGCGAGAAGAGTTTAATAAAGTCCAATATATACAATTTCTAAGGAAATTCAAGTGTCCCATAATCGTTTCGTCGCCACAAACCAATGTTCGTGTTTTCCTGTGGCAAAAACAACGGAAAACAGTGAATAGTTGCTGTTGTTAAGTATACACCGGATGTAAAATGATCTGGAAACGCTATTCACCAACAAACAAAGCACAGAAGCCAGGGAAACGAGTGACAATAGGCTGTCTGGAACCTGGGATGGTGACATGTCGTTCAGCTTAATCACCCACACCTGGTTATCCTCATAACGACAGCAGCGGTCGCCTTTACTGACCATGGATAGCGGACGCGATGAAGATTGATTTCGCCGAACCGAGTTGCTCTACACGACCGATACAGAACCATAAGGTGGGGTATCCCCAACAATAGCAGAGTAACGTATAAACTGTTTAAAAAAGAAGTTTAACTATGCGGTTTGATGAGAAAACGCACTCCCCAACTACGACAAACCAACGTGGTAGTGAGTTACGTCAATGAATAGCGTAGCTGAATACTCCCCAATCAGTCTTATGAGTGTTCAGTGATGAAATGAACAAAGTTTGCAACATAACTTTTGTTCCGGGATGTTGATGTGGTCTACGAATAAATCGAGCAGAAGGTGCTACAACTTGCCATTCTGGGATCCAGCATAGATATCAAGAAATAATATAGTTTACTGTAGTACAGCCAATACAACTACCAGCTGATGCTCAAAGTATACACTTATAAGTGAAACCCTTCAGCTGTAGCACCTTTTCGGAAGTACGAGACCTGAAATACTGCCAACCCTAGACAAGGGTAGTTGGAACGCAGAGGTTGGGTTCGAACCATGGACCTTCCAGTCAGTAAGTATACGCCTTGACCACTGAGCTATTTCGATCTCCCAGCTATGAGTAGCATTACGCGCATTCCTCATTACAAGGACGTCTTTAATCAGCTGTCTTCTGTCTTTTGACTAACAGTCGGCACCCAAATATGAATGACACATGTGGAATTTAAAATCTTACAGAATTCAATTGAGAAGTGACTGTCAAGGGAAGCAATAAAGGAATAATGGGGAAAACTTGTTCCCTAGACTAATAAGCGGTATGGATGTGCGAGGAAGCAGTAGTTGGATATTTGACCTGAGTGTAGCAGGACCGGATTAAAACCGTTACGGGTTGGAAGTGCAGTTCTGGGTTCTGATGATGTCAGTTACTCCATTTTAGTGAACAGTCGAAGATAATTTACTGGAACTCAGGCTGTAGAAAATCAAGGTGGAGTTGAACAGTTTGGGGTTCGACATAGCATAGTGCCTAATGAATGGAACTATGAATAAGCTTGAAGATTTCATTCCCGTGTGAAAAAGATTCCTTTCTTGGATACAAAAAGTGGACAGTGTGCAGAGATCCACTTTTATTACAAAGGTCCGTCATCTGCAGCAATTATTATGAAGGTTGTGAGAAATTAGATCGCATGCGGAAGAATCCGTTAGCGTTAGCGAATTTCGTTCAACTTGGGTTCAAATAGAATATAAGATTGACGGAAACCCAGGGACTGCGCCAATCCGGTGAGCTACAAGAAGGGCGAAACTGCTGACGGGTTATCGAGAAGTTTCCAGCAACCTTATTAGCAGTGCTCCTTCAAGTGCACACTTTTGTCGGTGCTACTTCTACAACAATGAATCTTTAATCCCATCATCATGGCTTTAAACTCAGACGACTGATGTTAGACACCGATGTTGATGAACACCAGTGCAGACACTTGAAGTGATTTTGGCCGGAAAAATATTTTTTTCGTCCAATTCAGTCAAAATGGGGACTCAGAGAAAGCCAGTGGAATGCAGCTGTTAACGGATTAATAGATCGAAAAATTCCAAAAGCTCACCAAGTTTGAGGATACTTAATCCAAGACGGGCTTCGCAGCGTCCAACAGCTTCCTGGAGTAACTGGCAGACGGTGAGATCCACAGTCAAGTGATCGTCAGAAGGGTGTTGGACAGACTTCAGAGCGTTATTCGGTTTGAACAAGACTACATCGTTCATCGTCACACCTTTTCGTAGGCAATTGGTTACATAACTGGATTCAGAATCAGCGGAGGTAGCCGTTCGTAGCAGACACCCCAGCCAACGAGAAACACTTTCAATTGACCAATCGACGGGTAACTGACTATGGATGACGGGTACTAACTTCACCGTGGGAGCCAGGTAGGTTCGGAGACAGTCACACTCCTGTTGAGTCAGTTCTTCAGAAATGACTCCGAGAGACGTCTGTTCAGTGGATTTTCTCCGGGGGAAAAAGATGCGTGTAGCCAGTTCAGAAGCATGCAGGGCACTAGCTAAGACAAAGAGAAAATAAGATTGGTTGAAACCTTATCACTACACATGTTGCTATAACTTTTAACCTGAAGTTGAGGCCGTGGCTGGGAATCAACAATTGTGGGATGTACAACGGAATTCAACTAAAACATCCCGATATCGACTGCGGCTGAAATCTTAGAAGAGACACGACTAGCCGGGGGTTGAACTCAAGCATAGGCTTGGGCTCTGTCCGTGGAACAGCGTAACCAAAAACATCTAAGCATTGGATACCAAGCAACACTCTAAAACTGCTCGAAGTCCGGACAAGCATTCATCCTGGTTGAGAGTATAATACCACTGTCAGACTTGAGCTGAAAATGGGCGTCTGTAAGGGATCGAAAGAGGTGGAGGATGCGAATAGCCCTGGAAATGTGCGCAAACTATTCCAGCTGATACGCACAACAGACCCAGAGAGGCTTCTGCTGAGCGAAACAACCAGTGGTAAGAAAGAGCGCTGGAATCGTTTGGTTGGGTACAACAAATCAACTGGCCACCTGCAGTTGTACAGCCGGATTACCGGCCTGCAACGCATCCTTGGACAGTGAAGTTGGAATACGCGATGGCTTCCGAAAAACACTGTCACTCAAGTTGCTGGTTTTGACGAACTCCCGCCAGCTCTGTTTAAGGATGGAGCGAAATCCCCAGTGCATGCTTGTCTAGCTCATTTGCTTCTCACCCAACCAACAGGGGTGAGTTGATAGTGGTGTACATCCTCAAAAAGGGTGCTTGCAGAATGTGGTAAGCACAGAGAAAATAGGTTGACTCCCGATGTAACCAGACTGTGTCGCTTATCCTATGTCCTCTTGTGAACGCTCATGAAGACAGGACCATAGAAAATCATGCGGGATTCACGCCGGGGAGGGGATGTGTAGACCACATCACACTCCGTGAAGTGTAAGAGCAACGACATGTGTGTAGGCGCTCTACAATTTTGGTTTTTTATGAATATAAGAGTTTGATTCTGTCGATCGGTCCATGCTTTCCGACAGGCTTGCGAAACAGAGTATACCCCAGAAGTCCATGAATATCATGCGCTCCTTGTATTTACACACTTGTGGATGCGCAAGTGTATGGGGAGCTCTCCGAAGGCTTTCCTACAAGCAATGGTATCCAACAAAAATGCCCACTGTTGTTTAATTTCGTCATTGGTGAGGTAATGAAGTAAACGCTGGGTCTTCAAAACGCAGGTGTTCAGACCTCTACGATCAGGGGTTCAAGACTTGCCCGCGTGGGGTGGAGGATCTGAGACATCTTCAGGTCTTTGAGCACCGATGACCGGAATCGCAACGAGGTGATGGGGTCATGGTGAAGCACAGGCTACTTCACTCAAAGAATGGGTCGAGCATTGCAAGCTAAGCTGGCTGGACCATGCCGAGTCGCCACCTGCTGGGACGAGCGCTATTTTCTGTGCCTGATTCGGAGTGGCGGATACCTAGAGGTGGACAGAATTCGACTTGGCAGCATGGGATGAAGGGTGTTTCTAAAGGGTTGGGTGCTGTACGCTTTCTTGTGCTTGGCTGGAGACACTAAACGGTATGCTGACTAACCGATACAAGTGGCGTGCACTCAGCTAGTCCCCACGTAGATTGTCTGACTGAGGTGAAGGCACCCCGGGTGTTTGTTGTAAACTAGCCCTAGGCCCCCCTTCCTACACGGCTCTATTAAGGTGAGTTTTCAAGCCGGTAAGTTCACCAAAACTAATTCAACGACAAGAACCGGGTTCAACAGCTACTCAAATGTGTCCTATGGGGAGGCCATCAAATCAAAGTAGGATGCGACTAACTTTTATGGATTAAGTCCGTAGAACATAAGTCATTACCGAAAACTCTGAGAACTGGTAGGATCTCTCTCTCTCAAAAAAAAGATTTTGTTGAGGGGAGACAACCTTTCTAAAGAGTTCAGTGTACATTCCTCTCGGACAAAGGCTATTCCTAAGGAAGCGCTAATCAGTTTCTCAGTGACAGTAACACGAAGCACGGATTGTGGGAAAATCCAAAATGAAGCATCCGTGTAGCCACTAGTCCAGTAATAAAGCAGATTGTGAATCGACATTACCAACCTTTTTCCTGCTTTGAAGATTGAAATTCACAGAAGGTAGACACCCAGAGAATACCACCTTAAGGACTAGTCACAAGGCTGGTAGAGTTCGAGTTTAACAGGGCGTTTATATGCTACCGAAATAAAGCACAGAAAATTAAAAAAAACATGATCACCGGACATCAAGAGGTCAGTTGATCAAGCCTCTTGATCCTGACCCTGACCCCAGATAATTCCAACCTCCTCTCTGATTCTCGTAACATCCGGTTTGACACCTTGATTATGCAAACATTTTGTGTAAGAGCCTGATGACGAAAGGCCCAAAAGGATTCTTTCGCTCAATATGACTCTTATTAACGAGTTATCCGGACCCCTTTTGGTCATTCACGTGACACAGAGTGGCTGAGTTGGTTCCAGACTAACGACGGTGATAAGTAACGCTCAAACTGAATAATGGTAAAATTATTTCAGCAGGTTCCCCAACCAACCATCAAGTACGCGCAGATATTTTGTGGACGCAGAGACGCTTTTCGATCAAATCTTACCCAACAGCATTTACATACTGGATTTGGACAAACCAACATCACGCTTTGGCTAGACATCAACCGTTTGGCCTGTCATTTTAGCGACCTTGATTCGGGTGTCCAATTAGGTCACAGAGTCCCCGGCTGAACCACGGTCTGTGCTGAAGGTGGATGCTGTACGTGCACTCTATCGGGTATTGGAGACTGCGGGAGTGGGGTGGGATGAGTAAACTTTCCCTCAAAAGTACACGGCTGACTGAGGTAAAGATTTTTCAGCGAATGGTTGAGGTGGTGGACCACTGGAGCAGACCACACGAGCGATCTGACAAGGACGGGAGAATAGGTTGAACTGCTTCGGAAAGTTTTCCTTCCCTGAAGGCAGAAGGTCGGCTACGGTCATATGGGACGGAACCCACCGGCTAAATGGATGAAAGCAATCGATTTATCCAAAGTTGGACAGCCACTCCTACTGTAGATCGACATACGAACCGACAGAAGTGAATGTGCACATCGTGTCGCACAAAGTTATGACAATCGCACGACACACCGCTCACGGTCGTTGTTCCGCTGTAACCAAACGGATTCGAAAGGAATTCGACCAAGATGACGCGGGTGGTGTTGTACTTTGGTGTGCAAAAGCAGACGTTTGTGTATTGGGTGAAAATACGACTAATTGTTTTTTATCTTCCCGACTACAGTAATGTTGGAAACCAAGCGAGAGCTGTTTCGTGACAATCCAACGGGAACGCTGAACAAGCGACAGTGAAGGTTGCGGTTCATGGAGCAGGCGATCAAGGCAGCGAAATGTGAATGGACATTTATGTCGCTGGGGAGAAGTTGGTAGCTTGGCGAACAGACCAACGACCATGAACATGTATCTTATATCTATCAAATCTTGAAGTATGCGGATGCCCCAGAAGCTGTTAAAGAGTTCAGCTAAGAGCAAAAAGAGGCACACTGTGGGAAATGATACCTTTCTCTCAGGAACAATAGGGACCATAAAATGGAAGATCGCAGTTTTGACGATCATCAAATGTGTGATACCGCTCGATCACTGTTACCTCGTCTTTGTGTGTATCTGAACTGATGCCATAATAAACCTCCTTACTGAAGGGCTCTCACAACCTTGTCACGATAGACAACCTGCATTTTAAAATAGCCCGTTTAATCATTCGTGCTTCAACTGAACATTCCAAAGCCGGGTGTTGTGAGCCTTCTATTTGTGCGGTCAGCTGTGGTTGGATACATGGCACGATCAAGCAGAATGTTCGGATTTGACAGGAACATGACCGACTGCAGGTGGCTATGTCAGGTCTTCGGATCGGAAAGCCTATGTCTGTCGGTGTTGCCTATGTGCATGCGACCTTGATTCGTGCAACGCTCTGACGTAAACGTCCGATCAACATATCTGGCAGTACAACACTACTAAGGTTCAAATGCATTTCGGCCAATAGACTGGATCTATAGTAAACTGGGGCGAAAAGGTGGATTAGAGCACACTATAGAGAAACAAAATTTAAAAATACATGCTGGCTGGTGTTAGAATGTCGAGGCAGACCATCCGTTGTTGTTCACCGAAAGCCGAAAAGTACAATTGGTTTGCCCAAGCTTAACGTGATAATGCTTGTTGGTGCCTAGCTTCAAAGAACACCTCCGAAATTACCGGTAACACAGGTGAGGAAAAGCAGAAAATGTGATCGGCTTAATTAAACTAGTAGCTTGGAAAGACTTCTCTAACTCACGACGTTTTCATGAAACACTGTCATTTCGTAGTGCGCTCCACAGGGGAACAGTGACAACAGTAGACTAGATGAATGATTCTGCTAAGTGGAAGCCTGTGAACTTGCAAGAGCACTCACCACCATGAACCAAAAGCGTCAACTCCCGAGCAAGTGCTCGCTGCACTGGACGCGTATCGGGTGTATCCTAAAATGTGAACAAGAGAGCAAGGGTTGGAAATAGCATATTGAAAGCACAGTTCCTAAAACACGACAGCTAATCCTAGCTATCAACCTGGCAAAAACCGGTGACCCGATATAAGAAAGACAGTAACCAACTCCATAAACACAAAGACAAAGCGCAAGCACAATCGGCACTGGTGAAAACTTGTAAGTCTACAAGCTTGCACAAAGGGGCATTCGTATTCACGACGTTCAAAGCAAAATACTATAAAACATTCAAAGCCGGTACGGGTGGCCATTTGCCACTCTTAAAGAGGAGAGGCTACTGTTATGAGTGTCCTAGCATTGGCGCGTGTATTCCACTGGCAATCTCGTTTGCAAACAGGGCTGTGCTACTATAGGTCTTATTAGGTTGGTGGACTCGCGTCCGATATTTTCATCCTCAACTCTCTTTATACCCCGCCCAGATATAGCGACTGAACACTATACCCTTTCTCACTGCGACGTTCGGCTGAACTTTCTCAGTTACATCCTAATACTTCAAGTGATTCTGAGGTCTTCGATTTCTTACTGGAGATCCAATAGTCACTTGAAACGCTTCGACCGGGGAATGCCTCATTTTGTTCATTTTCACCCTCTATTTTATCCAGGTATACGCGCAGCAACAAAATAACCACAGCGCTTTTGTGGCTAACACGCATAGACACTCGTTCATGGATTGCACAACAATGAAGAAGCAAGATGTGGGTTGCCCATCAGAACTCGTATTCAGTACCAGCCTCGGATTAGCAGCACACACCGTCGTACACTCTCTTATCTCATGTGAACTCCATCCCAAGCCCTTCTAGGACCGTTTGGAGTAGCGTGGACACCACTTAAAACACCTTGTCGCATGCATGTACACAAAGACTTCAAACCATGTCACATCATTTTCATTCGCGTTGACAAAGTGCGTGGAACACTAAAAGCACCACAATAAAGGTTTCTATAAACGTATCAGTCGTTGTGAGAAATTCCTTGTCAGTGATCGTGAGATCGTTTGAAAGTTTAGGGACCACCGCACACACACACACTCCTCCCAGCCCTCCACCCTTGCAACAATATTTGCCGTTCTACTCGTAATACCCATCTCAGAGGCCCCGACTTCTATTGAAACCGTATCTGCACACAGTAAACGGATACGCTTTAGTTGTACTATCACGCCACCTATTCATTACGTTCGTTAAAAACACACGTTAATTTTTCTCAAGTGCCCGTCCATTTACGTAAGGGAGCTCCAGATAGGAGCTCTGTACCGTTTTTTCTACTACGTGCCCATTTGTAATGCGGCTTTTATTTACCGGTTCAAGCACATTTTCATCGACTTCTAGTCGACTGTTCAGTGCACTTCCATATCACTGGTAATCGCCAATTGGAAGGACGCTATGCTGCTTGTTGCGTGCAACAAAACCTGTTATACAACATTGGTTTTCTGGGAATCCGCATTGCGGGAACCATATACATGGATAGAATATATCATTGTATGTATTGAGCAATAAAGATGATTCCTGTTTACCAGACCGAGTCTGTTTATTCCATAATCCGTCCATTTTTATGGTTAAATAAGTTATACGTGTACAAAGTGGGAACGCTTACTTCATGTGCCTTCATAAGACTTTGGATTTCATCCGAGGAGAAAAAGGTCAATTGCCGCAGCAATCGAGAAGCGATAAGCTGATCGGGTAAGTTCAAAATTCTCTGGTAGAAGCCATAAGGAGTGAGTTTATCCTTCGATAACCAAATCGGAGCACTTCTAGTTCCTGCACCTGTTTCGGATTTCCCAAACTTCTTTCCCTCCGGTGTGGTGAGCAAAGGGACAGTGAGGCCTAGGAAAAAGTTACGAAAATGCTTCGTAAAAATTAGACCGATGGTAACCACCAGTGAAAACAAGCAAATACATCAGGAAGGGGCACGCAGGACAGTACCACCCTGGATTGTACCTACGAGAATTTGGCCGGTGGACAAAAACCTGGGAACGCCGGAGTATAAAGTAGTAGAGCAGAGTATAAATATCGTGAGATAAACGGCATCGTTTCAATCCTGATATTTCCGTTTTGTTCGGAATAAAGATCCGAACTATTGAACTCAATCATAATCGTAATCATCACCATCAAAGACAGCAAAGTCAGCTATGTCAAGCACTCTGAGATGCTTACACCTCTAAGCGCTCAGTCAGACAGTCTGAAAAGAAACTGATAGCACGAACGCCACTGAAGTTGATTAGCCACCATTTCTTGCAGTCTCCAGCCAAGCACAGGCGGAATCACGGGGACCCCATCCTGGAAGGCGTACAACACCAACAACACCGAAAGTCTTCGTGATCTCTTTCACACCTTTCTGCCAAGTCATGAGCTGTCCACCTCGCGGTTCACGCTATTCTGAAGGAGGCACGGAGAACAACACTCGTCTCGGTAGACGGTGTTTCGGCATGCGTAGCACATGACCGAGCCATCGCAGTCGATGATGCTGGATGTTTTCTCGGATTGAGGTGCCTGCAGCACAACCAAATACCCGTTTTTTAATCACCTCGTTACTAACACGCTCACGCCATCCACAACCAGCCACATTTCTGAGGCAGCGGTGGTCGAAAACCTGAAGACGCCTCACATCTGTCCGCAGAGGCCACGTCTCGCACCCTTACAGTAACACAGTCCTTACTGTAGCCTGGTAAAAGCGACCCTTAGGATCTAGTGATATGCCTTTCTGACGCCACAAGTGACGCAAATTAGCAAACGTGATTCGAGCCTTTGAGATTCTCGCACTGACTTTATCAGACATACTTCCGTCAGAGTTAATACATCTACCAAGGTATGTAAAAATTTCCACAACATTCAATGATTCTCCTTGAATTGTAAAGGATTTGTTTGCAGGACGCACGTTCTGAAGCATGACTTTGAACTTTGAAGGTGCAAGGCGCATGACGAAAGATGGAATGATGTTGGTCAGTCTATTCAACAGGGCTTGTGATTCGCTTTGGTCTTCAAAGATGAGGGCAGTCATCTACGTACTCCGGACCGACAAGGCTCCCACCAGCAACGATTTGGACACATGTTTTGAAGACCTTCCAGCGTCCGCCTCATTATTCCATCAATGATGAAGTTGGACAAGAATGGAAAGAGTTGACAACCTTGTCGGACATCACTTTTTGGAGGGAAGCTTTTGGAGAGCTCACCATGCACTCTCACCCGCCCAAAAGTATGCGAATATAGGATTTACGTCGGATTACGTCAACAAACTTCTGGGGCATACCCTGTTGAGCAAGTGTAGTTAACAGCACTGACCGAAGAATCGAACGCACCCTTGAAGTCAAGGAATACTACGATTGTGGGTCGTCTGTACACATGACGTTGTTCTAACACCTGACGGAGTGTGAAGATGTGGTCAACGCAGCCTCTTCGCAGTCGAAATCCCGCTGGATTCTCGCGAGCCAAGGGTTCGCGTGCAACCGTAAGACGAAGAAGAATCAGTGACGCCAGAAGCTTAGTCACAACAGGAGTCAAACTAACACCACTATGGTTACTACATTCACTGTGAATACCCTTTTTGAAAATGGGCACTACCGTTGTACAGCTGTAACGCCCTTCCAGTGCCTAGCTACCTGAAGGAAGCACGAGGGTTGGGATACCCCAGGTTGCCCAAACCTAGACAATGGAAGTCGAGAGGCAGAGATCGGGTTCGAACCACGGACCTTCCGACCAGTAAGTTCGCTCATTGAAGCCATCTCGGGACCCAGGGGGCCTAGGGCACTACTACCAATTCAGTTCAGTCGTCTGGGACGGTCCCCTAAGCCCAGATACACCCAAATAGGCTAGAAAGATAGAATCATCATCATCATCATCATCATCATCATCATCAACAACAACAACAACGACAGCATGACATCAGTGTTCAACACCGATGCTTCACTGCCGTACAGCCATGACTTATTTGAAAGCCTTATTGTAAAGAAAAGAATAAAGGTGGATGGGAGAGACTTAGTGCTAGCTTAACACAATCATTCCGAGGTGCCTAACCTCCAGACATTCACTCAGGCAATCTGGATAGAAACTGACAACAAGAACGCCACTGACATTGGTTGGCAGCCATATCTTGTAGTGTCTCCAACCAGGCACAGTGAGGATCACGTGGTCCCCATCCTGGAAGGCGAGTAGCACCGACAGCACCCA